TTTGACAACAAATAAATGGCCAATTAAAAGTGTGACGCAAAATTCTAGGGGGGGGGGGAATAAACTAGTATTCACCTAAGTCAGGCTAGGCCTACCCCTAGAACCGGCCACACTCAAATTTCTTCCCCGGAGTGCTCAGAAGGAGCCGAGAAAAATCCAGGGGTCGATACGAACTTGTCACGGCTTTGACTGATCAATTTATTTAAAATTCAATCGAAGGCTCAGAGCTCTAGAAGCGCTCAGGAAATCCTGCAGACGCCCAGTTGGAGCTATATCATCCCAGCCTTTGTAAAAGTGTTTTGGAGAATTTTGCCTAACTTTTAGAATGACTCTGTAGGGCCGACGAGTATCCAATCATAAGCCAATGTGATTCAATTACTCGTAATGAACTTTAAAATAATTAGTTAAAGACGTTGGTAATTGATCTAATATCGAATGTAAGGTAAAGCAATTCCTACAGAGTCGTCAGTGCCTAATTAGTATAACTGAACGGATAATTTATCTTGAAATTATTTAAAATAAATTTAGTATTAATTTACGTAGCTGATTATTCAACTCAGCCTGCTCCCAAGACTTGATTCTTTCGCCCGCCAAAGACGGGGTTTAGAACTCAGACGAAAAGTCTCGGGGTATTAAACGACAAATTGACTTCGTAACAAAATCGTACAGTCGTGTCGATTATCGTGCGAGCTTAGATGTAACGTCGAAGTTACTTCGAAGACGGCGTACGAACGAATAATCCTGTCTTTGAGTAAAATCCTTCGTTCCTGCCCGCTCGAGACTTACGCGCTCAAGCGGCGAACTTTAGTACTACTAGATAACAGCTGATCGAATTCACTTGTTGAGTTGAGCTGGTCTAGTTTCGTCTGTTGTCTGCCAACAAATAAACACCAGTTTGGGGTTATGTTGTCGGCGGCGTTAAATATCTGTAAAATCGGTCGGTTTAACTTTATTATGCGAAACGAAGTGCTATTATGAATAAATATGTAGTTGTGGATGTGTTTGTGTACTTCACTGTGAATAAAAATAGGCCTACGTTCTTTGGCCCATAGCCCAAGCTATGGCCAACACATAGGCCTCGGAGTAGGCTATTGTGGTTAAAATCGGGTAAGTTCTGATGTTCATTTATTCGTAGTACGTTTTTACCCCCCTTAAAATTTGGTACCTTACAAAAGAGATTTTAATAAAAACTTTGAATTACTTTTTGCAACGTCTCTCAAATAAACACAATTATCTTAACAATTAAAATGAGAAGGTAACATTTACGAACAGAAAAAACTAAAGCTTTTTATACTGTCATAGGCAGAATAAAATATAAATTAATCATTTAGTCAATGGCCATGCTTTTCCACATCATTATTTGCTTTCAGTTGTTTACATAATTGATTGTTAGTCAGATAACTCCGTGAACTTTATTTCAACTTATTAGTCTATTCTATTATTAATTACTGGGGCTATGATTATTGTGTCCAAACAGGAAATTTTATAAAATACATAAATTTACTAAAGTCTGTTAAAAAACAAAAACAACTTCAATCAATTTATCCTTAATACAAAGAATATTAAAATGCAGCTTCAAAATACTTTTGAGGGGAAATAAAGTATCTATATATTAATTTGAAACTGTTTTTCTTTGTCATAGCTATTTTGAGAGAACGGCTTGGTGTAGAAACTCGGTAGAGGTGTCTAAAGAAAGGTCTTGGTCTGTAGATGAGCCATCAAAAGAGAAAAATGGTGAATTCCCTTGGGGCTCTGCCCCAGTGGCCTTTAAATTCCCATCCCATGTTATTCTTATGGAGGAAAACGGGGTTTTTGTCACAGCTAATTTGAGAGAACGGCTGGGCGTAGAAACTTGGTAGGTGTCTCTAAAGAAAGGTCTTGGTCTGTAGATGAGCCATCAAAAGAGGAACGAGGTAAATTCCCTTGGGGCTCTGCCCCATAAGCCTTTAAAGTTGCCTCTTCAGATTTATTTACATTACGACCATATGCATAATTCTACACTACTTTTTAATAAAACAGCTGTTAATATTTAAATTGTGATTTATTGAATTTGTCAAAATGAAGTACAGTATTTGCAATGGGTTTTTCTGATTGATAAATTGGATTTTCTTCTGCATCGTGTCATGTTTTGCAATATAATGTTCTATTCCCAAATCAGTGGAAAATCCTAATATCACAGTAACTCTTAAAATTATTTCTTTTGGAGTTAATTTATATCTATTGTATGGGTTGGTTTCTGCCTTTTTTACCACTTCTTGGAGATTGTACGTAGGTGATATTCGTTGGCATATTGCATCTGTAGACGAAACTTGGGTTGGTGTAATTATTACAATCGAAAAGAGCGAGAAATCCTGGACAATTTGATATGGGCTAAAAATAAAACTGAATTAACACTGTTATACATTTCTTGAGCAATCATTGAAATAATCGATTTGCAAACAATGGAATCATAGAAAAAGTCATAGAACACAACCAAGTAGAAGAAATAGAAATAATTTTTTTTTTTTTTTATAATCGTTGTCATAGACAACCTAATGCGGCTATGAGAGGGAAAAATTTGTAGAAAACACTAAAAAAACAAGATAAGCTTTTTGAAAAAAGATAAGATACTGTATTTACAAAAGATTTTGATTATATCTAACTGTTGTGTAGATCGTGAGTATTTCCATAAGCTTTGAGTCGCCTGTAATGCTTCGCAATTGCGAGCAACAGGTACACTAGTCTATATATTAATTTGAAACTGTTTTTCTTTGTCATAGCTATTTTGAGAGAACGGCTGGGCGTAGAAACTCGGTAGGGGTGTCTAAAGAAAGGTCTTGGTCTGTAGATGAGCCATCAAAAGAGAAACGTTGTAAATTCCCTACGGGCTCTGCCCCAGTGGCCTTTTAAGTCCCATTCCATGTTATTCTTATGGAGGAAAACGGGGTTTTTGACACAGCTAATTTGAGAGAACGGCTGGGTGTAGAAACTTGGTAGGGGTGCCTAAAGAAAGGTATTGGTCTGTAGGTGAGCCCTCAAAAGAGAAACGAGGTAAATTTCCTTGGGACTCTGCCCCAGAGGCCTTTAAAGTTCACTCAGCAATTTTGTTTACATTACGACCATATGGATAATTTTACACTACTTTTAATGAACCAGCTGTTAGTATTAAAATTGCATTCAAAGGTCTACTGAAACTGTCAAAATTAAATGTTTACATTATTATTTATGATTTTAAATTTATTCTCCACTGCATGGCAAGTTTTTTATAGTTTCAACAAAATGATGAATTTATGATACGTTTTAAATGTTGTGATCAAAAATATATGCTTTATTGCTCTTAGAAAATTTAAAATTATGAAATAAGTGTGACATATCAATTTTAAAGGAACATAATTATTCCTTATCGGGTTAGCTTATATAAATTTTAAGGTTGGCACTTGCCTTTTTTGCCTACTTTCAATTACCATTTATTTTTGAATTCAAGAAAGAAGACCAGAAATTCATTAATTGGTATAAAAGTTTTCGACAATCGGGTTAAAAATTGTGTCATAGATGAGTACGTTGAGGATGAGAGCTGTGTTCAAGTTTTGGAATAGACTAACTACGGAGTATGTTTCATCTATGGTTTTGGTGAAGTAGGTGAACTAATGTCAATACAGAACAGGTATTTAAAAAAATTTATACAGGGTTTTTACTTTGTTGTACACATGTAACAACGCATCTAAACCTCACTACATACAAAGCATTCGGAAACACAACAGTGTCACCACATCTAATCGCATTTGCATAATTTTTTACCAAGGCTGGACTAGGTTATGGATATGGTTCCGCAAATGTTCAAGATTTGTGATCAAATTTTCTACAATTATGGTTCATTCCATCCACGAAATACATGCACAGCTTTATGTTATCGATCTGGCCAAGGCGAAACTATCCCATAAGTTAATGAATTATCAAAAGAACAGGATGATTAAATACATGGGTCGATGTGGCAAGAGAAGGAATTATAATTGCTTGGATCGAAGTAAGAATCTTACTGCTTTCTAGGGAATCAGATATTTGTATCAAATACAAATAACTGATTTAATATGCTGATAAATTTTGTATTTTTATGACCAAAGATGAAGATTTACTTATAAATAAGGATACAATCTGAATGATTTTCCCAAAGCAGATTGAATTAGTTGTTGGTAATAAATATTGACTCTTTCTGTAACATGATAGACTAATTATATGAAGTCATTCTCCCATATAGTGAAAGTGGCTTTGACATGAAACAAACTCACGAACAAACAATTATAAGACTCCTAAAAAACCTTTTGGGCAACCTAAAAGCCGATAAAAAGGTAGGAAATATTGTGTTAAACGAATTCATCAATCACGTTTTTTAGGGAACACAATCGTCATACTTATTATTATGCTTATCCTCCCTACATTTAACTAAGATTTTAATGACTTCACTCTATCTATCGCAGTTAGCTGAATTTACATAAAACCTCAAGATTAACCGTCGATTTCGACGGGGTTCCACTAGTAGTAAAGTATTCAGGAATGTGATTCTCAATTAAACTAAAAGGTTATCTTTTTAGGGGAAAACATTTAGCTTGGATTAAAGAAATATATAAGATGGAGAGGACACAGCTTCCAACTAAACTATTTTCTTTAATCCAACTAAACTATAAGTGTTATACAGTGAAATATTAAAAAAAATTGTGAATTACAGGGTAAATTTGCATTTGAGGTCATGCCATCACTTAAACCTAGGTACCATTTTTAATCTAATAAGAAGAATTAGGTACAGATACTATGTATATAAGGATCTGCCTCTTTGGATAAACTTTACATTTTAAGATGTATGTTCTGTTTCAAGTTTCAATCCATAGTATATGCAATTACTGCTACAGTGTTATGTTTTTAAGCACTACTTGTTACAAGGTTTTTTAGGGGGGGGGGGACCTTTCTTCGAACGTATTAGGCTAATTCTATTTGTGAAGTGATGGTTTTCCAGTTAAAAGATAATGTAAAACTGCATTAAACTCTTTATTTAATAATAATAACCCATTCAAAGCAAAATAATACTAAACATAAGTAACAATATAATTTAGGAGAACATTTTTACCATACAAACAAATCAATTTTCATCAGGTCAACAAAATTAACTTGAAAGTGGTGGACTTGGCAATATTATAAGATGGTGAGTGGTTTGTTATTTTTAAAACTATGCTGATAATTAAAAGTAAAATATTCTACAACCTTCAAATACATCATGGATTAATTTTGACAGAATCGGACACCAAACACTTTAAATAAAGTGTAAAGATAAAAATTTTTATTTAAAAAAAAGACAAAAAGTGTAGTTAACATTCAAGGAAACTTTTCAGGCACACACAGAGCTTTCACTAGTTAGATTTTACACCTAAAGTTACCAACAATAAATAAATAGGACATAATGTAAAAAGTAAACTGTTACTTTTTTTTACATTTATAAACTCTCATGTCTAACAGCTGTCATCTAAAAAAATATCTTATCTTTAAAGCTAAATAACAAACTACAATTTTTTACAGTGGTTTGCAAGTTTTACTATAAAATTGGTTATTAAATACATAAATAAAATAATTAACCCTAGAGTAAAATACTAGCCTCTACAGTAAATGTATCCTCTTATGTACATTAAACAGACTAGATTACATACAGTTATATATTGCAACAAGGATGAGTCTCTGTGTATCAGAAAATCTTCTTGTTATCATTTCAGGATGGATGCACTTCAATTCCTGAAAAAATACAAATGTTAGTTGTAGGGAACTACAATATAAGACCCCAGGTAGTTTTGCCTTGGTAAGTGTTGACAGTGTTAATATATACTACTCTGCCTATTACTCCGGTCTTTACAAAACAAATGATCTTACATACTTTCTCACACACTGACAATCATTATTCATAATTCTCAATCTCCTATATACTTCAGCTTAACCCTAGAACGGTATACCTCAAAATTGTAACACCAACAATTGTAAATAGGTATGCCGTTGTAAATTTTACTACTTTTGAATTATGTTTCAATAACAACAGCATTAAATAAGAGTTAAAAATATAAATATCATTTTCGGCTAGTACTGTTCATATTATGTAATTTTAACTGATTTTAAAAACCATACAAATATTACTTACATTGCAAAAAACATAGTTTCAAAACCGTGCTAATTTCAAAACAAACTTAATTGAATTTTTATTAAAAAACTTGTCAATATTATTTTACTTAGATTTAGCAATATTGTTTCTGTATAAGAATAAAAAAAAAAAAAATTTTGGTTGTCTCATTGGTTGCCTATTTAGTGTTATAAAGCCTCTTTGTACAAAATAATTTGATGAGAAATAGTTATTTGTGTAACTAGTGAGCAAAGTGGCACTTTGCTGCACACGAAAGCAATGTTTGTAGGGAAATATCTCGAGTGCAGCAAAGGCCTTTTGCACTTGTGTTACACACTATATTTTTCCTACAGTCACTATAAAGCATATAAATAATTAGTCTTTCAAACACTATACAACACGTTTTTAGGTTCAGCTGGCGACACAAATAGATGCCCTAGAGAAAATAGTCACCTAAGTAGTATCACTCCGCTATTTTTTCCTCGGCAAGCAATGTGCTCCGCGACTTGAGAAAATAGTTCCGTATGTTTTTGTAATTTGAAGGGGTTTCCGCGCCTAAAAAAATGATTTAAAGGTATTTTCTTGTTTATTAAGATCGTAGGAATGTTTTCAAAACGTTTAAAAGAAAAATCCAGAAAGTTCAGAAATACCGAAACTATAAACACAAAATTACAGGTTAAATCGTAGTTATAATAGTCAATCAGCTGTTCACAGTATTATTATCTTTAAGTGTTGTCAACCTATTTTGAAGCCGTACGACAAAGTATAAATATGCAGCAATTAGCAGCTTTCTGTACTATAAACAGTAGGCTACAAGGAAGCCAACTTTGTCGGGTGACTGTAGGAAAAAGTAATTTTTTTAAAACCTTTCCCGTACACAGTCGTTGAGTGTAACACTATATTGGTATACCTTCGTAAATATCACAACTCCGTTTTTCTCAGTTTTAGGAGTTGTATTACAATATATCAAATGATTTATTTTATTTTGTAATCAAAATCATTTTTATATTTATGAGGTTTCAAGGTAACAACATACAAAAATTGGTAAAAACATGTTTATTACGCTTTTCTAAATACACATAGCTATAGTAGTTATTGTTATAGGTTCGTAAAAGTTACGAAACTACACTAGACCTTAAGTCACACGAAAGGTATACCGTTGTAAATATTACAAATTACGTCACTGACGCAAAAATAGACAAATCCCACACAATGTTTCAAGTGACACTGAGCTCCTTGGGTGGTTGGGGAAGATGACTAGGACAGACAGTACAGTCAGAGCCAAAATGTACATTCTGTTAGAAAAGAAGTGTATTTTCCATTGTAAATATTACCGTTCTAAGGTAAAATTAACTTAAATGAACGTTTTATGTAATTTCTTTCAGTTTACCCTTCAGTGTACGAGGTTTAATCTCTACTTTTACTCTAAATATATATAAGGAAAATAAATCAATCAGAAGTTACAATATCTTAGAAAGTACCAGTGGCATTTTGTTGGTGTAGGCTGTATCAAAGGTTAACATGACATACTGACTCTAATCTAGTTGTACCTTTCCACAAATTCAATTATACTTATAAGGATATTTCATGTTTAAAACAGTTTTAGTGCAGCTGTTGAACAGTTGATCTTGTTAATTTGTTTCATTAAAAGATATTTATTTAATTAAATTTTCAGGAAAACTGGATGTGACGTCTAGACTTTTAATTTAATTTCTAATATTACTGATGGTATCAATTTCAAGCCTGCATGTTCAATATGTTTCCTTTAATAACGACATAGTAATATTTCACTTGAGAAATTTATACAGTTGGTGTTTTGAGCTTCTCTTTACTAATTTATTACTCACAAATGTTAATTTTAAGGTATAGTTGTGACAACAAAGGTTTTGAAATGAGATTTTAATAAAACCATTTTCAGCGTGCTTACGTGAATTGAATGTGTGTGAGTTTGAATTAAAACTATTACCTTGTATTTTTTATCAGTTTGGAAGCTTGAATACTCCTTTTTTCTGGCTGCGACTTTCTTGGGGCTGTAAAAATTAATGCAGGGTTACTAATTATTATATATTCTTTTTTTTTTAGATATTTGGATTTACAATAATTTAAACAATAAAATATATATTTTAATTTTAAATGGCAAATATAAAATAAGAAATTTGCTATAGCTAAAGTTGAAATGAATTTCTGAAGTATTTCTCATAAAATAAAATAATGAAAATAGTTTCATGTTCTGCTAAACTTGTGACAGTTGAACCAAATCTGTTCTAGGCACTATTGTCACTTCCAGCTTGGTCACTTAGAAAAGGTCTGACAGGTTTAGTTTGGTCAACAATTGGCCTGAAGCTGCACCTGTAGACCAGTGAATTACAGAAACCTAAACTGGATAATATGTGGTTAGTTGTGACATTATATCATATACTACAAAAATAAAAATTATAAAAACCAATATTCTTTTGGTTTTTTAACAAATCTGTAACACCATGTATGATTTATAAATTTGACAAGAGTAGGGGTCAATGTTTAAAATATTCATGATTTAATATGTCGTGTCAATAAAAGAGCAAGGCTTGTGTTAAAAATGTACAATGTTAGTAAAGCAGTGGCAGTGGAGATTACCATCAGTTTGGGGCCAAACAATATCCTTGCTTTGTCCTCCTCCTGGGGCGAAGGACCCTCACTGGTCACCCCTCTCTTCACCTTGATCTGGAACTTCTGCTTGATAGCCTACAACACACAGTCATTCTACTGATAACATTCACTATATAAAGGTTAAATTAATGAATCATTTCTCAAGATTCCAACAAAAATCATACTCCTACATTTTTTTATTGACCATAGATACTGAACGTAGACTTGTCATTTTGTCATCTGCTTGCAGTTTAGGTTGAGGTACATCTGTAACTTATGTTAACATGTACTACTACTGTTTTTATATAGTTTTTTCCATGTCGGCATGGATTCTACTATTTAAAATGTATGTGATGGTTTGAATTTAACAGAAAGCCGAATAGCTTATGTTTTAAAGATTCAAAAATGGAAGATCAATTCTGGCCCAAGTAGTCTTTTGTTGCAGAACCATCAAGTAATGATGATTTTTAACAACAGGTTAATTTTAGCTGGAAATAAGAACTGGGTTTAGACCATTTTCTTACAAAAAAAAACATTAGAAAATGAACACTGTAGAAAAACACAGAATCAAAATAAAAAAATGAATGAGCAATTAATTGATAGCAGAGGCCTAAGCATTAATTCACATCAAACACGCCTGGCTCAGAAACCTGTGTTGTACAAACCTGAGGCAGTATCACTCTGCGACTGTCGTTCTTCATGGCCAATAACAGATCCAGCCACGTCCACGTGACATTGTGGTACTCCAGGGTAGGGATCACCAGGTTCATGTCCTGCATGTCCTCAATGTTCTTCTCCTTGTTGCCTTTGTAGCTGACCTTCATTGGTACCTCAGGTATCTTGATGTAAATGAACAGTTTATTCTTCTCTGCTCGTTCCTGCAAAGCAAAGCTCATTTTTTCTGGGGCTTTAAACTTGGCTAGACAAATGTGATGACTCGGCTTTACAATGGGACGTATTATAGCAGATATTGTTGTAGAGGTGGGGCTATGCTTTGAGGTGGGGATGAATGGAGAGCAGTCGCCTTCAACATTCATCTAGTGCCTCTTTCAAAGCGAGACAAGGGTTGTATTTATGACACAATTATTCTAGCAAAAAATCGGTTGAGCACCTCTGAAACAAATTATCACCCAAACAACACTCGGCATAAACAATTCTTGTTTCAAATAAACATAAATTAAATTTCTATGAAAAAACCACCCTATATAGGACTAAAATATTATTAGTAAAATTAAAAATGAACAAAGCAGTAAGAATTTAATGAGAAACCTAAAACTTTATTTGGTGGAAAAACCTTTTTATTCTTTGAAAGAGTACTATTCTACCTCCCCTTTTAGCATTAGTCGTAATTGATTTAGTTTTGATTATTTTTATTTGCTGGTTCTTAGATTTAAATGTTAATAATGGTTTAAAATGTGTATATTATTAATTTTAAGTTAGATTAGTTGACGCTATTCCATTGAACAAAACTGTACTTTATGAATAAAGTATATTTGATTTTGTTTGATGCCTGGATGAACAGACATGAAGTTATGTGATAACGGTTTGGGCCTGGTTACTAAATTTGTAATTCTTAGCTGCAAAACCAAGTAGATAAACCAATTTCCACTTACAGAAAATACCCGATCTTGCAAGGATAATAATATACCAAGTCAAACGAATGTATTGGTATCAGGCCACTTTTCATATACAACCTGACCTCTGGTAGCTATTTACATTCACAAACTCTGTCAAATGTACCAAACTCTGCCAAATGCAATCAGAATTCTTAAATACAGAGGGAAGTAGAGAAAAGAAACCCCCATGTTAAATTACTGGATGCCAGAACTGGGGTCTTACTGTTTGAAACGATTCAAATAGTAATATGTACTATAATTAAAGACTTAAATAAACTACTAAAATAAATTTTACTGTAAAACTTGCCTTCATTTTCTCAACATCATCCTTTGGATCGATTCGAACATAAAAGTTAGAGTCTTTGCCTTTCTTAGCAGACTTTTCATTTGTTTTGCTCTTCTTGGAAGTAGTGCTACTGCTGTCTGTCTCTTCTACCCCATCTCCTTCAATGTTCTCAGGATCTCTCTCAGGGAAGCAAAACCTGAGCATTGTGTTGTAGAACTTCTTTGTTAAACCTGAAATTAAAAGAGAATGTTTGAATATAACTTAATACAGATTTACAAGACCTTTAGAGATTTGTTGTCACTTGTCAACATAAATAGTCTTGTGAGTTAAATTTGTTTGATGGTATAATTTAATTTTGTTAGGTTAAAAATAGTTAAAGTTAAATAAAACTGTGTTTATTTTGAGTTGGTGAGCTCAACAAACTACAAATAAAAGTGAGTGATGTTGTGATATCTTGTCCAGGTGCCACCACTAATATTTTTTTGTTTTATCTTGGAGTTTAATCTTGTACTGAATTATCTCTAACCCTTTGCTTTGCTTGATATATCTATGCTGCGCCCAAGTTGGTGTTCAATGCAAGGTTAAGGAGGCCACACACTTCTTTAAATAAAGTAATTATTAAAAATTAGGCTTGTTGGCTGCAACACTAAATAATACAGCTTAAGCTGGGTTTTCCTAGGCGCGGAAGCGGAGAGCGGAGAGAGGAACGCGGAGAGCGGAAAAGAAATTAACATGGCATACCTCTCCGCTTCTAGGAAAACAGTAACATCAAATTACCTAAGACAAGTGGAGTCCGCTCTCCGCGTTCCTCTCTCCGCTCTCTGCTTCTGCGGCTAGGAAAACCCGGCTTTAATAATCTTTAGGAAAACCCGGCTTTAATAATCTTGAGAAAAATAAATTTTACTAAAATGGTGTTAAGATGTTAAAAGAAAAAGGCAAAAATATGTGTAATAGGCTATGTAATTATTTTTTGTGAAGGATATGATAAATTTTGTAATAATCAAAATCTGTCATACATAAAGGCATAGGGATAGAAGAAATTTTAAAGCTATTGATTTATTCAGTTTAAGAATTAGACCAGGATTTAAAAAAATATTATAAACACTGTTCTGTATGTAATTAGAACTAATAATAAATGTATTTGTAAAAGTACAATTTTAACCAACTTTATTCAACACAAATTAAAAACAAAGTGAAGAAGTAAACATTATAACCAGCTGGTGATAGTTATAAAATAAATAATCAATAAGTAAAGATAGACATTTAGGATGTAACACTTCCCCTTCTTAAGTGAGCTTCATAAATTGAGTCTATCCACGGGTTTATGTGTCCTTTTTGAACGTCTCACTGTAATAGCGGGAGTTGGTGCCACTGGAACATCTGATATGTTGTGATCGTTGGCCTCTGGAACATCTGATATGTTGTGATCGTTGGCCTCTGGAACATCTGGTATGTTGTGATCATTTGTTATGTGGTTTTCGGTTGGTATGTTGTGATCATTTGTTGCGTGGTTTTCGGTTGGTTCCTCTCTGACTCCTCCAAAATGGACTCCTCCAAAATTTGTTGGTATGAATACTTGATTTTGCTCATTCCTTAATGAAAACTCACACAAGTTTCGCCCTGAACGTCTAATTTGGTCTTGATGACGTCTGATTGTGCCACTGCTTGTGGATATTTCATAATTTCTTGGTCCTTCTTTTCTATTGATCTTTCCAAAGCCCCATTTGTTGCAGGTCCCATATAGGCGGTAAGCAACAGGGTCTTGAGCTTTAAATGATTTTTGCCTGTCAGAATATGATTTTGAGTCAAAATTTTGGTCCATTTTTTGTGACAAATCAGGATACAATAAGTCAAGTCTTGATCGAATTTGACGTCCAATAAAGAGATGTGAAGGAGACTGTCCTGTAGTACTATGTGGAGCTCTTCGATAGGCCATTAAATATCTCTGTAATTTCAACTCAATTGAGCCTTCCTCAAAGTGCATGGCTCTGATAGTATCTTTCAAGTCTTGTACATAGCGTTCTACTTGGCCATTAGTTGCAGGATGGTAAGGTGCTGATCTCTTGTGTCTAATTCCGTTAGATTGAAGAAATTTTTCAAACTCTAACGAAACTAATTGCCTTCCGTTGTCTGACACTAATATGTCAGGGATTCCAAAAGAGCAAAAGAATTTCCGCAAAGCCTCAATGGTTTTATGTGAATTTATAGTTGTAAGTGTTACAATCTCTGGCCATTTACTGTAGGCATCCACAATTAGGAGAAAATAATGGCCATAAAATGGTCCTGCAAAATCAACATGAACTCTTTGCATAGGCCTTGAAGGATATTCCCAGTGGTGAACTGGTGCTTTGGGTGCTTCATGTTGTACTCGTTGACATCCCAAACAATTTAAGGTCATATTCTCAATGTCTGCATCAATTTTAGGCCACCAAACATACGAACGAGCTAGTCCCTTCATGCGAACTATACCCACATGAGCCTCATGAAGTTCTTTCAAAATTCTTGGACGAAGTTGTTTGGGAATCACCACACGATTCCCTTTTAATAAGCATCCAAGCTGAATTGACCATTCTTGTTCGTTAGAAGACATCGGGTGATGTATTGGTTCCCCTCTGATTAGTGATTGATAAATATCTCTAAGATCTGGATCAGATTGTGTATTTTTTGCTATTTCTTCAGCTGTGACAGGTAAAGTATAGATTTGTTCTATTTCATGAACATCGGCTGAGTCAATAACAGCAGCTTCTTCAACATTTTTAGGTAGTCTTGAAAGTGCATCAGCATTAACATTATCTTTGGTTGATTTATACTTTATGTCAAATGAAAATGCCTGAAGGAATATAGCATAATGTTGTAGTCTTGTTGCGGCCATAAGTGGTATTCCATTTTTCGGTCCAAATATTGATACCAGGGGTTTGTGGTCTGTAACTAGGGTGAAATGACGTCCATAAAGGTATTGGTAAAAGTGTTTAACTCCAAAATAAATTGCCAGGGCTTCTTTTTGTATGACACTGTACTGTTTTTGTGTTTGTGATAGTGTTTTGGAAGCAAATGCAACAGGTCTTTCGTTTCCATCCGGAAACACATGAGAAAGAATTGCCGAAATTCCAGATTGACTAGCATCTGTTGCTAGAATGAGTGGTAAGTGTGGGTCAAAATGGCATAGTATATTCTCTGACATCATTTCCTCCTTCACCAATTGAAAATCTCGTTCACATTCTTCAGTCCAATTAAAAGGTACATTAGCTCTTGTGAGATTAATAATAGCTTGCATCTTTTCACTTAAGTTTGGAATAAACTTTCGATAGTAACTTATCAACCCAAGGATTTGTCTAACTTCTTTCACATTACTTGGTCTCTTCAGGTTTCTTATTGCTTCAGTAATATGTTTACTTTTACTTATTCCCTTTGACGAGACATGGTAACCAAGAAAGTCAATCTCTGGTACAAGGAATTGAGATTTAGAAACATTAATGTGTAAATCGTTGTCTTTGAACCGATTTAATACAGCACGGAGTCTTTTCAAATGTTCTTCCTCACTGTGGGCTGTTATTTTGACATCGTCAAAGAAAACATCAACACCATCAATACCTTGTAGAATATTTTCCATTGCTGATTGCCAAATAGCAGGTGCACTTGCAATTCCGAATGGTAGACGATTTACTCGATATAGACCTTTGTGTGTATTGATTGTGAGCAATTCTCTGTATTCTTCTTTCACTGGCATGTGTAGGTAAGCTTCGGATATATCAATCTTTGTAAATTTAGTCGAATTACCCATTCTGGCCAAAATATCATCAATGCGGGGCATGTTGTGTTCTGGTATTACCAAATGGGGATTGAGGGTTACTTTGTAGTCTCCACACAGTCTGATATTCCCATTTGCCTTCATAATCGGTACAACTGGAGTAGCCCAAGAACTCTGATTCACCTTTGTAATTATACCTTCTTTTTCTAGTCTGTCGATTTCTGCACTAACTTTTGGTAACAAAGCATAAGGTAGTGGTCTAGCTTTTTTAAAAACTGGTGTAGTGTCAGGCTTTAAGTTAAGAAGTGCTTCTCCCCCTTTGAAACTTCCAACTCTTGGTTCAAATATGGATTTAAATTCCATTAAAATATCGTGTACTTTGGGATTTGAGTGTTTAACTCTATTCAAGTCAGCTCCGTGAACGTTATTTATGTCTGACCAATTTATTTTAATCGATCTCAGCCATTCCCTACCAAATATCGTATCTCTATTACCATCGACTATATACAATGGAAGATATTTGGTTTGGTTACCGTAACCAACCTGAACAATGGTTTTACCCAATGGAACAAATTCATTTTTGTTGAAATCTCTTAATATTATGTCTGGATTCATTAAAGGTCTGTGTTTTGGAAAAAACTTGGAAAAGTTACTTTTTGACATCAAAGATACCCCTGCTCCTGTATCTAGTTTAAACGGAATAGTTTTCCCATTTATTTTTATGTTTAACATTATTTTCCTAAATTTATCTTCTGATGTATTCATAGAACAAATGTCAATAACATTAGTTTCCTTATAGAGGGATCTAACAGAATTGTTCATATTTTGTTGTAGAAATATTTCACTTTGATCTTCAAACGAGTCTGTTATTTGTTTTACATTTCTTGAAGTAGTGTTAAATGTAGTCTTATTTTGTCTTTGCAATTTGATAGGTGCATTAGGATTCCTAAAACAAATCTTTGCTAGATGCCCTATTTTTTTACAGAAGTTACATGTTGTATTTTTGTGTTTGCATTCAGATATGTATTCATGTAACTCTCCACAACAGTAACATTGTTTAAGATTGGTACTGTTTTTAGGTTTTTGAAAACTTTTCTGTTGTACAACATTTAAGTTAACCGGCAATTCATTGTTTTCATGATTGAATTTTGATTGGATTGTTATTGAATCGTTTTGAGCCTTTTCAATTACTTGAGCCATGTCTACAGCTTTTTCAAAACTCAAATCACTGTCACTTAGAGTAATTAACCTTGCCTGTATTTTTTCATCCCTTAGCCCGAGTATGAATTGGTTTCTCAGGGCTTTTGACAGAAATGTGCCAAAATTACAATATCTAGACAACTTTCTAAGATCCAATGAAAATTCAGAAACGTTTTCTCCTTCATATTGGTGTCTACAATGAAATTTGAATGTCTCTGATACTTCATTTGGTTTTGGTGTAAAATGTGAATTAAGAGTTTGAACTAATTCAGCATAGGATTTAGTTATAGGTGATACAGGATGCAATATATCCCTAAGTTTACTGTAAGTGTCTGATCCAATACAGTGAAGTAACGTAATTTTCTTTTTGTCTTCCGAAATGTTGTTATAAATGAATGATATCTCTAGTCTTTCCATATACATTTCCCATGTTTCATATCTTTCATTAAAGGGTCCAATCAATGCTGAGTTAATCATTTGAATGTTTTGAGATGTATTTGAATTACTTGTACTCACCTCCATCGTCGCCAAATTGTTCTGTATGTAATTAGAACTAATAATAAATGTATTTGTAAAAGTACAATTTTAACCAACTTTATTCAACACAAATTAAAAACAAAGTGAAGAAGTAAACATTATAACCAGCTGGTGATAGTTATAAAATAAATAATCAATAAGTAAAGATAGACATTTAGGATGTAACAAACACCATAAAACATTAACTGTATTTTGATTCGATGTTGACTTCAACCAAAACAGTAATAAACTATTTATGTCAAAGCAAAGAGATGAATGAACAAGAGCAGCTGTGAGCAAAAAGCTTTCAAGAAATGACAAATAAAATACGATCACGTTTCACATCTGGAGTAAGTAGACAAGCAAGAGTTTCCTTGTTCTGGAGAACGAGGAGTCAATCCACTTAATCAGGAGTGATTCCATCAAGCAAGACAAACTTGAACTAGATAATAATTCTAAAACTTAAGACAACTAAACACGTTTGAAATACATTATAAAATGAATGTAGTATCAGGTTAAATGAAATCTATGGATAAATTGGAGAATTTGATGTTTATCAGATATTTAGTATTTACTACTTTTCATTAAAATTACTATTATCTGTTTTTAACAGAGAAAGCTGTATCATGAATTATTCGGGCTACTTAATACTTTAATACTTTCTTTTTAAATAATAATCTACAAACAAAATAAAGGGTGTTTCAGTCAGCAATTTTGAAACTGATTCCCTTGTGTTATACAGACTTTCCTTTACAACAAATATAAACTTGGCTAAGTAAAATTTCTGCTATAAAACATGTTTACTCTTACACTTTTTTTGTCCTAGGACTCTAGGTACGAGCCTGAGATTGTTTTTCACATTACTTCAGGCTAGACCTAGGGGTTGCGGCATTATCAATTAGATAAAATCCATTGGTGATTTGGTGGTATTTGAAGCCGGGACCTCTTGGACCGAGATAACGTGCTCTAACCACTAGACCAGCTCGCTCCCCCATTTACTTTTACACTAGGGGCCACGAAAGTCTGCAATTGGCGACAGTCAGTATCAAGACTGGACTAGCACGACATTGCAACATCGCCCATTAACTAATTTTCAACACTAATTAAAATATACTTAAACAATATTTTTAAATCAGCTGGTATTATTAGATTTGGCAACAACGCACGGTCCTCATTGGCTCCTTCGAAGTGACATGGTAAATAGGCTCCTCCCTCAACTGCAGACTCTCGTGGACTGTACTGTAATTATCTAACTATCTACACTTATAAAAGTGAAATACCACTCACTCACTGATCTCCATATGTCAAAAACTACAAGCCATAAACATTCAGGAATTGGCATGGAGGTTCCAAATACCAATCAACCTCTAGGTGTGCAATAAGAAGCGTTTTCAAGAAATTCTATCAGGGCTATACCCAGTGACTATTTAAGTTCCCATGTTATCCTTATGGAGAAAAGATTCGTTTACATTTGACACATGAATACTTTTGAATCTGCACTATTAATTAATTAAGGGCTGGTTATATTTTATTACATAAAATGAAAATATTTACATTATGATGTTTGTGGCTTGAAAAAGTGTTTTCACCACACTACAATGTTTTTAGCCGTTTTACAAACGTTAATTGGAGGCTGAAAGCTATGTATTTCAGCAGTCATCGTTATTTGGGGGCTGAGCTTGACTTTGTTTCGAACTTAAAAAACTATTTGAACCGGTAAAACATCATCTTAAGCCCTAGGTACGAAATATACTATTACCGTACTGCATAACATTTTTAATAGGTAAAATGAATTAAAAAATCAAGAAGTGTAGGCCCTACTCAGGTTGAACATTAAACTTTTTAATTTTTGTTAACAAACCACAACGGGTTAGCTATTTATAGCATATGAAAAAATTCCAAAACAAATTTTTTAAAGGTTTTTATGGTTATACAACTAAGAAAGAGTAATGGACAATACCTACTTACCAATTGTCAATGGTACAACATTGATCTCAAAATGTTCTTTAACAGAGATGCCCCCTACTGGTGCCTTCTCTCTGCAAAACACTCTCACGGCTCTCTGAAATATTGATAACATATTATATTACATTTTGATAACATTGAAATACTGGGTGTCCCAGAAAGGAATGCACTTTTAAAACGAACAAAACAGGAAAATGGCTTTATTTACAGCAATTTTCCCAACAATACCTGTTTTTACACTTAAGGGAAATTACTTGTAAAAGATTACATCATTCAGTTGTAGACCCCTCCGGTACCGGCACTCCACCAAACGAAACCTTACATCTGCGAAGACTCTAAGGCAGAGTTCTGGTGTGATGGCTTCAGTTTCCCAACAAATATTTTGCTTAAGATGATTGAGGGTGGCAGGAGGGTTGTTGTACACCCGACTTTTTAGGTACCGATACCCCCACCAAAAAAGTCAGCCAGTGTTTTGACTAAAGAGCGCTAAAGAGGACTAAAGAGGATGTGATTTTATCCTGTACATGCTTCATACTTCTTAACTATGTGGCTGATGTACAGAGGGAGAGACATTGGTGGGACTGCAAGCAAGGTTCATACTATGGTCAAAATCTACTATCACACTTTCGATTAGAAGATGGCACAGGATTTAGATAATTTCCAAGAATGACTCCTACGGATTTTGGGGTTCTGTTAGGGTTTGTTGGGCCAAAGATAACAAAGAAATGCACACATTGCAGAGCTGCGTTTACAACCCTGAACACCGTAATGTCCGTAATGAACACCTGAGAATTCGAGTTTCCTGTCATACATCCTTGCTGACTTGATATAAAAGTGGATGTAGCTCTAGCCTTAAGGATCTATCTCCTTAAATAAAAACTGCCACATAATATAAAAGCAACAGTAAGAATAAAAAATTAGTTTAATCAATAAGTAAACTATACTACTATTTTGTTAGTTATTGAATTTTAAAAACAGGTCAAAAACGATGTGTTCCATCCATGCGTTAGCTACTTTTTCATTTACATAAAAGAGGTTTTATTTGGAGGTATGGCGAAGTCCCTGTTCTAACAAAAAATAAGTTTGATCCAAATTTATCTCAACAAAACAACGCAACACTCTTACACCACAATTATTGAGGTAGAGTTTAGAGTCACCTTTCTATCCACAGGCATGTTGCTATGTATCTCAGTGGGCACAATAACTTCAGGATACACTTCATTGGGCAACAGGTTAGTCATCCTAACATAACCCAGCTCTAGCAGATGTTCCACGGAGTCATCACTCTTCGAGTTCTTGGTATACCTGTACAAAGTCATGTTAGTTTCCTGGGATGACAGTTATTGGATTTGTAACGGAATTTTAAGAACTTAAAATACAAAGGGAGATGTTCAAGTCATCAGACAATTGGTTTCTTCATGATAACGAAAGAACCCTACTAATAAACAAAATCCTGAGTTAACCAGAATGCAGAAAAAAATCGATAACATCAGTGACTGCAATTGACATTTGAATAATTTTATTCTTAGATTGATGACACAGTCATTGACCTTGAGCTTTTGCATGTGTATTGCAGGCTGACCTATATTTCTAGTTTTACTGCAGGGAGACGAGTAATTAAAAACTTTTATTTTAATACATTCTTCTTAAATACCAACTATTAGTACACAGAAAACTCTATTACGCCTAATTAGTGCTCCCATTGTTTATTAGGGTTAAAAAGGGTTTTACCAAACATCTTTACTTTTTCCGTTTCTCTGTACGAGGAAAATGAGCTTGATGGAAATCGGCCATAAAATTTAAGAATGAAATGTATACAGCCTAAACATAAAATAGAAGATGGTTGGTGTCTGATAAGTGATAATTGATCATATTTTTATTGCTTAGTTTTTTTTTTTTGCTGAAACCTCTAATAGGTCTTTCTTCTAATAGGTTCTTTTTTGATAATCTCTCCATGGCCGCGGCGGATGATCAGAAGTTTGCCATGATCGCAGATGGCGAGGATAATGCACGACCGCGGGAGATGTTTATGAATTCGCCGCGATCGCGGAAGAAGATGATGTTGTTTCCAATATCACGAGGGGAATTCAAGATTTTGCGGCCCGGGAGATGATGATGATGCCTACACAACCGCAGGAGACGATACTGATGTCTACTTGGCAACAGATCAGAATTTCGCCACAATCGTGGAAGATGATGAAAATGTCCACGTGACCGTTAGATATGTACATGATTTTGTAGTGATCGTGAAATGAAATGAAATGAAATATTCCTTTATTGTCACAATACATTTCAAGTTTTTCAGCAATGCTGATGAAACAGGTGGCATTGTCCATTATTAAAACTAAATTTACAATTCATTCCTATAAATTAAATAAATGTAATAGAAAAATGTTTAACTGTTATTTAAATATTCAGAGACAGATTCAAACTGTTTTTGTAAGAGATACATTCTAAACTCGCTTTTGAATTTTGATATACTGGTAATTTGTCTGAATTTGGTAGGTAGACTGTTGTAAAGCCTGAGACTCATATAAAATGGTGATCTTTCATACAGACAGAGGCGATGTCTTGGATATTTCAAATTATTTTTAAAACGAGTAGGATATTGATGGATGAATTGATTGTTGTCATATGATTGGTAGTTACTTTTTAAAGAAACCACCATTTTAAATATATATAGAGAAGGCATTGTTAATATGTCGTATTTTTTAAAAATAGGTTTAAATGATGCTCTTTTTGATGCAAAAGATAGGATTCTTAAATACTTCTTTTGTTTTTTAAAAACTGTGTCGGCATATGAAGTTGAGCCCCATAGTTCAATTCCATACTGCATGATGGAATAAAACATTGCATAATATACAGTAAGTTTAGTTTTCAGATCAATTATATTCCTTAAAACATACATTTGAGAACAGGCTGTATTCAGCCTCTTTAGTATCATGTCTATGTGTGGTTTCTAGGTTAACTTTTTATCAATAATTAAGCCTAAGAACTTTGTATCTTCAACGAATGGTAAAGTATCGCTTTGGTAGCGTAATTCAAAATTTTGATTCTCTCTATTTTGGATTGTTTGAAATAATATAACCTGTGTTTTAGAACTATTGAGTTGAAGCCCATTTACTGTAAACCAACTGGACAAATCTATGAGTGAGCGGTTGAGTTCTAATTTTAGATTGGGTATATCTTTTGCTTTAACTATGGATGTAGTGTTCGTGGATGACTGTGATGATGTCTACTAGACCGCAAAGAGGATAATGATCTGAAAGTTGCCGCAATTGCGTAAGACGATGATAATGTCTACATGACTGTGAAAGATATATTTAATATTTTACTGTGATTGCATAAGACGTTGATAACAATTCTGTAAAAGCAGGAGAGGATGATAGTGTTTACGTTACCGCTGAGCAATATTCAGGATTTTGCCGCGTCCACGGAAGACAGAATGACTGAAGAAGATATTCAGGATTTCACAGTGATCACAGAAGACTATGATTATGTCTCCACGACCCCAGGAGATGATCACGATATTACCTCAAGTTTGGCTCAGGCTGGCAAACCTCTAGTTATAATAAAATTTTCTTTTGATTATATTTAATATCTTCATTTACAATATAAAAATAGATTTACATACCTTAGGTCATCAATCCTAATTTAGTCTTGGGCGACTAGTTTCAAAACAAGAGTTTCACTGTCAAGCCTATTATAAAGTCATCGTAACGCATTGTTGTCGTCAATACACAAAAATACAACATTTAACAAACATGAACATGGATATGATTTCTTGACATAAATGAATGCGCGGCCAGCCATAACGCACACGGTGACAGACTTGATGCGACTCAAGGGTATCAGGTCTTTGCCTTTAATAAGGTATTTATTTTATGTGTTTAGAAGGGTTTAACTTAAATTGGCCGGTTCACATTTTTAATTGCTACATATAATTATATTTTTTCTTTACTTGAAAAACACCCCATTACGCTAAAAAACAGTATTGATCCTAATAAAGACAGGAGTTGGTGTGGCATAACCAATCCGTTCTAAAAATTTGGTAGAACTAAAAAAAATGGTATGGTTATTGAAATATGATCAATTTAGGTACTAGGCCATCAGTAGTCAAAATTTTATTTTCAGCACTTTAAACTATGTTGAACTCATTGGAATCAATGGAATTGGAATCGAGAATTGAGAATCAATAATAAGAATCAGGATGGGAATCTAAATCGAAAGTTTCTTGGAATCGACCTATAACTGCTTATTTAAATCTGTTAATGTAAAATATTTGGAGCTACTGACAAGAAGTTGCTGAGAACCAGATCAGCAATGCCGAGTTGTCCATCAGCATCCGTGAGTCGCCACTGAGCGTGTTTGAAGCAGATCTCGTTGGCTCTGACGACTGTGACGGGTTTGTCTCCTCGGGTAGTTGCCAGCTTCTGATTGGCCGACAGCTGAGTCTCCTTGTAACATGATAACATCATGTCCAACTCATCACTGGACGACTGTAACTGCTCCTTGCACTCATTTATCTACAAACAAATTCATACAATCAAATTAACCTTCATAAATAATCCGTCTCTACAGTTTACACTAAAATAAATGAGAAATTTTGAAAAGGGCTAGACAGAGGTTGTAAAGGTTAGTAAAGGTAGTATTTTTATCTTTTTAACTTTATATCATATTCGTAATTTCCACTGGCCATGGTCAGGGTTGTGAGAAATAATATGACTTGACACGACATATATAGCCTACATAAGATAAAGATCAATCCTTTGTAGATAATTATTAATAACTCACAATTATTTAAATCACAATATTGGTGGTTCAACTCACTTGAGCTTCCACATTCTTCATCTCGGACAGCAGATGCTCACTGCTAGGTTCATCTGCTAAGGCTCTCTGTACTAAGTACATTTCTTTCTCCAGTTTCCGCAGCTTTGAAACAAGCGATCTGAACAACATTTCAATACAATAAAGTTATTTAAATCTAACATAAATGTACAAAATTTAGTTACAATCACCTTGAATCATATAAAAGATAGGTACAATACCTGTATCAATATTCAAGTTTTAAAACTGAAAGCATTTAAAGTAGAATGAGTTAATATACTTAACATTTTCCTTCTAATGAAAAGAGGTGTGCGAAAGGCTCAATTCTCAAACCAAGCCGAGCCAACCTAAAAATATCGACCATTTTGTCAGAAAATCAAGCCAAGTCAAGTGTTTAATTCTTGCAATACTATCCCTGATCTCAGAAAGCATCTGCAAACATCACACCATAAAAAATTCAAGATGTTTTTGCCATTGCTTCAGATCGCGATAAATAATACTTACCTCTACATCATAACAAATCAACTTATTATATTACATAAGAAACATTCATTGGATACAAAAGCTTTACTCGATCAAAAATCTCCAGCTTGCACACCTCAATAAGAAGATTTTCAAAAAGAGCGGGTGTCTTAAGGTTTGGTATAGTACAAGCTCATCCCTGACCTGACATGGTTTTGCAGCTGCTGTATGGGTCTGTGCTGGTCCTGCACACTGCACAGTTGCAGCTGGAACCTCATCCTCTGCAGTCTCTCGTAAGCCTCTTTACGTCTAGGAGGGACATACAGCAGCAAGTTGTTGACTATGTCCAGGATCATAGCATACTGCAACACAAATAACACTCTGATTAGGTAAACTGGACATACCGTGCCTGATTCATTACAGTGCATTTAATAATAAAAAGATTGGTATGCTTACCCCCAAGAAAATCAACACAATAATTACAGGCTATGCAAGCAACCTCAAACAGCAGTGTAAACTAATTTCAAACAGTTTCTCATGTTATGTAGGCCTAACTTACCTGGAGAGAATTGGTGCAGACATCCAGGTCGTGGTGCATGAGTGTGAAGGCATCAACAGCTGTCTCCCGTCTTTCCCACGGAGTGCTGGGCTCTTCCGAAGGTACAGGGGGAACCTCCTCTAGGTTATGAGGATCCATGGAGCTCTCACCATAGCCAACGTAGAAGAACTCGCATTTACATCTTGACACTATACGTTGTAGCTGGAATAAATTGACTAGGATTAAAATAAATCACCTTATAATACCTACTCAACATCATAACAAAACTTGCATTGTGCAAGCTACTTACATTTTCACTTTTCAGACACACTTGTATAACAGTTAAAACACGGTTGCGATTGAGATATTGAATTATCCCTATAGATTAGGTAGCTCATCAACATACCTGCAGTTTATCTCCTGAGCTGCTGGCTCCCACAGTTTCACTGACCACACCTCCAACACTGCCCCCGCTACCCACCAGGTGTGGCAGGTCAGGCAGGTCAGCGATCACGGTACCTTCCTTCTCCTGTATGTTCTCAACATTCAGCCACATGATATTCTCTAAAATATAAATGCATCATACAGTTGGTCCACAATTTATGTAAATATTAGAAAGTTTAAAGTTATCTAGAGGTGCTATAAATTTAAGATTTTAATCTGTTACTTTATTTTACATATTTTTACATCACACACAAAGATTAGCCTAACCTACAAGTTGCTTGTCATTGAGAAATATCCTTAACATTTAGGTAGAATTGTGAACTGCTAGTGTACCATCCATGGAATAGCTCTCCCTGGGGCTGACTGTGGCGTAGTACTGCATACACTCTAGGGAACCAACCCAAGTGGTCTTGCTTACTAGAGTCCTCTCCTTCCATACTGGCCTGTGGAAACATAAAGGATAAAGTTTTACTAATACTAGGATACACAGTATAATTAAATAATAGATTTTTTTATTGACAAGTATAATGAATCAATTATTTTACTAAATATAACCAATAGACAATTTAAGTTCCTAAAAAGGTTGTTTGGTATCAACTTTTTCAGATTTTTATCTGAAATTCTAACTTATAAAATTAGATTGTCATAATACTAAGCTTATAATGTACCTGTGAACTCTCTGAAGAATTTCAGCCTTAGCAGCACTTAGGATTACATAGCCTTTGGTTTCTATTCCCTTCAGCAACACTTGGCTGTTCACCAAAGCAACTAAGAACAACACTTAATTAATGCATCAACAATGATTTTGAAAACTTAATCAAGAGAACATTTGAAAATTGCACTTTATAATGAATAGAAAAAACATGTAAAGCTAAGCCATATTATGTTTGTATTTTTAATGAGATAATAAGGCAGAATGGTTAATATTGGAAGCATAGGTTAAAACCAGACACTCTGTCTTCTGATTAGCATGTTTTTTACAGCTCCTACAGTGACTAGACAGTTGTTACTGGCTGAGGGAACAGTGCACCAACCACAATGGATGGAACTGATTCTCTGACCGTAAAACAACATTTTCATTTAAACTCAACTTATAACACAGTGTCTATGATTTTGAATTTATGATTTCTATGTGTAGTTAAAAAGACTTTGATAGGTAGCACAACAGTACAGTCACTTCCAAATCCCTTGCTATAAGTTGAATGGTTAAACATCATCAAGCTGCAAAAATTATGAAGAACCTTTTCACAGTAAAAATTAGCCTTGGAGAGAAAAAACTTTAGGCCTATTCAAATTACCACCATATAATACTGGGTTGAGACCTCTTCGCTGATATTTTTTTCTTTTACAATAAATTAATCTAAAATTAGTTACTCAATGGGGCTTGACATTTAAAAAATTTTGGATGTCCCCAAAATACCTGATTTAAGGGTCTTGTGCAAAATTGTGATACCAGTCAAAAAGTCCAATTGTATGCTATCAAAAGGTGTGCACAGTTCAGTTTTCCTGTTCAGCCCATTGAAAAGTTAAGAGTTACATTTGCTTATCCCTGTATTGTCCTGATTTTGAAGACATCTGATATTAGTTAGTAACAAAGTTATAAAGGTATTTCACTCTTCATGCAGCCATATTCAGTTTTAGTTGCACACCCAAAAGTGCACCGCTGTGTTTGAATTTCATTTTAATTTGATCAACTTACTGAGCCAGTTTTTGTGTACAACATCATCCATCTGAGAAGCCGCCAGTCCCTGGAGATGCTGCTCTCTGGTGGCTACAGACATGTCATCACTGAACACTACATTCTTGTTCTCTGCCTCAGCTATCAGCTGCTGCAGCATTGTAGCTGCTTGTCCTGACTGTAGCTTAGTCATGGGTGACGGAGTGGCCTGGAATGGGTGTGAAAAGATTAGTTAGAATTGACATTTTAAAAGATAAAAACAAAATTGTTACAGAAGAATTGAAGAAGTAATCCGACAAATTATCTACTTACCCTGAATGATACTTGCAAACCGATAAGAAAGCAAACTGCGAAGAGTACCAGTTTAAAGAAACTCTATTGGACTTGGCATTACTGTTTGTTCTCAATAATCTAACACTTAAGAGACTAGGAACAAGTAAGATTACCAAGTTTACCGACTTTTTATCATAAAAAATAGAATTAAAAGTAACCTATAAAATAAGCTAAGAAAAACTTACTCACAATGCCTCATTACAGTAGACTCCCTCTTATCCGGACTCCTTGGGACTGAGGCCAGTCCGGATAACGGGTTTTCCGGTTAAACCGACGTCCCCAAAAACTTGTTAAACGGACTGTTTACTGTGATATTCGACTTAATTTAGGAGAGCATTGTATTAAGACACAAGATCACTGGTGTCAAATCTTTCCCACGAGAACAGATGTTTCAGTACTGCCCACTTCCTGCCGACAGGGCCCGTTTAACCGCTACGCAAACTACGCGGCCGCATATGGCGCCAAAAAAAGTGGCGCCATGGCGCCAACGGAACAATTTTTTTATTTTTAGCGAATTTCCCTATAGGGAAGTAGCTATTACCGTAGGTCTCATGGTAAGACCTAAGCCCGGGACCGATTTACTTTTTTATTTTGATGTCCCCAGAGGCCAAAAACACCATTCGTTCAAATTTTTATATATCTATATATAGATATATATATATATATATATGTGTCCATCCGCACGATAACTTGAGTAATTTTTGTCCGATTTTGATAAAATTTGGTTTGAAGGTGTAAGGCGGGATAAACTTGAATGAGTTCGCGAACCAGCATGATCGGACTATGGGAACGGGAGTTTATGGGGGGTTTAACTTCCCCCTCCCTTCCTCCCTTCTACTTCTAATAACTGTCCCCTCCTAGAGCAGAGCATTACATTGTATTGTATTGCACTCTTTTAGTTGTATACGTACACCTGTTATGAACCAGATTGATACCGACTCAGCAATTAGCCTAAAGAATTTGCCAAGATCAAAGCTAGGAGAATTAATGTTTAACTGCTAAGAGCTTTTGAACTGTTCAAATTGAAAATTTTGTATTCTTTTTGTCAAGGTTATAAATTTGGTTTTTCATGTTTTCTAGATGTTTAATGTGTTCAATTAAAAATTCCTCTCTTATCATCTACCTACGCCTGTTTTTCATTGTTATAGGCTTTGTAATAGCTATTTACATTACAAGTGTAATAAGAGCGTTTTTACATCTTGCAGGTTAATGTTACGCAACGAGCGGAAGCGAGTTGCATAATTCACTTAAAGTGATGTAACACTCTCTTGCGTAACGCGTAATGTACAAGATTTTACCTGACCCGACAATATACATGGGGTCACATACAATATTTTTCATTATCCATTTCACTTATCTTCTAAAAGTAACGTTCTTTTACAAACAAAAGCTAGGTTAGGACTTAGGAAAATACTTTAAAGCATTTAACAATAACATTTAAGCGCAAAGCTGATTTCTAGCGTTGCACGTCGTTGGCTCCATAGAGGTATGATTTTTAAGTTAAGCACTCAATGTTATTTAAATGGGTTTAATTACCTCACCGAGTGAGTTTTTTCAACTTTACATCACTCGTGAAGTAAAGAAGGTTTTGAAGGTGAAGAAGGTTGGTTTTGTATACATCACGCTTGGGATAGGGAAGTTTAACATGGCGGGTTAGGTAAAAGCTTATATCGTATCCAAGTTATCCTGTAAAAATTGTTTTCACATTTAGAAATAAATTGTTAACTTAGGCCGTGATGCTCGTCAAGCATGAGGTCATGATAGAAGACGGCAATGACGTAGGTATTTATTTATTTATTCTAAGTGGCACTGATTCGGGTGTGTGTGGCTTTACTCTGAAAAATGCCTAGAACCAGCCCTGCCTGCCGATCTAGTCCAGTTAAACCAATGTGCTGATAAAAATTGTCCGGTTAAAGAGATGTCATTTCCGCCGAGTGTAGTCCGGTTAAAAGGTGTCCGGATAAGAGGGAGTCTACTGTATGTTCTCTTTAACTACTGGGGGTTATTAAATTTAATCATTTTATTAGCAATGTCCATAAGATACTTTCTAAACAAGGAAGGTATTTATAGTTTATTAAGTCATACTCTTTCTAAGTATGACCTACATTCTATTAGGCTTCCCTATATTGCATAAGTTTCTACTGTTATTCTTCCTCAAGATGACTGTCGAAACCTTTCTCAAATAATTTTAAAAATAAAAACCGTATTGAAGTCAAGCTTTCATTATTTGCCCCAACTGATTAGTGATTATGGTATTCCATACTTTGGAAATCGATGAGAAACCATAACCAGAAAGAGTAGAGACTTCTGTCACAATACAAATTCAATTGCAGTGATATAGAGTATAGACCTGTATTGCTGGTGCCGGTGGAGGGGCTGCAGGAGGTGTGGCTTGTCCTGCATTGCTGCGGCTGCGAGACTTGAGGGGAGTTGCGGTACTGTCCTTCCTGAACCCTTTCAACGCTTCTGTAGAGAGGTTCTTTTTCAGTTGCTGAAAGACACAACCTATCAGACTTTCCTGTTAACCTTGTTTTTAGCCATAATAGAAGACGTATAGCTATGACAGTTACACAAATCAATATTTTTTTATTTGTGCTACCGGTATGGTAATTTTGAAAACTTAAAATATTGATTAATTTAACTTAAATTATAATCTTCACTTTCTTGGTCATTGACACTTCAATGGCTTTTGACCTCACCTCTGCTCTGCTTTTTTCTTAGAGTATATTAGTACTAAGTTTATCAATGTCTTTTTAAAATTGGTCCTTCCATCCAAGGCCACACTAAAAAACAGGCCGTAATGCTCATCAAGCATGACATCACGATAGAAGACGGCAATGACGTAGCTATTTATTTATTTATTTTACAAGGAAAGATTAAAACAAGCAGCTGATCACACACTGCAAACATTACGTCATTGCCGTCTTCTATCGTGACGTCATGCGTGACGAGCATTCCGGCCTGTTTTTTTAGTGTGGCCTTGTTCCATCTCACCCTTGGTCTGCATTTTTTTGTTTTCTATCCTGGTTTTTGAGGAAAACTCTTGATCATCTATTATAATGTACCTATGCTCTAAACTTGTGCTGACTTAGCTGGTTTTTATTTTTGGTTTCCATGGAAATAATTGATTGTAAATAAACTAATACTAAAGAAAGAAAGTTGATACAATTTTAACTCTTTATTTATTCTACATTTATTAACTTAAAACTTAATTTAAAGCAGGAAAACCAAACATAACTTTACTTATCCACGGATATCACAATATGGTAGCAGAGCGTGGTTTCCTGCTTTAACTTTTTACAACTTTCTAAACTTAACTTCTTTACTCAAAATTTTTACAACTTCCAACTTTGAACTTCACTTTCCCGAATAACTAAGAATGACTTCAAGATGGGACCTTCGATTGAAATCTGCCTTACTACGACTGAAGACTTATACTACTGATACAAATGCATTCTTGGAGACTACAGACTTAACAGAACTACAACTTCAAACACGACTACGGACTTTGACAAGCTTTGTAAAGAGAGTGGAAGAAATTCAAAAACGTTTGGACACCGAGCCTATTACTGAAGATGGACAAACTGAAGGGCCCACCACAGAGGACGACTTCATAAATACTATGATGGACTGTGAGGAGGTGCTTGCACAGCTTACGGTAAGACTAGATATTTCTCAAACTAATAAGTCACAGGCAACAGTGCCTGATACGTCTACCGTTCAGCCAATACCAACTATACAGCACCAGTATGTTCAACTACCAAAGTTGGTATTACCAACCTTCCAAGGGGACATGCTACGGTGGCAGGAGTTTTGGGATAGTTTTGAGTCTGCCATTCATAGCCACCCCACACTCAGTTACGTTGACAAATTTAACTATTTGATTGCACAATTAAAAGGTGACGCTAAACGTTGCATCGCTGGACTCCCCATTACAGATCTAAACTATGATATTGCTATTACCTTGTTGAAAGACAGATTTGCTAAGAAACAGGTAATAGTGAATTCTCATTACTGTGCCTTGAGGGATATGCCACCTATCAAGTCCAGTGACACGGTAACACTAAGGCGAGGATTTGACAACATTGAGAAACATATGCGTTGTCTTCAAGCCTTAGGTGAAGACGTTACTTCTAACTACTTTGTTTCTCAAATTTTCAGTAAGCTGCCCTATGAAATTGTTTTGAAAGTTGAAGAAATGAATATTTCTGGGGAATTGGATGTTAAAACTTTGTGCAAATTTGTAAATAACTTAATTTCGATTCGGGAGAAAGCAGAGCAACTGACGACCTCAACACCTAGCACTTCATCTTACTCTAATAGTTTTGTTACTGTTCCCAATCCACAGGCGGACACTAAGAGGTTGACAACTACCCACTCACTCGTGGGAAACGATAAATTAAATTGTATTTTTTGTGAAGGAACACATTGGAATGACCAATGTACAAAATATCAATCTGCTGAGGCACGTAAGAAAGCAATTCAAGGTAGGTGCTACGTATGTTTAAGTAAGGGACACACTGTGAAATTTTGTAAATCACATAAAAGGTGTGTTTACTGTAAACAGCAGAATAATCACAATAGAAGCTTATGTACCAAACAGTTTCCTACAGACCAAATTTCTAGAAACACCATCAAAGTAGACACCCGATCAACTAATCATGCCAAAGCTTTGCCTGCAAGTAACTTCAACCCGAGCAAGGTAAATACCGAAGAGTCTGCTTTAATTTCTATGTCGGAGAGTGTTATTCTTCAAACTGCAACTATTACTTTGCGTAATGCTGATACTAAACAAGAAACGCGTTGTGGTGTTCTTTTTGATAGTGGTAGTCAGAGGTCTTATGTGTCCAAAGGTTTGGCTTCTAAACTGAGTTTGAATAGTAAATATTGTCAATCATTGTCTTTATTTACGTTCGGCAACCGTGAATCTAAAACTGTTGAGACTCAAGTAACAGATGTTCGATTACTGCTGAACGATGACACATGTATGGATATTATAGTAAACATTGTTCCACATATCACTGGGAAGGTAGTTTCTAGTACCAATATCAACTTAAATACAATTGCTTCCTCCTATCCCAAATTAAAGTTAGCAGACGGCCAGTTTACTTCACAAAATATTGATCTATTAATAGGGAACGATTATTATTTTGATATCATTCAGGGTCAGAAGATAGAAATTTCACCAGGCTTATTCTTAGTTAATAGCAAATTTGGTTGGATCGTAACTGGTAGGCATAACGATAACAATGATCATTTCCCTCTGATGTACGAGTCATCTTTTCTTACTCTAGTAAAACCCAACAACTTATTTCCTAGGTCACCACAAACTTTAAAGCCAGATATCAATATTTGTGAAGGTGACGACATCAAAAACTTGTGGCAATTAGAGACTATTGGTATTAAGGATGACCCACACGTGAAAGATGATGACATCGCATTGATTAAATTTAATGAGACTGTTAAATTTGAGAATGGTCGTTATTCAGTTTCCTGGCCTTGGAAAGATTATCCTCCAAATTTACCCACAAACTACAATCTTTCACTCGGTCGTTTGAAATCTTTAACAGATAGACTTTCAGACAAACATAATCTTCTATGTGAATACGACTCGGTAATTCAAACCCAATTGAAAGACGGTATAATCGAGCGAGTGAGTTTTTCAGACAGAAACAATGGAGTCCTTCACTATATACCTCATCACCCTATTATCACTGAGTCGAAAACCTCAACTAAACTTAGGATAGTGTATGACGCGTCAGCCAAAACCAGAAAAGGCAACAATAGTCTTAATGATTGTCTTTACCGTGGACCTGTAATTTTGGAAAACCTATGTAGTTTACTTTTACGTTTTAGAATGAATGCTATTGGAATTATTGCTGATATTGAGAAAGCATTCCTTCAAATAAATCTTCAAACTCCAGATAGAGATGTAACTAGATTTCTGTGGCTCAAAGATCCTTTGTCAGCACCTACTAAGGATAATATTGAGGAGTATCGATTTTGTAGGGTTCCGTTTGGAATCATATCCAGTCCATTTTTACTCAGTGCTACTGTTTTTCATCATTTGTCAAATTATGAACTTGATAATCTTAATGAAAGGTTGAAGTCTTCATTTTATGTTGATAATGTGGTTACCGGATGTGACACAGATCAAGAGGCCACAACACTATTTACAACTGCTTCTAGTTTGTTCTCTGATATTAACATGAACCTTAGATGTTGGTCTTCAAACTCAAAGACACTAATGACACAAATACCAATGGAAAAAACTACAACTGAGAATCCTACTGATGTTAATGTTCTTGGATTAAGATGGAACACCAATCTTGACAATCTTCACATAAAACCTGTTAACAATGACAGAAACAAACCTATTTCAAAAAGACAAGTTTTAAGTACTATATCATCCGTTTTTGATCCCTTAGGGTTATTATCCCCTGTAACACTGAAGGCTAAAATCTTTCTCAAACAGTTGTGGGAAGACAATTTGGATTGGGACGAATTACTAGATGAGCCTAAATGTAGGGAATGGAATATTATATGTGATGATATTATTAAAGTAACTGAAGTTTCTATTCCTCGATTCGCAGGATTACGAGCAGATCATGTAGAGCTCCATTGTTTTACGGATGCATCAAAGGATGTATATTCGTGTGCTGTGTATATCAAATTAATTAGTAAGGAGAATGTCAAAGTGACTCTCATGTTTTGTAAAAGCCATTTAACTCCAAAGTCAAAGCCGAAAATTACCCTTCCAAGACTCGAACTTTTAGGAATGTTGATTGGAACAAGAGCATTACGTTTTGTGGAAGAATCCTTAAAATTTCCTGTTGTAAATAAGATACTGTGGACTGATTCACAATGCGTGTTACTTTGGATTAGCACAACAAAGCTGCTTCCTAAGTTTGTGGAGAGAAGAGTAATGGAGATCAAAACCAACACCGAGACGCAATTTAGATACGTTCCTACTGACGAAAATCCAGCTGATATGGCGACTCGAGGTAAAACGGTGGATAATCTGAAACACTGCAATGAATGGTGGTCAGGTCCACAATGGCTGTCTTGTAGTCAAGACTTGTGGCCGGATTGGTCTTCTGATTTTAACAAGCCATTAACTGAAGACGATATGGTTGAACCTATTGAAGAAAACGTCGTCACCTTGACTACAAAGACCGAAGACGTGAGTGAAACTAGTAGTCCTTTTGGCATAGATATACAAAGGTTTTCATTACTTTCGAAACTGATTTTGACAACAGTTTTTTGTAAAAGGTTTATAAGTGGATGCAGACGGAATAAACAACCAAATCATGTTATTCCTACATCTGAAGAACTCAAAGATGCTCGTTTATCGTGGATCAAACATGTTCAAAACACTTGTTTTAGTGAAACACTAAGTAATATAAGAGATGGTAGGTATGATAGATTGCAGAATCAACTTGGCCTATTCGTTGATATGAATGGACTTATCAGATGTAAGGGTAGGATCTCAAATGCAGACCTTGAAGAATATTGCAAGTTCCCTATACTTCTACCAAAGAACGATTTATTTACTCAACTGCTCATAGAAGAGTGTCACTGTAAGATTTTTCACATGGGAGTGCAACAAACTCTCTCGGAACTTCGGAAATCCTTTTGGATAATCCATGGCAGAGCTGAAGTCAACAGAGTTTTGCGAAAATGTTTGAAATGTTTAAAATACGAAGGTGGACCATACAAGCTGCCCCAAATACCCTCGCTTCCAACAGAACGGGTGACTGAAAGTATACCTTTCCAATTTACAGGACTTGACTACTTTGGCCCTCTCTACATTAAATCCTTTCAAGCTTCTAGAGTTGAAGTTTCAAAAGTTTACGGTTGCATATTCACCTGTTTAGTCACGAGAGCTGTTCATTTAGAGATCACCAATAACTTGTCGTCAGAAGAATTCTTACTATCTCTCAGGAGGTTTGTGGGAAGAAGAGGTACTCCGAAGAAGATTTACTTGGACAACGCTACTCAGTTTAAGAAGGCTTCCTCGTTCTTGAATGATATGTTTGTTGAACATCTCGATACACCAGAATTACTGTCTTATGTAAGTGAAAACCACATCGAATTTACTTACATCCCAGAGTTTGCACCTTGGATGGGAGGAATGTACGAGAGGTTGATATCTTTGATAAAGAGATGTTTAAGAAAGAGTATTGGTTCAGTTACTCTGACTAAATCACAACTCGACACTGTGATGATTGAAATAGAAGCTGTTGTCAACTCAAGACCACTAGTTTATGTATCTTCCTCAGATCAAAGTTTGACTGACTTTATTATAACTCCTGGCCACTTCCTTCACTTCCATGGAAAAAATGGTTTTGTAAATAGTTTGAATGAATGTCAAGAAAACGACATGGAGTTTATTTCTAAAGTGACTGAATCGGACTTATTAAAGATGTGGAAAAAGGGAACCAACAACTTAAGGGGAGTCGCTACTGAAAAACTACCAATTTTGTAAAAAACTTGATTTTTTTTATTATTTTTTTATCTTGTTCTATGGATTGTAAGGTTTCAGAAAAACATAACATTTGGTATAATATATATTTTTTTCACTGTGAAAAAAACATTTGAAGTGAAGCGCGCACACCTCTTTTGGGGCATCAACTAGGCCTAGTATAAACCAACGTATAAACTTCAACCGCTGTTTTCCGCAACTTTAAAATTTTGTTTTTTTATATATATAAGTTCTTATAACTTTTAACCTATTGCAGCTATATGAATGAAATTTTTACCACACATTGTTTATACTATAAAACAACTTTCTGTGCATGGATATTGTAATTGGGTAAATAAAAGTACATGAAAAAAAATTTATAAAAATTTATAACCTATAAATTTTTCAAAAACTTATTTTTGAAGCCATAACTTATAAACTAATTGAGAAAATAACATGAGTATGCACAGAAAGTATGTGCTTTCCTTGCTCTTCAAAATAAGATATCGAACAATAAAATTGGTTCAGTAGTTAAATAGTTATAAGAGATTTAAAAAAACCCATTTTTTCCCGCCAAAAAACTTAAAAAACTCTAAAAAGTATGTAAATTTTTTTTTTTTTTACTTTAACGGCAGTAAATCTTTTTCTAAGACTAAATGAACTTAAAAAAGTATATATGATAATTTTTAAAAGGATTTTATTAAAAATCACTAGTTTCAGTAGCGACTCCCCTTAAATAGCTTTTGGAAGATTTGGAAGAAAGACTATCTGTAGAGTTTAAGGGAGAGAACTCGACATAATATCAAACAAGGAAGAATTCTGTCAACCCAACATCCACAAGTTGGTGATGTAGTTCATGTTCACGACACATTACCCAGAGGGACATGGCGACTTGGGAAAATAGAAGTCCTTAACGTCAGTGCTGATGGAAACGTAAGAAGTGCCAAATTAAAGTTAGGATCTGGGAAATACATCACCAGACCTATTAACTTGTTGTATCCCATTGAAGTCTCTGACGTGAATTCCGGAAAGAAAAAAGGGGCCCAGAACAACTAACTAATGATGTGGGAGTGTGCTGACACAGCTGGTTTTTATTTTTGGTTTCCATGGAAATAATTGATTGTAAATAAACTAATACTAAAGAAAGAAAGTTGATACAATTTTAACTCTTTATTTATTCTACATTTATTAACTTAAAACTTAATTTAAAGCAGGAAAACCAAACATAACTTTACTTATCCACGGATATCACAATACCTGTTTAATGACCTGTTAATACATGTACAAATATTAACAGACAGAATAAAATCTTATGTCTTATCAAAATGTTCTATTCTCCACACATCTCAGACTGCCCACCTTAAGCTATGATTTTTTAATTTGAAACTTAACCAACCTGAACTATTCATAATTCAAAATTTACAATCGGATTGAATTTGTAATTTCTTATATATTTATCTGCCAGGCCCGTATTGATTTATCAATTTAGGAACAGGACTACATTTATACTCAAATTACCTTGGTCTTCATAAATGAGTCGAAAAGAGCAAATGCCACCTCCCTGTTGCTCATGGTCCACGCCCCCTTGAGGTGATGTACGACAAGGCGATGTGTAGGGTTGCCCTCCCCCGGCCCACCTCGTCTCTTAGCTCCCAGCGCAGACGCTTCTCGGCCGTAAGACACCTTGCCTACACTCAGACAGTAACACTTCTCCACTGGGTTGCAGAGTGAGATGGGCTACAACAGAGAGGAAATAACACAGTGGAAAAGCGAGTTTCAGATACACAATGGTTATTTCCAATCAGCCTGAGAGAACACACTTAAATGTATTTTCAAAAGACAGCCATGTTGTACTGGATTGAGATAGAGACCTCTTTGCTGATATTCATCTTATCTAATGGGGCTTAACATTTAAAGTCTTTTAGCTGTCCCCAAAAGGGTCTTGTATAAAATTCTGATACCAAAAAGTCCACTTTCATGCCATATAAAGGTGTGCAGAGTTTAACTGGATATTGTGGTAGCCAAGATTACCATCAGACTTGTCAGTTGATAAAAATATGGTTGAAGGATGGATGAAGAAGCACCCATATATCCAACACATATTTTTTGTGTGTTTGTATTTGTTTGTTTTTACAATATGTTTATTGAGCAAACTTTTATTGCACTATTCTACTAACAATCCTGTCTACCCCAAAATCTTTAAAATCTGGCCTAACCCTCTTTAACAAATAAAGATATGACCGTAATTTTAAATTTAATACTCAAGAAAGTTTATTTATAACATTAATTTAGAAAAGTAAAACAAGGATTTTTGTTTAGATATACCATTTTAAGACCAACATTGGTTTATGGCACATAAAAAATTAGATTGTTTTTATTATTTTTCAATAATGCATTTAGTTTGTACACGGTAAAGGATGTGAGAGTTAAAAGTCATAAATAAAACTGACATTTCAATTATAAAGAATATAAACTATCAAGGACCAAGCATTTTCATCTCTCCTGGATGTGTTCTGAAACATGAGTTAGTTGTAAAATAGCTATATCACCTCTTCTCCACTCTCCTCTCTTAGAGCACTCTTGAGCCAGACCTCTGCATCGTTGAGTTCACAAGTCATGTAGACGATGGACCACTCTGGCCTTGGACGATGCTTCAGTCCGTCGTCTATAGGCACCAGCGTCAGTGTGTGCTCTGTCACCGCAAAAAAATAATGTTTGTTACCAACAATAACCTTGTTTCTCTTCAATCTAGTTATAATCATGCAACCGACAGTACTATAGTAGGTACAGTCAGATATCAATACTAAAATTTAGGTGTTTCTAACAAATACCTTTTTCAAAAAAAAAAAAAAAAAAAAAAAAAAAAAAAAAAAAAAAAAACTATGAGTTTAATCCTACAGTAGGCCTATTGTTTTTTAAAACGTCGGTGGTCTATCTTAACCTTGCATTTGCCTGTATAAATAATAGATCTTGGGTGTGTGCAACAAGTATGAGAGTGAACTTTACTGATCAAATTTAACATCGAGCATAGCACCAGGACGTGAACCCTTGACATCGCTGCTATGGATTTGTAGTTCATTACAATACTGAATGTGGCAGGAGTTTGTCAGACTTAATGAAATACTCGGTCTGAAGAAACAACTTTTTGTGTGGTACCATTTGGTTGCATGAGAAAGTAACGAAAAACTTAATTAATTCAAGGTCAAAGGTGTAATATAGAGCAAAAAGCCAGGATTTTGAGGTTTTTTTATATGAGAGCACGATTATCTGAATAGGGAGGAATTCACACTAGTACAAAAAACCCAAAAAACTGTTCTGTATAAGTGAAAGGGGTTTTGTGTTTCTTGTGCCAGAGTAAACTCTTCCCCATTCAAGTCAGCACACTATTGCAACAAATAATCCCTTAATAATCATAATTCTGAACCCTAAATGATTCTGAGATAATGATATAGAGCAACTGTGTAGAGTTGCTAGCAGCTAGTAAACCAGTAGCAAGTGCTGACCAGAGCTTGACGATATCCTCTGGCCAGTCAGTTCCAGGCCTCTCTGCATGGCAAAGCTCATCCAGTAGTGGATGTGGAAGCGGTGGAGAGCCAGTGACAGGTGGATGGTTCTGTAATGTCTACTGAGAGGGATCTTACGAGGCCGCAAGTTGTTGAAGATAGGGCCTCGTCTGGTAGGCCGTGTCACACCAGACAATATCAGCTTCAGGTTCTCAAACCACCTGTAACACACCTTCATGAATCTAACTTAATGTGCGCTGTGTGAGGATTTGAACATATTTGAATTTATAAAACATTTAGTGATACTCCTTTGATTCTGAAGCGAAAAGAAAAAGTGATTAAAACGATTTGTAAAAGCTAGAAATGCAAAGTTCTTAAGGTAGTAATTCAAAATTATTGAGGGAATTGAGGAATAAGTTTATCAGGATCAGCATTAACGTAATGCACAAAAAATGTGACTACGCTTCAGAAAGGGCAACTATCAATATTTTGTAAACCACAGGCAGAGGTATGGGAAACAGGACACCGCTTCAACTATAATCTGCTGCCTTATCTTGTGTATTGACTATACTGTACTGCTTAAGATAAGTAAAAATATATTGTGCTTATAAATATATATATATTTATATCTAAATATATAAATGTTAGCATAAAAGAGGCACCGAGGTTTTTTTGGACCAAGACAAAGGGTGGAAAATAAAGCTATGTACAGTACTATGAGAAGACAAAGCAAACAACTTGCAATCTGTAGCAAGAAAAAAGGACTATTTCCACAAAATTCTAAAAAAATACTAATACATTGCACTATTCTCTAAAAATTTTTAAATATAGTGATCATTGTTATTGTGTATAATTTCTAAACAACAACAATTCAATACCTCCAAATTTAAGGATCTTGATCGGCACACAGCAGGTAGGTATAAAGTTTAGAAAATCCAACACTATAGGTACACAGATCAGCAGAGGATTTGTCTATTACCTCAATGTGCTTCCGTAGAGGAGCGCCACAGGACAGTCCAGATCTGATGACTCATTGTTGGACATTGGTTTGGTCTCAAGAGACAGGGTCACATTTAGGTTCTGTGAGCGGAAAGCTCTGAAGGAGTCGTGCACCTGGTTGCTGGAGTACTCAGGCAGCTTGTCAGGAGCACAAGGCATCACCGAGTGATGGTCGTTAGGATTACCCAGACACATCCATGTCAGTTTGATGCTCAGTTTCAGGTTGGGCAGATGTAGCAACCGACAGTCATCATATTTTGAGGCCGTCCGCACCCAGATGTCAAAGTTACCCTTGAATACTACTTTGGCTGTAACAGAACAATATTATTTCTATAAGCAAAATATTTGGTATTATTATATAACTCTATGTGGTATGAAATAACCTATATTTTTTGTAGAATTTTATTTTGAGAATTATGACCAATAACAACAGAGAGAAATAAAATGTTTTTCTTTTATTAAGAAAAGCACTTTCTTTCAAGGTCCGGATCAATGAATTTAAGCTCAAATGTTTTATATGATATTTATAGATATAAATGATATGATACCATAGTTTCAGACTGCTAATAATCCGAAACAATGCACATTAGGTTACCAGTTGGATCCTAAGATTGGTAGCCTTTGATGGGTTTAAACTGGACTTAGCTTGCTTTGATTATTGGGCTTATAATAAAATGTCTTGCCTTAAGAAACAGCTCAGTCAGTAAAAGAGCTACACAATACATCTACCTCACTACTTCTATCAATACACACCCTTAATTTACATTGGAGTTGAAACACAACCGTTTTGTTTCCATTTTAATTAGGAATGGTAATAACACAAATTTTGTAAGTAATATTATTTTTATAATTTCTTGGTTGTTTATGAAATTTAGAGATAGGCGGGTTCTGATAATTCTGAACATTTTTGGGAAAAATTATTATTTTCAATCATCGGGACAAGATTACTGAGGATTTTTTTGATACAGAATTATTTCCAACCCTCAGCGATTCTGCTATGTTATAACTGAAAATGATGACGTCCCCGCAATGGTGGCGCCGTGATTGCAGGACATGTTAACGATGGTACCATGATCGCAAAACATGTTAATGATTGGGACATGATTTTGGCTCATGTTCGCTTTTGAATAATGAGATTGAATAAGATTTTAGAGACTTGTATTCTGAATTAAATGATTTAATACACTGAATTAAAACTGAACATAAACAAATACCAACCGCAGCTGATGCTAATCTTGCATATTTTATAATGCAGTGATAGTTGGTTTAAACAGTTTTACAACACAAGTGATTTTTCACAGCTAAATTGCACTAAATATACTATGATTTTTAGTTCTGGTTAATAGCTTTTGTTACATACAAAAATATTTACCCATTTTTGGGTTTTTCAACAGATTGATTTTGCTTGTCATTACTGAAATGTGCAGTGCATGAATGGTTACTCAAGAATTGTAAAACAATCTTTTTTTGCTTGGAGACAAATATCCCGGGGCGCTGGACCCACCATTAGTCCAGTCCATGACAACATTGCTCCAGGTAACCTCCATCTCCTCAGTGGTGTTGTAAGGGTCTAGACTAGCATGCAGCAGTACAGTCAGCTGGTGTATCTCCATAGTCAACTGTCCATGTATCAACAGCCTCATCTTGTCCCAGAATGACAATGGAGGACTGGGGTCTAGCGAAGGCCTGGAGATCTTCTCAAAACCTGCATCATAATAAAATTGTAATACCTTTTTATCAGTTATTGATAGTTGGATGAAAATACAAACAATGCGGCTTAAACACGTAGAAAACAAAACTAATGCAATAATGAACTTCCTTAGAGTTTTAAAGTTGATGAAACATATCATGGAGTTTTTTTTTACCGAAAGAGGTTGGCAGCCTAACCTAGTATTTTCTTGCCTACAGGGGCGTCAATGGCCTGTGCGTACTGACATACTACGCAAGGAATAAATGTTAAGTCGGGGCACGAGGATGTGAACCAATTTTTATCTTATCTGAGTTGATTTGTCAAATGATTGCAAATCCCATTCAGTTGTTTTATTTAGATACCCTCATTGTCCAAGCACCTGATAAATACCTGCAAACTACTCTTAAAAGGGGTACTTCAGCCAATCTCTTACAATGTGTTAGAGTGAACACATTGCTGGCTTGTTTTTTACAGTCTGACGTGCTTCCGACTGAGCCTCCGACTCACCAAAACTTCAAACGTTTATACTTTAGCCAATAGAATTTACACTACAAAAACAACTCAATCTTACTGAGGTTGCACTGAGCGATGACAGGCTCCCAGCAAGGTCCAAAGGCGTAGCTGAAGTGTTCAACTTCACAGTTGAGATCGTGGTAAAACTTCAGAGAAGTCATACTTCTCTCAACTTCAACATGGCCCCATGGCTCACCAAGTTCAATTAACACTTCTCTCTTCGCTACAAAAAGGCAAATTCAAAATAGATATACATATTACCTGGGGTTAAATTATTCTAAATATATCCTGCCACTTCATGCTGTGAAAGTATCGTGATATAATCCAAAACATTGCATTAAAATATTTCTTAACTCTTAAAAATTTATGATTAAGGAACTTATTTCTTGCCAATGAAAAAACAAATACCATGATTCATTTAAAAGAAAAGCCAAGAACCAATCTGATTAAAGAGTTTTTTTTTCAAAAAGATGTTATCTTCAATCTACACTCGGAAGAAGCGCTATACTAAGAAAATCAGTTTTATGTGTTTGACCTTAATTGTGTATCATAATAGATGATAAGAACACTAGGTTTCTTTTTAGCTACACTAGCTAAATCTATGCCTAAAAAGCTTCTGTTACGAAAATTAAGTGATTCAGACCAACATATTCATATTCAAACATCTTTATTAGTCATGTACATTGGTGGTACAGTGAATAGTGTCAGAATACTCATGGTGGAAAACTCATTCAAAATGAATATAATGCTAGATTTATTATGATGTTCTTTTAGAATTTTCTTGAATTTAGATAGGTTTGTTTCTTTTTATGAATTCAGGGACAAATTTTAGAAAATCGTTACCAGCGTATGAGGTTTTTTTTTTCAAAAATGGTAATTTGTTAGGCTGGACAAACTCCCTTCTCCTCCTGAAATTATAATAATGCACTGAATTTATTTTTGCTCAGATTAATTTTTTTTTGCGATTAAGAATTGTTTCATACATATATTGTCCATAAACTGTAAAAATTTGTAATTTCTTAAAATTTTCTTTTGCTGAATCATCTCGTTTAAGCTTAAGCATAATTCTGAAAGCCTCTTTTTGCCGCTTCAGACGCTACAGACTACAACACACACTTACAAGACTATACATTTAACCAATCCTCCTAGATATAACTATTATTGAATGTTCTAGTAAAGATAAATCACCTCTTCTGTTCGGCATCTGCTCTGCCCCCACCAGTCGTCCCCACATGTGCAGCTGGCCAATGTCTAGCCAGGGCTGGGGGAAGTCCCTCAGTTGGAACTTCCACTCTGTACAGCTGGCAGTCACTGAGCGACACCACAGCGTTGTAAACTCAACCCCCTCCTCAGGCCACGGTCTGACAACAACAAGTGTAAAACATTAAGTAGGTGTAGGAAAACTTAGTATGTGTGGGAATAGGAGATACCAATTTTGTCATTGTCATGGAGTGGCTGTCATTGTAGAAAGCGATGGTTGAGGCCTTTTACTGGAAGATGGGTGGATGGGGGAATAAGGATAGTGGAACATAACTACACAATATAGTATGTGTAGGGATGGGAGTTGCAATTTTTTCGTGGAATGACTATACCACAGAAGGAGACGGTTGGGGCTTTTTCTTGGAGGATGGGTAGATGGGGGATTGGGTTAGGATTACACTGATTATTATATAGTTTATATGTAATAATGGGAGGAAGAAAGTTTCACAGTTTAGCGGGTAACCTGCTTTAATATAAGACTGTTATTCAATCAACAATCATTAAACCTTTGGTCTTTACAGTACATAAAATTATCTTTGTTTCAACTCACGTGTCACAGTCAATCTCACTCATAACCCTGGTCACATGTTCTGGTCCATGGATGGATGGATCAGCTAGTGCTAATATCTCTACATCAGACATGATCCAGGCAAACAGTCTTGTCCGAGTCCCAGCCTGTTTATCAAAGGGTTATTGTTAGTTACCTATCTAAAGTTATGATCAAATTCTTTGTCACAGTAATCTGATCTGACTTGGACGTGAATTGGTTTAAACTTTTACGTTTCTATATCATCCACAAAGATATGTTATGGAAGGGACAAAATAATTTCCCGTCCCTTCCTGAGATAAAAATTGCTGTCTCAAAGACCCCTAAATGTTACATGGTTCAAACTTCATTATCTAAAAAAAGTTTACTAAGTAATTATTTTCCTGGCTCCTACAGAGGCTGTTCCTGCAGTAAGGGAAATATTGTATCAATTCCCTTACCAAGATAAAATATTTTGATTCAACTTTAGCCGTTTAGGATAGTGATTTCATATATTGTGTTTGAAGGAGCATCATATTGCTTTGTTCACATAAATAGTTTACAATTTAGTAGAACGCCGTTTGGTTATTTAGCTATTTATTCATAACAACTCGTTATACAGTCCACTTTTGTCATTTATTGTAAATTGGTTAGTTTTTATTTGCCGAAACATTAGTACAACTCGCACCACAACATTACCTACAACGCTACAACAGAGCACTTTTATGATTTGATAAGCGGTTTTGCGTTTTCAGACATAGTTTGATAAAAGTCCAATGTATAGCAACAACCAAATAGAACAGTCAACTGTGTGTACCTGAGTTTACTACTTGGTTCACAAGATCAATGTGGTATGACTTATGATGCAAACACAAACATTTTTTAAAGAATGGCAACAAAAAGGTGAATTGAACATTAAATGGGATTATACAGGGTTAGTAAAAAGTGTGGAGACCCCCTGTTATTTTTATAACGGCCCATACTAGAAAAACTAAACTCGGCACACCATTATGGCATTTATGAAGTACTTTTTGTGCATAACCGCCACTTGGTGTTCATGGGCGATAATGTAAAATGGGGGATTTTGGGGGAAACTAAATAATTTCAAATACAAAGACCCATCGAGTGACCCCTCATTTTGAAGGTCCTGGTAAAAGAAAACCAACAACACAAACTAGAGGTCTCTATCTCAGTTCAGTACAAACATTTTTGAGTTTCCCCCAAAATCCCCCATTTTGGGTTTGGTAAGCAAGTGGCTATTAGGCTTAAAAAGTACTTCATAACATGCCAAAAAGGTGTGTAGAGTTTAGTTTTCCTAGTGTGAGCCGCTACAAAATTTACAGGGGGTCTCCAGACTTGAAAAGCTGTAAGTTAAATTCAACTTCTGAGAATTTCAATTGGCTGCCATTTTTACTGGATTGAGATAAAGACCTCTAGTTTGCGGTGTTGGGTTTCTTTTACCAGGACCTTCAAAATGAGGGGTCACTCGATGGGTCTTTGTATTTGAAATTTTTGAGTTTCCCCCAAAATCCCCCATTTTGGGGATGTACACCAAGGTACGGTTATGCCCAAAAAGTACTTCATAGCATGTCATAAAGGTGTGCCGAGTTCAGTTTTTCTAGTATGGCCCGTTAAAAAAATAACAGGGGGTCTCCACACTTTTTACTAACCCTGTATATCACAAGAGTTTAAATCTTTACAAACTTGAAATTAAAGTCTAAAACATTCAAACAGATAGAAGTTATTTAACAATTTACCTGTTTCATCTGACGACTTCGCTGCACATAGATTTGAGAGTTGAGCTTATTAAGATTGCTGTAAAGTTCCTCAACTTTTCCAGCTGGTAGTGAAAGTCTATCTTTATACAGCTGAGCGACCTGTAAACATATAACTCCTTAACAAGTTGATGATGCTAAATATGATCAGTAATGTTTTTGTTGATTACTGCCACCATCTATAACTGCAGTAAAAATAATCTTATGGGATGTATGAACAAAACAATTCAAATGTCCTCTGACATATTTACGGTTATTACTGGAGGGATTTCTCCTTCTCAGTATTGAGGAATGTAATTTCCATAGAAATGTCGGAAAAATCAAAAAGCTGCTTACCTTGGCTTCAAGCATTTTTTCTCTTTTGAGACTTTCCTTGTACTCGTCTTCAAGAAGTTCATAGTTGTCTCGGAGTTTCACTTCAAACGGATCATCACTCATCTCAAATAGAAAATCATGCACCTAACAAAATGCAACCAAATATTATAGGTACTGCAAAACATTTCATTATTTTGAATAATTAAGTAAAAAATTATGAATACATTAAAAACACATCTATTAGAAACATGTTATTGATCAAATGAGTTGAATAGAGATTTATGGACCTTTTATTAGCCTAAGGTTAAAGGTCATAAAATCACAGGTTTTCATTGAACTATTATTCAAGAAAATTCTTTTAATACAAAATATAATTTTATTTTTTTCTCTTTTTTATTAACTAGAAATTTTAATAATGACCTAGCGGAAAGAGAATAATATACAAAATAAGCACTACTACTCAAATATGCTGATATTGTTAAAAGTAATTTTATAAACTTAGCAAGTAGGCCTACTTACTTTGATTACCAAATCAGAGGGTAGGGATTCTGGCTGAGTTTTTGATTTATGTTTCCGATGAATAATTTTCAACCATTTTACAATGCTGATAAACTCTTTCTGTACAGCATCAGTGAAGTTGTGTTCATATGGAAAAATTGCCTTTAGAGATTTAATAGAAACACCCCTGAAAATCCATTATAAGTTATCAACAAATTGAACTCAGTTTATTTTCACTAATGCATCATTATTCAGTGATACAAAACAGAACACATAACACTTTATAAATTACAACTAAATAATGTAACACAGAACAAGAAATATTTATTGTACAAAAATAGTTTTAAATCTTGTGGTTGCATAACAATTTTAAATTGCATGAAGACCAGATCATTGTGCAATGTAGATTGGGATTCATACAATCTGTTGTATATTTAATAGATTTGAATATGTTACTTACTTAATACCAATTTCATTTCAGCTTAACACCACAGTTTTAAAATCAGACTAACATAGATGTTAGAAATAGCTGGCAGTGCATGAATTTAATTAGTATAATAATTGTACAGCATTGAAGGCATGCTAATCTCTGTTCCAAAGTATGTTTGTATTATTAAAAAATAAATGTATTTCTAGAAGAATAAATCAATATCAGCGAGTTTCAATATTTGTTGGAACTCTGTTGTAGAGGGACTGGTTTTTTTCACAATATCTTTGTATACATATTGTAATGCTTGTTAGAATTTCGTACAAAGCTTTGTGATGGTTAGATTCTTAACTCACCAAGTTTTGTTCCATGGCAGTACAAAGCCATCAGAATTTGCTCGTTCCACTTTGACAATTTCACTGTCATGAAGCCTCTTGACGACGAGTCCGTCAAAGGTGAATATATTTGCCCCGTCAACCGCAATTTTGAGCGAGGAAGACTCCAAAAGGCTGTCACTTTCACTGCTTGTGTAGAATATGTCATCTGGGAAAATAATACAATGAGTTATTTAGTTGAATTAGAAGAGAATTTGTTTACTATTACAAGTCATGCGAGGAATGGACAAGAATTTAAAATGGGAGAAATTAATATATTTACAAGTTGAAAATCACTCGATACTTGGGCGAACAGGACTACTCTAAGGCATCTGTTGCCTTAAAAAAAAAACCTCATAAATTTGGTATGGATCTAGCTTAATAATTTAAAGTGTTTTCCAGAGAATTCAAGGAAAATCATCAATATTCAGTACTACTATTGGAACTTTATCTTAAGCTTCATCAAACCACTTTATATTTAGGAAAAACTTTGAAAATATTTTTTAAGGAATCCATTATTTTTATCATTTAATACGTTCACTGTGCATGACAAGTAATCTCGTCACCGCTAGCGTTTTCCAGTGGTGCGTGACAAATATACTTGTCAAAGCGCAGTTTACAAACTATTGCTCCAATGGGAGGTTAGCCACTGCCGTGAGAAGTTGTTTTGCTTGCCGCATAATGTGCCAGTGTTGTACTTTAATCTGGTATAATTCGTTTTCAGATCCAACTATTTTATCGGTGGTAGGGATTGTTGGAAATTTATTGTAGTGTTAAGTTTAGGCTTGGATCTAATTACATGCAATAGAATAACAATAATGAATGTACTGTAGCGTTGTTTAACCAATCCATTAACTGGCAATGGATTACTATATTGGGGGACTCCTTTAAGCTGCAAAAATCCAACTAGGCCTAAACGAGGCAATTCACATTTGGCAAGAGTGTTCACGTTCTCTTCCATTTTTAGCTTCATAAAAGTTGGAGACAGGGTTGAAAAGTAGTGGGGGGGGGGGGGTAAAAAACGATGCTGGCAACAGGAGCTAGTTGGAGACCTAATTGTACAGACAATGCTCGGACACGTACATACACATTTACCTGTTGTAAACATAAGATTGTGTTTGGAAGACAAGATCAAGTTGCACCTGAGATGCGCTTTCACCTGCACCTGCAGTTTGCTAGGTGTCAAATCTGTTGGCTGGCTCACTGTCTCTGACTGCTCTTCTAAAACATGACACAACAGATTAAACTTAAGCCTTTTAGATTTATCACTTTAAGGGGAAGACAATTAACTTTAAGAAGTGTTTATGTCCACTGACCTGTTTATGACCTCCCCGACTACTCTTGTTTCACTTCAAAACTGATAATATACATGTCTTTCCTTATTCTTTTTAATAGCTTTAAATTATTACAACCAAATAGAACCATTGTATTTAAACTAGGGCTTGTCTCCTGGTAGCCTAGTATAATCATATCGTGAAGCACAAACTAATAAATTTACCCTAAAATAAAGAATACACATTAGCACTGACAGATCTGCTGACTTGCTTGATTGGCCTTCAAACTATTTGTTAGCAGAGTAATTAATAGTAAAAAGAACTAAAGAATCATTTTGAATGTCAACCTTACCGGTAAACAAGGCAAACATATTTTTTTTTATAGTAAAATCAATTATTTTAGGATATATCAGGCTAAACACTAGCTATTTTACAGGTAAAAAAACAAACAAACAGTAAAATATCTTAAACTAACCGTTAAAAAAAAACTAGGAGTAGGAAAGTATAGAATAACCAAATACTTGAGCTCACCCGAAGTAATCAAAGCATTCCTTAGGGCCTTCATCTCCTTGAACAAAGTGAGGATCTTGAGGTGAAGATTGGGGCTCCAGACTGCCTCAAACTCATGTGAGAACTCCACAAGCCACATGTTGTCACTGCGGTGCCACTCAGCACGCGCCATTTTGATGTGACCACACGCCAACTTGATCTCTTCTGACCTGTATTAATTTATATCAAACTGGATTTTATTTTTTTCCTCTCGCCGCAGGATTTGGAGTAGCCTACTGTGCTAGCACAAACAGCTCAGTGGTCCACATGAAGACGTGTCAGTCCACGTGTTCTTTATTTCACGACAAAACCCAAACTAACCCAAACTATCAGTAAAAAACTAAGAATAATGTTCGAACTGACTCGAGACTTGACTCAATTTACTCTAAGATCCATTGAGTTATTTTTTTAAGTGTATGTGCAATAGGCTACTTCAAATTTACAAGTAAGTGGGAAGCATTTCTAGGTACTTTTGTGAATATCTAAAGGTGAAAAGAAGCTGTACAATATTTGTTTGAATTTTAAATATTTACTCCTTTACGTATTGATGTGTTATTACCATTACCTGAGACAAGTGAACTGTGCCTTGGTCGGTGACAAGGACATGAGCTTGGCCCCCTCGACTGTCACAGCTATCTTGGAGTGTCTGGTGTCCATGGTAGTCTTGTCAGACCTCACCACCAGACACACCTTCTTGTCAGTGATGAAGAACAGGTTTGCATTGGTGATGTTGATAGTGGAGTCTACCTGTAGTGATATGGGCAGTGAGGGGGAGGAGGGAGGTGGACGAACACCTCGTAGACTCTGGTAGTCCCTGAGACAGGTGTGGCTGTGCAGCAGTAACTCTGCCAATGGAGGACTCCACTCCAGCCTCCCATGGTCCAGCATGCCCTGTGAAACAACATTCTCAACTAGTCATCTCTCTTTTGGCCTGAACACCAATTGAAAGGGTATGAAATTACACTGTTGCAGCAAACAAGTAAAAAAAGAAGTTCAAGTTGAAATAATCCAATAATAACGATTTGGCTTGGTGAAAACTGTAATTTCTGCCACTAAACAAGGAATACCAAATTAATTGTTATGGTTTAACTTTAAAAACCTAAAACACAAAATTTAGTTTTGTCAAAATTTCTAACTACAGTATACAAAACAAGCAATTTAGGCCTTACATCCATCTATTTGCTGCTTGAAGGGAGATACTGGATAGATCGTTATAACACAATACAATGGTAGAGACTAGGGATGGACGAGATTGAATTTTTAGTTCGAGACGAGACGAGACGAGATTTTTTATTTCTCATAAAATTTCGAGACGAGATCGAGACGGGATTTCCCTTCTCATACACAACGGGAAATGCACGTTCAAAATTTTTACCTGATTTTGTAACATTGTTAGATGACTGTTTAAATACAACAATAATGATAATAGGCAAGAATATTTACAATCTTTTATTAAAAAACATCAGCAAAACATTTTTTTATTAATCACGCCTAACTTATTAAAAATGCCTACGATTAAGAAACATAGTGATATCAGTTGGGATAGAGTTCAACTTATCCTAAAATAAAATAAATCATAAAATAAAAGCAATATTAATTTTTATAAAATAGTTACTTGTTTTGACTTTTTATAGTAATAAAACATTCCTCACACTGCTTACACTTAACAAAACTTCTCAAATGTTATTAAAGTAATATTATTAAAATAATTAAAGTAATATTTACATTTATAGAATTAATTAAATAAGAACGCCTTCGCAAAGGAAACGCAACTACAACACGCTCCTGTATTGCGGGTATTGCATTGACTTTCTGCAGGCGTTTTTAATTATTTTTTTATTTATTTTTTTTTTTTAATTCTCGTCTCGATAAAAATCTCGGTCAAAAAAAAATCTCGTCTCGTGTAACGAGATTTAAAATTTCCCGAAAATTTCCCGAAATTTCGAGACTTGACCATCCCTAATCCCTAGTAGAGACACACACACACTCTCTATGCACCTGTATGTCCCCCTTATTACCAGGGACGTAACTAGGCTATTCAGCACCCGGGGCAAACACCTATTTTGGCGCCCCCCCCCCCCTCAATTGGACTGAAACTAATTCCTTAGGTACAAATGATGATAGAAGAGACAAGGATTGATGTGCTTCTTTTTTTCTCTCTTTAGCTCACCGCAACTGACAGTTTTTTTGGCATGACTATTATTCAAAACACGAAAATAATATTGCTAGTAACACGCAAAGAAACAGCACCGCAACCAAATTTTGTGTCCTGAACCACTGATTACGAGTAGAATGACGTATGAACTGTTGTAAAGTACACTAGTGCACAGCATACGCAGTTAGTCAAGATCAGATGTGTTGTATATCGATGGGTCAGACCAGCGAGCGTCGATGTGTTAGTGTTGCGTGTTTGTGGTATGTGTGAGTGTGGTGACTGGTGTGAGGGATGGGGAGCTGAGGGGTAGGTAGTTGCCGAGGTGGAAGTGTTCTGACGCTGCGCCGGCGCCGTCCTAGTGAGCCGTGACTATTTCCACCAGGCGAATGTCACAACTCATATTCAATGGTTCAAGTGTTTTTTTTATAGTAGGCTAGTTCAGTGTGTCGTTTTGTTACTTCCCACGACCCCGCAAAAGGCTGTGGGTTTTGGTTCTTTTTACTCCCACCGCCAAGCACTTCAGAGGTTGCGAGACGTCGGAATTGATTACTTCACTGAAGTTTTTTATCCTTTTCAATCTTCTACTTTTAGGATAATAATGTGCCTTTTAGTTTTTATTCTTGGCCGTTAGTGAGAACTTTCTTCATGGAGTAAACCATTCGTGCCACCGGCACCTTGATGGGGCCCATGTGAACTGTCAACCCGTGAGGAGGACTAAGCTGGACATGTTCTACCACGGCAGAGGGGAAGTTCGCAACAACCTGGCTGCTTCTTGTACGATGGCCCCCTCTCCGCCTCGCTCGTTTTCTCCTCCGGTGCTGAACTTCCAGACCTACCCCTAAAGACAAACCGCAACCGCAAGTTACCACTAGTTTGTTGATTGTTATTTATTATTAGATTTATTTATTTTGAGAAAAGAAGAGACTCCCATTATTGTTGTTATAGGCCTACCGTACAGAGTTTATGTACTGTTATTGCTTTTTAAATATTTATCACTTTAGCTAGCCTACTTGTTGACCTTTTTTTTTTAATTTTATAATTTTATTAAATTTTCTCTTAAATTCCTTCTGATTTTGGGGCCCCTAAATTTTCTATTGTTACCCAGTTCTAAATACAGTATTAAGAAGACTTTTATATTTATTGTTATATATTTTTATATTTATTGTTATATTGTTAATTTAAAAGAATTTTTAAGGTAAAGGTTAGTAAGGTGTTTTAGCCTATTTCGAATAATAAAAGAAATCACTGTAAGTCAGCAAATTAAACGGGTATCTAAATTTATTTAAAGTTTAATTGAGAGTATTTAATTCATGTATTGTTGTTGATTTTTGTTGTTGTGTTCATTTAAATGTTAATTACAGCTCGTTTCTCTCAAATGGCGTGTTGTTCTTGAACCTCCATCCATGGTTCTCATTTTGTTAAGTAAAGTTTTGTGAGCCGCTCCTCGGGCCTGCGCATGGATCACGCTTCCATTTCGTTAGTCTGGGTGCAGGCACGAGGGCACGGTTCATCTGGTAGCAGAGCGTGGTTTGCTGGTTGCGTCCTGGGTGCCTTGTCGTGAAACTTGGTTTCACGACTTGGACACTTAGAGACCCGATCACTGTCCGCGTTCTGATTTGTTTTGAAGGGCCGTGGATGGATTGGTTTCTTGGAAAGTTCTGGCCTGGCAGTTTTGGAAAAAGGTCTTGTTGTTGTCGTGGTGGGGCGTAAACACATTTCATTCGGAGCTCGCCCTTGGGCCGAGGCACCGGGTGGAATCGGTGGTAATGACTTGCATCCTTCGGGAGCAAGAGTGTCAAAAGCATGGTCATGTTTAAAAAAAAAAAAAAAAAAAAGTTTGTGTGTACACCCCATCACACAAGTGTTAGGTGTTGTCTAGTGTATGTGTCGGTGTATGTTTGTGTGTGTGTACGTTCGTGGGTCATTTGTTGTTGTTTTTTCTTGCGGTACTTGCGGTATGAATGGGCAGGTTCTTCTTTTGGGCCCCATCAGGTGCGTAGGCATCAACGTCCAGAAGCCTTAGGAATTAAATTTCTGTGTTTGTTTTGTGAAAAAATTTTTTGTCTGTTGTCTTGAGTCAAGTACTGGTTGAGCCTCGGCATGGCGTCAATTGTGCCAGAATATTTGAGGAAGCCGGAGCTGGTGTACGAGGTGCGGTCCCGGGGGGAGACTCCTGGAACTGATGTACGCACTTTGCGTACACAGTTCAGACAAATTGCTAGCATGCCTCAAGCTTGGGTTGAGTCTCTCAGTTTGAATGAGGATCTGGAGGCATGTAAAGAGAGGATGGAAGAGCTGAGTGGGGAAATTGATAGTTGGAGTAGTTTGCCTATGGGCTCAGCTAAGGGTTCGGCCATCACACAGCTGACGCACTGGCGTAAGCGTCTACTCTTGGTTTCAGGGCAACCTGAAATCCAGGATGAAGACAAGAGTTGGGTGGAGGCCAGAATCCTTGAGCTGGAAGGTATTTTGGAGAGTATTAAGGCAGGAAAGTCTGTCAAAGAGAAAGTTGAAATTTTTGAAGACAACCGTTCTTCGGAAATTTCAAACCAAGTACCAAGGTCAGTTGATGATGTGACTCCAGTGGGTACCCCCCAGGCTCCGCCTACGCCAAGTACACTGCTCCAGTTGCCTGCAGATGTTCAAATGTCAAATGCAAATGTCACACCATCCCCCTCTCACACGTCCACCTTGGCTGCGGCTACGCTGAATGTCCAGTCCCCATCTCCCTTTCCTTCTCAAGTCCATAGTTCCCCTTCCATCTCTAACTCCTTTGGCAAACTCCCCCATCCCCTTGCTTCTGTCCTGAGTGGTTTCCAGCCGGTGGACGGGTTAGATGTGAATGGTCTTTGTTTTTTTCTGGAGAGTGTTTTGCGCATGCGTGAATACCCTGGCATGTCAGACGCAACTTTGATGGAACTCATTGCTCCATACTGTCTGAAACCGTTGGGGGACAGATTGCTTGATTGCTTGCGCAGAGGCGTCAGCTTTGATGTTTTTCATAAAGAGGTTTTGGAGCTTTTCATGCCCCGTCGGGTCATGGAAAAGCTGAAAGTTGAGAGAGTTTTTCGTCCTCAGCAGCCAGCCGAGTCTCTCAGCCAGTACGTGGGGGACATTCACACGGTGGAAAGGGTCTTGCGTTTGGGGATCAGTGAGCTTGAGCTCATTGACATTGTGCTTCAGGGGTTGAAGCCTGAGGAACGCTCCCGTTTGGTTTTTGCACCACGACCTTCATCGTTTGCGGATCTGGACAGACTCTCCATCCTTTCGAGATCTGTCCAGGACGCTGATTTCCAGAGAGACCAAGCGGTGGGGCATCTTCCCCTAGCTGGTCATCATGCTGTCGTAGCACCCGTGGGGTTGGGTCCCGAACCGCCGCAGTGGCAGAGGCAGCCCGTTGTTTGTTTTGGTTGTGGGCAACCAGGTCATATTCGGCGGCATTGCCGTCAAGGTGGAAATTTTGGACGTGGTCCAAAAAACTAGTTTGCTCACAGGAGGAAAATTTGCCCAATCCTTACTGTGAGGTTGTTGGTGTTAAAGTTAAGGGCAATAATTTGAAAGTTGTCTCAAGTAAGTCAAAGTCAAGGCCTATTAATGTTTCTGTTGCCTCCCCTTCTGGGAGTGTTGTGCCTGTGACTGAGCCTCTGCTGCGGGGGATTGCGGGCCTTGCTTCCATGGGCGTGAAAGCGGCGCGCTCAACTTGCCCACGTCTCAACATCTTCATAGGTTCCACGGTGCAGAAGGCCCTAGTGGATTCTGGGTCAGCCCGTTGCCTCATTTCCCTGTCCCTTTTTGAAAAACTTGAATCGTCTGGGCTTATCAAGCAAGTTGAGCGAAAAACCCCTATCTGCTGGACTGCGTCAAATTCACCCCTTCCCATCATCTATGAAGCCCGTTTCAAGTTCAAAATTGAACATTTTTCTTGGGTTTGGAGTTTTTGGGTGGCAAAGGACCTTTGTTTCCCTGTCATTTTGGGAGCGGATTTTATCAAGCACACTGGCCTAATTTTGGATTTAGGCAGAGGTCAGTGTTTTTTCTGATTTGCGAGACGGGTATTGATATCTTTTGCTGATGAAATTGGTGGTGGTGCTGCGGTAGTTGAGCCTGAGATACCCAGCAAGCCAACAATTGATCCGTTAGGGCATCTGACTACTTGCGAGGCTGAAGCCATCAGAACCTTGTGTTCTCGTTTCCCAGATGTGCTGACGCCAAAGCTTGGAGTCACTAACCTGTTAGAGTACGAGATTCGTCTGACAGATACCCGTCCCGTTCGTTCTCACCCATACAAATTAGCTCCACCCAAAATGGAAACTCTCAGAAAAATCATTGACGAACTTCTGGAAAATGGTGTCATTGAACCTTCCCGTTCGAGCTACGCTAGTCCAGCTTTTCTCGTCCCAAAACCCAATGGCAAGTCCCGAATGGTTCTGGACTATCGCAAATTGAATGCGCAAATTGAAATCGACTCTGTGCCTCTCCCCGATTTGCATTCTGCATTTAATTGGTTCGGTAAGGCCAAGTATTTTTCTGTTTTTGATCTGAATCAGGCCTATCATCAGATTCCTTTGAAACCTGAGTCTCGACCTCTCACTGCTTTCTGCGTCCCGTGGAATTTGTATCAGTTCACAAGAGTTCCGATGGGTCTTGCTGTGGGGGCCCAGACTCTCACCAGACTCCTTGATTCCATCTTTCATGATGTCAAGTTCAAATTTGTGTTCAATTACCTCGACGATCTCTTGGTGTACAGTGAGAGTTTCGAAGATCACCTGATTCATCTTGAAGAAGTCATGAGTAGATTGAATAGGGCTGGCCTTACCGTGAATCCTGACAAGGTTAGTTTTGCAAAGCCGGAAATTTCGTTCCTTGGTCATCTTATCTCTCATAGAGGCGTCTGCATCGACCCCGCTAGAACCCAGGCTATCAGGGAGTTTCCTCCTCCCAGAGATGTCAAGGGTATTGCTAGGTTCATCGGCATGGTAGGTTTTTACCGACGCTTCATACCCAATGTTGCTGAATTGGCGGCTCCTCTCAATGAGCTTCGGAAGAAGGGCACCAAGTTTGTCTGGGGTGAAGCGCAGCAGACGTCTTTTGACCTTCTCAAGGAGGCTATCATGCAGCCCCCTGTTTTGGCGATGCCGGATTTCAATCAAAACTTTGTCCTGCAAACAGATGCTTCCTCCGTCGCAATTGCGGCTGTGTTGTCACAAGAGGTGGATGGTGTTAGGCAGCCAATTGCGTACGCCTCACGCACCTTGAGTCCCTGCGAAAAGAAAAGCTCTTCTGTGTATGAACTCGAGTGTTTGGCTGTCGTGTTTGGAGTCAATAAATTCAGACGCTTTTTGGAGCACAAAGAGTTTTTATTGGAAACCGACAACCAGGCACTCTCGTGGCTTCTCGCACATCCACGCCAGCTTGGGAAAATTGGTCGTTGGGTTGTCCAAATATCGTCCCTTAAGTTCCAAGTGCAACACGTTCGAGGCACTCAGAATGTGATTGCGGACACACTATCTAGGATGTACCATTCACCCGACGATCATCCTTCTGACCAAGAGCAACCGGGTTGTGCCGTGCTCTTGGAGTTTCCACTCGCCTTTTCTGATTTCATTCCCCATCAGCTGAAGGATCCTGAGCTGGCAAAGATCATTGGTGAGCTTCAAAATGGGGGAGCCCACCCCCCATATTTTCTGTCCCAGGGTGCCCTTTGCTGTCGCGCTCGACAGCGAGGGAAACCTAAAGTTGTGCTGCCTAGTCTTCTAATCCCTATGGTCTTTGAGTATTTTCATTCTTCTCCTGTGGGTGGGCATCTAGGTATCCACAAGACCATTGCGAAGGTTAGGGAAATGTTCATCTGGAAGGGTATGGATCGATCGTTGCTGCTAGGGTGCGTTCTTGTCAAACTCATTGACGACAGACAAGACAACGCAGTATGCTCATCCTCATACTGTACTCGCTACGCACAAGTTTATACGGACCGTTAACATGATTTGTAAACAGTACTTCCTTAACCTTATTTAAAAATAAAAAATATAATGATTTTCTTTTGCATCACAAGACAGATTTAAAATATTTTCAACAATTTTTGTTTGAAAAAATCGGTGCCCGTGTTTGCGCCCCCAACAACTGGCGCCCGGGGCTCATGCCCCGCATGCCCCCCCCCCCCCCTAGTTACGTCCCTGCTTATTACGCTACTGATTTAACTCTTTACTTTAAGTTTTAATCATTTCACCAAAAATTGATCCCAATAATGGCAATGATTGGGGATTTGGTTGAATAAGGTTTGGATGGTTAGAGTTCAACTGTATGGTCCAAGTTTTCTACCAAGGTGTTATATACCTGAAGACGTAGAGGAGCACCAGGCACACCCCGCAGTTTGACCAGAGCTACGCCTAGGTGGACGGGGCTACCCCACACGTGACACTTTCCCCCGCAGGTGGCATCAGCCACAGGACAACTGCCCAGGCGGCACCAAACTGACTCCAGCAACAGCTCTGCAGTCAGCTGCTGACCCTCCTGGCCTATGCACATCAAAGTTACTTGCTAGAAGAACAGGCTTATCTTTGTTCTGGATGAGTTTTACTCGACACTAAGAAAAATACTCATAAATGTAACCACTAATCTATGTTTTAGTTCTTCAGGACTTTCTCAATCACTATTAAGGGTAGTGATAGAGGATGCAGTGGTATACTATAAATAAATAACGGTAACATCATGGAATACTGAAAATGTATGTGGATATATGATAGGTTTAAGCAACCTATTAACGTTTTGACCAATTGACCATTGGAAGGATAGTCCCATCTTCTGAGTTGGTTTGAATTGCACTCTGGTGGCAATTTTTTGTTTTGTCTCCTTGGAGCTCGTGTTTGATATTTGTTTGTTGTAGGGATGGACGGGATTGAATTTTTAGTTCGGGACGGGACGGGACGGGATTTTTTCCTATGCATAAAAAGAACAATATTGATTATTGCAGTTCCCAAAAAAGACAAACAAAAACAATTTTTTTCCGTTTGTGACACTGATCTATAAAAACAAACAAAAATGGTTTGGTTACAACAATCTTCAGGTACTTATAGAAACTTGTGACTCGCGGTCACGGTGCGATCGTAAAAATGACCGCGGTCACGGGGTGATCGTCGGTCTGTCTCGCGGTCACGGCATGATCGTCGGTATGATTCACGGTAACGGCGTGATCGTCCGTATGAATCCGCGGTCACTAGGTGATCGTCGTTATGAATCCGCGGTCACGAGGTGATCGTCGTTATGAATCCGCGGTCACGAGGTGATCGTCGTTATGACTCGCGATCACGGCACGATCGTTGGTATGATTTCGCGGTCACGGGGTAATCGTCGGTATGACTCACGATCACGGCATAATAGTCGGTATGACTCTGCGGTCACGGGCTGATCGTCGGTATGACTCGCGGTCTCGGCATGAGCGTCGGTATGACTCCACGGCCATGGGGTGATCGTCGGCATGACTCGCGATAACGGCACGATCGTTGGTATGACTCCGTGGTCACGGGGTGATCGTCGGCATGACTCGCGATCACGGCTCGATCGTTGGTATGACTCCGCGGTCTCGGCGTAATCGTCGGTATGACTACGCCATCACGGCATAATTGTCGGTATGACTTCGCCATCACGGCATGATCGTCGGTATGACTCCGCGGTCACGGGGTAATCGTCGGTATGACTCGCGGTCTCAGCATGAGCGTCGGTATGACTCCAAAGCCACGGGGTGATCATCGGCATGACTCGCGAACACGGCACGATCGTTGGTATGACTCCGCAGTCACGGTGTGATCGTCGGTATGACTCGCGATCACGGCTCGATCGTTGGTATGACTCCGCGGTCTCCGCGTAATCGTCGGTATGACTCGCGATCACGGCGCGATCGTCGTTTTGACTCCGCGGTCACGGGGTAATCGTCAGTATGACTCGCGATCACGGCGCGATCGTCGTTTTGACTCCGCGGTCACGGGGTAATCGTCAGTATGACTCGCGATCACGGCGCGATCGTCGTTTTGACTCCGCGGTCACGGGGTAATCGTCGGTATGACTCCGCGGTCACGGCGCGATCGTCGTTTTGACTCCGCGGTCACGGGGTAATCGTCAGTATGACTCGCGATCACGGCATGATCGTCAGTATGACTCCGCTGTCACGGTACGATCGTCAGTATGACTCCGCGGTCACGGGGTAATCGTCGGAATGACTCGCGATCACGGCATGATCGTCGGTATGACTCGCGGTCACGGCGTTATCGTCGTTATGACTCGCGGTCACGGCGCGATCGTCGGTATGACTCCGCGGTCACGGCGCGATCGTCGGCATGTCTCGCGGTCTCGGCGGGAATTGTCGGTATGACTCCGCGGTCACGGCACGATCGTCGAAATGACTTCGCCTCCTGCGTTCGCGGAACATCTCTCGCGATAGCGGCGTTATCGTCACTCGCGGAGCGGCAAAATCGCCGATGATCGGACCATATCCCGTCCCGAAAAATTCCCGAATCAAATGTAATCCCGTCCCGAAAAACGGGAATATTTTTTTCCCGAAAATTTCCCGATATTTTGGGACCCGTCCATCTCTAGTTTGTTGTGCTTCTTGTATATTTTATTTTTGTCAAATTAATTAAATGTGATATTTCAACATTTCAATGTGGGAGCCTACAGAATATCATTAATGGACCAAAATAGGATACAATTCATATTAATACGCTAGGATTATGAAGTACAATTTTAAGAATTTCTGTGGTATTTTTTTGGATATTGAGGTTATGTAACGTTATTTTAGAGATATATATTGACCATTGTAGATCCGGCTCCTAGTTTATCAAAGTTTTACTGTGCTTAAACATAATTTTTTTTTTAAATTCATTTCTCTTTTAGACCCCCTTTACTGTACCTATGATAGGAGGTAGTCAATTTTAAACAGATTTTTACTTAACTAGAGCTGGCTGGCACTTTTTTAAGATACTTTCGATAGTCCAGATGATTTGATAATCCGAATGGGTTGCGGTCCCAAGGTAATCCGGATTATTGACGTTCTACTGTATTGTAAACAGTGGTGTAGTGGGGCGGGAAAGCATTTGAACGTGTTCCCACTCTGTTTTGCTCAAGAATTTTATATTTTAATTATTAAAATATAAGATTCTTGAGTAAAACATTAAATCCAATAGTTTAGTCAGTTTTTAGCGAATTTCCCTATAGGGAAGAAGCTATTACCGTAGGTCTCATAGAAAGACCTAAGCCCGGGACCGATTTACTTTTTCATTTTGATGTCCCCAGAGGCCAAAAACACCATTCGTTCAAATTTTTATATATCTATATATAGAGATATATATATATATATATATGTGTGTGTGTCCATCCGCACGATAACTTGAGTAATTTTTGTCCGATTTTGATAAAATTTGGTTTAAAGGTGTAAGGCGGGATAAACTTGAATGAGTTCGCGAACCAGCATGATCGGACTATGGGAACGAGGGTTTATGGGGGGTTTTATGGGGTAAAAATAGGTTTTTCCCATTTTTGACCCTAAAAACACAAAATTTCACAATTTCTTTTTAAACTATTTTGTAGAGCTTAAAAAAACAAATAATTTAGTATATTGAAGCATTATTATGCGCCTAGTTGTTACGTGTAATTTTAAAATTCCCATGTTATTCTTATGGAGAATAAGTCAACTGTTGTAGTTTGCTTGCTTATGAACATATTTTGATAAAAGTTGGAAAATACATTAATTAATATCTTACTAAACCACAGTAGCATACCTTTTAATATTCTACATATAAAAAACTTTTTTACCCTCCCTGTTGCAGCAAACCTACTGTAAGTACTCATTAAACTAATTCTGTTTAAATAGGGAATAAATGTGATATTTTTAAGGAGACATTTTAGTTTAAATCCAATCAGGCAAATGGAAATTCGCTAAGTCTGCAGGTTTGCTGCGGCGGGGTATTTTAGACAATGGTGAGAACCTACACTGAAAAATATGCTACCTACTATACCACTGATCCAATTGTGAACTATTTTAAATATAATGCAGTAATCCAGAGTTCAAACAATTCTTTGAATCTGACCTTTGAAAAATAAGTGTTACCTTGTTTATTTACCTTTTATATTAATCTAGTCTATTACATATTTTAGGCTAGAGATTTTATAATTAAATAATATTTTGCACTCAACAGAACATTTATTTTAGTTGTTTGGTTGTTCAATTAAATTGCATAAAAAATCTTTGTAGAGCAACATTAGTCCAGCCTATTACTAGTCTGGCAGACCTACCGTTGGTAGAGGGTTCACATGTGCAGACGACCTTGAGGTGACTGACACCACAGACGGAGTCGATGGCCGTGGGGTCGAGGTGGAGCATTGTGGTGACGTTCCACAACTCTGCAGACGCTCGCAGCTCCATACCTTGTAGCCAGTCCCAGCTGTCAGCTCGCCTCGTCAACTCCTACAGAGATGGAGAACATTAAACATTTGAATATTATATGTTATAAAAGATTTAAGAACAATCGTAACTTGACCTAGGACACAAACATACTAGTAACAGGGAGTATTATGACATTTCATAAGAATTTAACAAGTCACAGCACTAAATATTACAATAAATTTAGTAGGATTTGGCAAAATATAAATCAATTTGCAACAGTGCAAAATTTAATGGGGGTAATATTTTAACTGTCATCCTAAATACGTTATTTTGACTTGCGCAAGGGGCGCAGCAAATTCTGGACATGGTGACATCACCTTAGTAGGGATGGCCTGTTTTCTATCCTGTCGCCAGGGGCAAAACAACAGGACTGCTGGAGAAGCGCTTCGAACAGTAAGTACACTATTCGCGAGAGTTAAGAAGTCCCTTGAGCTAGAAAGACACCCAGCTGTTTGAAGGTTATCATCACGCACTATTCGCAGGCGCTAAGTGTGTGGGCGCCTCGTCTCAAAATGTCTATAAACAACTGTTGTTAACATCATGACTCATATGGCCAGTGGATGGTCGCGTCATTTGATTCAGTGGAGTCTTGTGTACGTGCGCAGTGAGTTCTGTTTTGTTTTGGACGTTCCTTGAAGCTATGGATATAAAAAAAGTGGTGTGACTTACATAGTGAAGAGAGGGATTTAATTATTATAATTCATTGTTGTAGCCCTGAAACTGTAATACATAAAATATTTGGTTTTACATTACCTTTTATCAGTTCCAAAACGGATTTAATTAGACAGGTAATTGATTTTTGTGACAATGAATGTAAAGACAAAAAGTTATTAGTGCTAAAAAATAAGCAACAGAAAGTTTCTGAATTAGAAAAGCCAGTAAACAACCTCCACATGAAAAACTGTCTACACCCAGGGAAAAAAGCAAGAGGGCTAACCACCTTAAAGTACAAATTAATAGTTTTGATAGGTGTGTAATCGCAGATATAATACGCAATTTTTACACCAATGAAAAAATTGTGCCTACGTTTAAGAAACTGTTACCTACCCGTTTTAAGAGAAAGAATAAATTTTGAATGGAACCAATGGGCAAATCGGCGTCTCTTAAAAGATATGGGGTTCAAGTGGAGGAAATGTGGTTCCAAAAGAAAATTGTTGACTGAAAGAACAAAAATCATAAAGTAGCAATAGGCTGTTAAGATTTTTGCCTTAGTAGCAAAAATTGGGTTTCCTTCGATTGTATAACCATGCAAAAATAGTTATGGCATTTATAAATATCATACGGATATTACAATAAAAAATTAAGCGTAACGACTAGCAAAGCAAAGTGAAAGACAGCTATGATTTTCGTCCGAAATGTTCCACTATGACGCCTTCAAACTACAAATAGGCCACAGCTCAGGGGACTACTTAACTCTCATGGACAGTATCTGCTGACAATATTAATCGGAGATAGCCGATATTCAAAATTTAAAACAATCCGAGAACTGGTAAATCAAGAGCATTCCCATTAGGGCATTCCCAGATAGTTTTAGAAGGTTGATTCAATTTTACCAGTTTTATTCCACTTTTTTGTTGTGCATCATGAATGTTCAGGGCATGACATTTTTGCACATATTTTACACATAAATTTAGCGTAGATTCTGTATTACACAAAACTTTGGTGTTTATTAAGTAGCCTACAGTAAAAGATTTTTATTTCATTTTACTTAATGGATGACATGTTATATACATTTCAATATAATTTCATACAGGTGAATTTTTCTACGCTTTAAATTAAACCTCAACATATTTTTCAAACGGCAATGATGATCTCCCTCTAAGTATTGTTGTAATTAATATTCTGAGCTAATAATCTCAAGACATTAACTAATTTACAAACTTGTTCGCACACCCTCGGCTAGCTTGTTGTAGGCTGGGTTATCTGGATAAGATTAAGGTGTTACTATTAGAGAAACAAACCATTAGATAGACACAAAAAACTATATTATTCAATTAAATTTTGTCTCCAATCCACATTTCTAAACTGTTCTGTTAATACTGTTCTATGAAATGGCGACCATACAAAGTAGGTATTTTAAGCCAAGTATGAATGGAGATGAGTGTAGGATGAGTGGCGCGATCTTGTAGTCTTGTTAGTGACTAAGGCCGACATTCCTTAGACACAGCTGTTAATTAATAGCCCATACAGCTAATGACAACTAAGGGACCTACAGTTTATAGTGGAATCCGAACCACATTTTTGCCTTGGTAATTACGAATTGGTCTAATTATCAGGATAGTACTGCGGATAGTCGTAGTACTCACCCGTGCGGACGTTAATCCACACTGGGGAGTATCGCATCCACAGTGCATGCCTATAAATATCCACAATGTAGTACTGCAATACCTTGTCTGAGTCTGGTTGCAGTAGGTGAGTCCTAACCCAAGAGAACACATGTTCGTGGTCATAAGAGACAGTCAGGGAGTTGAGAGACAAGTGAACATTCATCACCTTCTCCATTACCTGAAATACAACAATAGCAAATAACTATCAACAAAAGTTTATAGCTTGTACATTTGATTTTAGTTGTATTATATGGTGTTGGGCGGATCTACAGTTTTTGCAGCCATGATGAATGGCAGAGGTCCCTGTGTGAATGTTAGTCTGTAGCAAACTTGTGATCTCAACTTCCTCTTTTTCTGTAAGCCATGCTGTATTACTACTAACGTATGCTATTCCATTACTTTGCTTTTTACAAACACGACGAGCTAAAATATATTTATTTATCAACCAAGTCATATAGTTAAAATTAACCTCATTTTTACTTTACATGACAGAGTACCGTACTATATCTGGTATAGTAATATAAGCCTACACTAAAATAAAATCTGAATGACAGGTTAACTACGGTGGCTGTAACAAGTTGATGTAAATTAAATTCTTAAAACCAATAGGGCAGTGATTTTTTAGGTGTTTAAAACAAATTAAAAAGCTAACTAATAAATAGCATATATAAGTATTTGTTTTTTAATCTATTTTATCAAGAATAACCAAGCCTTTAAGTAAGTTTTCAAGAGTAGAGAGCAAAATCTCACATCTGTTGAGAAGTTGAGATTATGCAGAGAAAGAGTTTTGTTGTTGACATGTAACTGGTTGACTTCCAGCTCTAGGCTCAGCTGAGGCCAAGCGTGTGGGACGACTGCAGGTATAAACCTTGTACTGAGCTTCAGACTATGGAGAGTGGCCAGGTCTTGCAGCAACGCATCTTCCAGCTTCACTGTCAATGACTGTAACACACGACCACACAATAGGTGTAAGAAATTTACTGAAAGTAGCATAAAGAGCTAATATTGTTGACCTCTGTTTGCAAAACTTGGTTAACTGACTATTTATGGATACTAACTGTAGACTATTTCCTAAAAAATATCGATTTTGCACACTGATCTACATTTAATGTGATAACTCTTTTCTGGTAAGTAGGAATTACAGTAGAACCTCTTTAATCCGAACTAATTGGGACCAGGGGTAGTTCGGACTGGTGAATAGTTCGGATTACAGAACATATTGTTGTTTTTACATAGCAATAGCCAAAACATGACTAAAATTAATCTAAATTATTTTGGGAAAAGTGAAAAAAATGTTTTATAAATTAAAATACAGTGTTTATATAATACAGTAGTAAACATGGTGACTAAACAGGACTGTACATTTAATATATAGTATACAATAAAGAACTGCTGTACTGTGTATAGAGTACAGCAATGAGAGGTTCGGATTAGTGGACGTTCGGATTACGGGGATTCGGATTAAAGAGGTTCTACTGTACAATAATTAGTGATATGTCAGTTGCAATTTTTATCCGTTCGGTTTTTCTTTTATCGGTTGTACTCATATTTCAGGAAATCTTATAAATCGCTGTTCAGGGAATTAAATGTCTTAACTGTTCCAAATTTATACATATATTCAAAACATTAGTAGGTAATACAATCAAACAATGAAAATTTGTTAAATGATCATTTTGACCACAAAACACAAGGATTTAAAATAATTTTGTATTGCCAATCCATCGTCTATGTCTAGTTAAGAAGACACCAACATACATGGAAAAAACTGTACAATAATTTACCACTAGGTTAAACAATATAGCCATACAATGTTATTTAAAAAGAATTTATCCATACTTTCAATAGAAAAAAACTACTACCATATTAAATGAGTATATATACAATCTTGGTCTTTGGGGTTCGACCGTGACTATGTACAGAAACTACCAACATTTTGGCCACATAATAGTCAGTTTAATTTATATGAATATGAATTAATGTTTATATGAACAAACCAAAAATTCCTTGCCATTACAGAGTTCGCCCATAGCCAGTTGGAGGTTTAAACATTATGTCCATACCTTAGGAATAATTGGAGCTAATCTCTGCACAATCAGTCCAAAATCTGGTTTAGTAGAGTTAGAAGTGGTCTTATTTCGTTCTTGAGCAAAACTGTAAAATCCATCGTTTATAACAGCTTTGGTGTGCTCTAGACCCACGTAGACTTTCTGTAACAGGCAAAACAAAATATAAGTTGACAAATTTAACATGCTCTAATTTTCATTTTGAAAACAAGCTATTCTTTTATGGATTTTATGTAACTGCTCGATGAAACAAACAATGTATCGTTATTTGATAATTAATTATGATATAACTTGTGGTGAGGTTTTGATTTAAGAGTACAGTACAATTTTTTCTTAGTAGGTAGGCTAGTTCTAGTTTTTACTTAACTACAGGGTGGGGCAATGAAAGCGCCCCAATTTATAGGTTGTGCAAACTCAATAATATTTACCCTATGGATATAAATAGCACATCAAAACACAGCTTATCTTTTGCCATTTTAACTTAACAAAATCATTTTTTCCATTTCTTGAAAACAATATCCTGCAAGTGACGCCCATGTCCTACTTGATATTCCTTTTTAGTCCCTTGAAAACGCCATTAACCACTTCTCCAGCATTTTTTCAGGAATCACTTTAGTTTTTGGGCAATTCTTCGCTTCGGTTCAAGCAAATCTGTAGAGTGACTTTGAAAAACCTCGAACTTCAAGTAGCTTATTAGAATAACCCCCCCACCCCCAAAAAAAAAGAGCCAACGTAGAGCTTTCAACAACAAAATCCTTCTGGCAAATCTCTTTGGACTTTGAGTTACTGCGACTCGCACTCTTTCAACGTTTGCTGGTGTACAAAAAGTTTTGCGGCACCCACCGATAATTTTTAAGGGTTAAGCGTTTATCCTAAACAAGTTTACCAGTTCACCATTGTTTTCCAATTTGGAACAGTGCCATGTTGACCAAGGTTGGAATGTGGTCCAAACAATATCTGGGGTTTTTGCACAAGAATCACTATTTTAAAAATAGGTTTCCACATCAAAATCTAATTGTTAATTGCCTCAGGCATAATATTTACTAAAATGGCATAGTTTAATTGATGTTATAAGCACAGTTGTTCATTCATTGTTGCTTTACTTATAGTGTGACAACGAAAGAAAATTGGGGTGCTCTCACTGCCTCACCCTGTATAAAGATCAATATTTCTAGATAACTGATAAAAAGCAGTTGCTTATTAGGGCCTTGTACCTGAACCTGTACCTGAAATTCCAAAAGATCAGAGAACTTACACAATGATCTCTGTAATTTAACTTTTCAGCAGTGTTGGGGAAGCTACTTTTAAAATGTAGCTACAACTACTTCTACATTTCCAAAAAAGTAGCTTAGCTACAGCTACAGCTACAGTTCCGAAAAAGTAGCTAGCTACAACTACAGCTACAATGAAATGTAACTACAGCTACAATTTTAGCTACTTTTTCAAAGACGTTACTTTTTATTCCACGCACATTAGGTAAATGTAAAATTAATTTCAACTACATTTTTATTAAACAAACATTTAAATAAAAAATGTCAGTATTGTATCTAACATTACTTGGAAAACAAATTATTCCTAGATTTGTTGGAATTATAAACCTAACATTACAACAACAGAACCAAATAGTTGGGTGTCCCATCATATTTAGTACTTATTTTTAAATATTGCATTATTTTTAAGCATATATATGTAAATTTCAAAGGACATACAACCAAACTATATTTTTAAAGCTCATTTTATTTCTTTTATATAGATTCATTTATAGATGTCTTATATCAACAATTAAGACCAATAAAACTGTAAGACGATTATTTAAAAATACTTTTTTGTGTTGCAGAGCCTATAGCCTACTGAAATTGGAGTTTATTGCCTTTCTTTTCTTTTATTGTTAAAAACTACATTGCTATAGCTTTTAACCATAGTGATAAGTTACTTGTTCTATGAATAACACTTTTCAATGTCAAGAAATCGTCCTTTATCGTCATTATGCATAGGGCAAATTGTGCTTCAACCTAGTTGGTACAGAAAACAGTATTCAGCAACTTATCCTGAAATCGTCTTTTAATTTAAACATGTTGAAATTTGTAAAGTAAAAATAACATGTAGGCCTACTTTGCTATGTAACAAGTTGGCTATAGTAGGCTTGTTCTTGCAAGGACTAAACAGATATATTCCTAATACACCATAGCATAGCCTAGGAATAGTCCTATACAAGAGCTGTTAGCCGGAGCAAACTATGCTATTTTTTCAATGTAAGTTTCATGTTATATGGAGATTTTTTTCGTTACAATTATCATGTAGTCCAGGCATATCTTAAATCTCATAAAGTCAATTTACTCTTTGTTAATTTAGTAAACCTTTGAAAAATATTCGTAATCTAACCAAGGAAGGGCTTGTGATGATGAACCACAATCAACAGCTGAAGCAAAGGTTGATAGACCAGCTTTCTCAAGGTTTGGTGTTGGTTTCCATTAAAACCCAAGTTGAAACACTATCGATATAGTAAAGAAACTAAATTGATTACTAATTTCCCTGTCAATCACTTGCAAGCATTCAATAGCTTCTCTTGTCACCGGTAACGTTTTAACGTCGTCTGCATCTGGCGATTTTATTTTATCTGACAGTAATCATAGAGTAAGTAAATTAAGGAAATGAGAGCCAAAAATGTGGATAACACTCATTTAATGGCCTCCATGTCCACACAACGTTATAATAGGGAATGAAACGGCTGCAACCACCTGTATGAAGCCAAGAAAGTAGGCCCAATTTTTTTGAAAATCTCAGTTTGAAAGAGGTTGTTTCAAGTAAGGTTGAGGTTATGATAAAAATCACTATCTCAAACAATGTTAATGTAGCGAGAAAAGTAGCTAAAATTCCGCTACAACTACTTAAAAAATGTAGCGTAGCTACAGCTAACGCTACCTACAAAAAAAGTAGCGCGCTACTGTAGCGTCGCTACTTGTAGCGCGCTACTTCCCAACACTGCTTTTCAGCTAGGAAAATCCTCAAAGTTCAGAGATACAATACGTCTTCATTAACCAAAATCATATTTATATATGAAGTTTTAGCATTAAAATAGTAAGAAACTGGGTTGTTTTATGTTGTACAACTAATAAATCAAACTAGAGAACATTAGTGGATTCTTTAAAAAATATATATATGGTAGCATTTTACTTAAAGAATGAATACCTCAATAGACAGAGGACCCTGGGCGACTAGTGTAGCTTCAGCCGTGAGTGCGACACTCAGCTCAGCCAAGCAGGCTTCTGAGGTGGTAGGGGAGGAGGGAGCGTGACGTAGCAGCTTGGCACTGGACGAGCCCATCGTCACGTTGACCAGCAGTGAGCGACAGCTGTGTAGCACAGAGCCATCTATGTGTAGATCAGACAATGTGACATGACAGAGCCACTCTGGTGACTGGGCTCGCAGAAACACACCTGTCACTGAGTGTACATCCACGGCCATGAACTGACAAGACAAACAGATCACAGGTCAGAGTGTTATCATGTCACACATATCCATCTATGGACAATAATAATACTAAATTTACAGGTACCAGTTAACATTTGGTTAAGCTTACCTGAGCAAAAGTGATGACTATTGGTGGAATTTTCTGGTCGTGAAAAGATGGAGGAGGTTGCCATGGTTTAGGAGGAGCGTCTCTACGACTTTTGACATCCTGTAAAAAACAAGAAATAAAATTAGATTTTAACCTGGTTGGTTGGGGATAATTTAATGTTTAACAATATACCTTCAGTACAAGATAGAAGTTTCCACATTTTTGTATCCGCTAACAAGCTTTTCTTTAACATTTAAAAACTTAGTTGACCTTTGGCATTAAATATTTGGCCTAGAGCTTGATCAAAATTATCAAACTGAACATTCAGTTGTAAATATAAGCTTGCAAGCAGATGCTCGTCAGCAATGATAAAGTAGTACTAAATGGATTAAAGGGACCGTCCACACTAGTTGCCAAATAGGTACTTCCTCACTATTACCATGTCCTTATATTTAGAGACAAACTGCACCTTAAAAAAAAAAAATAGAGTTGGAGGTTGCTAGAGCACTAGCAAACCCACCCATAGTTCATAGGAATTTGGGAACATAAACCCATTTGTCAACCGGGGAAATAGTCACAAACATCAAAACCAAAAGTGATTTAGTTTTGTATCAGTTTGATTAACGCATTTACGTCTATGTCTAAAAGATAGTATATACAATGAGATCTTTGTCTATATTTGTTACCTTATTTATCCGTACATCGTGAACCACAACAGAGAGAAGCTTGGCTACTTCACTGCTGAGAAAGCTGCTGCGGAATCCTATCTTGTCAATATGCTGTGATCAATCAAACAACATTTCTAACTTTTAAAGTGATATAACCAGTGTGTTTTTAGCGAATTTCCCTATAGGGAAGTAGCTATTACCGTAGGTGGCATGGTAAGACCTAGGCCCGGGACCGATTTACTTTTTCATTTTGATGTCCCCAGAGGCCAAAAACACCATTCGTTCAAGTTTATATATATATGTATTATAATCAACAAGTTAAGTAAATTTCATCAAAATCGGATAAAAATAACTCAAGTTATCGTGTTTACGGACATATATATATATATATATATACAACTACAAATATATAATATGTATATATAACTCAAGTTTTATATGTCCGTGAACACGGATAAAAATCGGATAAAAATAACTCAAGTTATCTTGTTCACGGACATATATATATATACAACTACAAATATATAATATGTATATACAGTATATATAATATGTATATATCACTCAAGTTATCGTGTTCATGGACATATATATATATATGTCCGTAAACACGATAACTTATTTATATTTTTATTATATTTTTTTTTACTTATATTTTTATCCGATTTTGATGAAATTTTTTTAAAGGTGTAATGCGGGATAAACTTGAATGAGTTCGCAAACCAGCATGATCGGACCATGGGAACGGGGTTTTACGGGGGGTTTTATGGGGTAAAACTTGGTTTTTCTCATTTTTGACCCTCAAAACACAAAATTTCCCAATTTCTCTCTAGACCCTTTAAAGAGCTTAAAAAAAACAAATAATTTAGTATATAAAAGTATTTTTTTACGGTTATTGGTAACGGAGAAAATTAAAAAAATTTTAAATTTAAAACTCCCATGTTATTCTTATGAAGAATATTGTAAAACGTTGTAGTTTACTTGTTTATAGATATATTTTGATCAAACTTGGCAAATTTATTTATTTTATACTAAGCAATTAATATTTTACTAAAATAGACTATTAGTTTCAGTTTCCTTGTAGCAGCAAACCTAGGCACTTTTTTAAACCTAATGTTATTTAAAAAGTTTTAATTGAAAATCAATTCAGATAAACGGAAATTCGCTTAGTTGGTAGGTTTGCTGCGGCGGGGGTATTTTTTATTATTATTAGTGCGTCAACTCAAAGGGTACAAATTAATACCTCCTTATGTTCAGTACCCTACAGTAGGGCTGGATACAAAAAGCTAGGAAAATATAAACTCAAAACAAAAACCTTTTCTCATTTAAAAAAAAACTTTTGCAGAGTTGGGCTATTTAATTCTTAAAAAGTAGGATGCTTCATAGAAATGATTAGGTACAAACTTGAGTCCAAATTGACTAAGTTAGGGACTTTAATGCCGGTACATGGGTCATAAGAATACCCACCTGATTCACATGTTGTTCAAATCAGCTGAGGAAATTACCCTACTTCTGACTTTTAAGACTTAGATATTTACAGATCTTTAGGACTGGACTACAAGTACAGTAACACTAGTAGGCCTATTCTTAGAATCCGAGAAAAACTAGTGAATATTCACTCCCTAGAGTGTTAAGATTAGCTTAATAAAACAGGTGTCAGTTATATTATCATCTGTAAGCAGTATTCACAACAATATCATAGTTCTTATTGATAGCCCAGTTGTTGTATCATAAGAAGTCAAACTTTTTACGGTAACTTAACTTGGTCATTACGGGTAGCTGATGATAATCGAAAATTAAACTAAGGATTCTTACCACATTAAAGCCATTTTTCGAAATAAATACATCTCTTAGAGTAAAGTAAAAGAAGCCAATACGCCCAATCCTGATTTCTATGTGAAATTTGCGTTTTATTATCCATGTCAACAGTTCTGGTAACAGCCTAGAATAAAAGAAAGAGTTACAATATTATTAAATGTAATATTATGATATATCACAACAAACCATACCCTGTATGAATAGGCTTGAATTGTAAATCTAGAATAGAATTGTCAGTAATAACAATAAACTTGCATGAATATGATTAACAGCAAATTTAAAGGTACTAACAATCTGCCATCATAAATCTTCCATCGGGCGCGGAAGTTACCTCCGGGTCACTAATTTTTTTGTTATAAAAACCATAGTAGGCCTATGTGTTCAGCAGGGCTGTCGCCTGATTTACCTCACACACCTCTTTTGCGGAATCGGTTTTGTCTACTCTTACTTCTTTCCCAGTTGTCAGTTGAACTTAGGGAGTGGTTAACGTCACTACTAGAAGTAGCTTCCGTGTGCGCCCTGTGATGTAACGGGTTTCCCGGAGCCTAGTTCCTTGTGCTCCCTTGTGTTAGACCTTATTTAGCGACATTAAAAAATGGATGAAGAAGAACGAATTGTGAGATCGTTGGCTAGTGTTGAAATGGAGGAGAGGAACCAACATTTAATGGAAAGACCTAAGTTAATGGTGAGTTTGTTTGGGAACTTTTATTTTTCAGGAGAGCTTTGACAAAATGAGTAGTCCTTCTAACAATAGTATATTACGTTACTAGACGAGTGTGGTCGTTCCTGTGCGAGACGAAGTCGAGTACGGGATTACCAAACGAGTCCGGTCAACACATTTTGGACGAGTTACGTACGATAGTTTACGCCATACTACTAAATCTTTATATATTTCCACCAACTAAAGGACTAAAAATCACTAGTCGTAATCTATAAGAGAGGTTATGTTTTTGTTTATAAACACTCATTGCCTCGCAAATGCAGTATAATCAGCTGACTGGTGTCCGGTAAAAACTCATTGCAGTACAGTAGTATGCAATGAAACCCCATTTGATTAAGCTGGCGGCAAACAGCTGTTTTCTGGACTAAATCCTTGAATGGGAAGTTCGTCAAAATATTATAGTGTGGCGTAAATGATTTTTTTTCATTAGACAATAGGTGTTTTATTTAAAACACTATTGCAATGTTTCTAAGAGCTTTGACAAAGTAAGGTGTCCTTATGAAATGATCTTTTTTCACAATACCATAGGTGTTTTTATGTCATACACTGATGCAATTTTTGTCTAAGAGCTTTGACCCAATGAGTTGTCCTTGTAACAAATGATTATTTTCATTAGACCATAAGTTATGTGTTTTAGCGAATTTCCCTATAGGGAAGTAGCTATTACCGTAGGTGGCACGGTAAGACCTAGACCCGGGACCGATTTACTTTTTCATTTTGATGTCCCCAGAGGCCAAAAACACCATTCATTTAAATTTTTATATACGTATATATATATATATATATATATAGACTTATATATATATATATACGTCCGTGAACGCGATAACTTGAGTAATTTTTGTCCGATTTTGATGAAATTTGGTTTAAAGGTGTAAAGCGGGATAAACTTGAATGAGTTCGCTAACCAGCACGATCGGACCATGGGAACGGGGCTTTACGGGGGGTTTTATGGGGTAAAAATTGGTTTTTCTCACTTTTGACCCTCAAAACACAAAATTTCCCGATTTCTCTTTAGACCTTTTTAAAGAGCTTAAAAAAAAATAATTTAGTAGCCTATATAAAAGTATTTTTGTTCGATTATTAGTAACGGAGAAAATTAAAACAATTGTTAATTTAAAATTCCCATGTTATTCTTATGGAGAATATTGTCAAATGTTGTAGTTTGCTTGTTTATGGATATATTTTAAACAAACTTGGCAAATTTATTTATTTTGTACTAAGCTATCAAAATTTTACTCAAAAACACACTTTATTAGTGTCCTTGTAGCAGCAAACCTAGGTACTCGTTAAACCTAATGTTATTAAAATATATTTAACTGAAAATCAATTCAGACAAATGGAAATTCGCTTAGTCGGCAGGTTTGCTGCGGCGGGGGTATTTATGTCGTACACTAGGCCTATTAAAAATTTTCTAATATACGATAGTACTGTATATGTAGGCTACAAAAAGCAAGTCTTTTTTATCCACAACACTTACGTATTTTTAATGTTTATTATAACATTTTCTATTTGATATACAACTTAAGTAATAGTGTGATATTATGAGTTATTAGTAGGCTAATAACTCATAAAACATGTTTTTCTCATAGTTTTATTGCTATTAAAATGTTTTTTACTCATCATTGTAAAGTTTTTGTACTCTCAGAGGTAACTTACGTGAGCGCCCTTTGGTGTTTGAAAATCAAAGCGCCCGACAGAAGGTTAACAACAATTTGAAATACGATATCTGTTGACTTTTCAGCTAATAAGAAAGTAACTCAAGACCCAATGTGGTACTGTTATAAATAAATTGTTAGATGTTAGAATGAACTCAAATCTGAGATTTCTAACTAACTAGGCATACCCTGTTTAAAACTTAGCAGATAATTAACTTAGCTGTCAGGGTGCTTAACTTAAAGGATTTGTTAAAATGATTATTGCCTAACCTTGCAAGTGCAGCCCCAAGTTACAAAAACTCTGTAAGCTATTTTGGAAAGGCAGTTTTAATTAGTTATTTTTATGGGCACTTAAGCTAACTGTAGCCTAACTGTACCTAATTCAAAATGTTTAAAGAGGTCCTAAGTTAGTAACTTAATTCTTGAATTTGTAACTTAAAAAGATACTTTTATCATATTATAGGCCTACCTATATCAGAATAACTTAATTAAAATGATAAGTAAGTTATTTCACGTTTGTTGGAAAATTACCTCGAAAATATATTGGGGTGGCTAATTTACAGTATATAGGCTACTTATAATGACTGTATAAAGTGTAGGCCTAGGTCTACAAAATATGATAGCAAAACATAACCTCACCATTTGCAAATCAAGTAGAATATCCCACAAACAAGTACCAATACTCCAAATCCATCCATTATAGAATATTTTAAATAACTGTACCCATATCTTTATGAGTCATCTAACATTTCCTAATTATATTCATAACTACAAATTCAAATTACAGTAGCCTACTTCAGATGAAAAATTGACAACTAACTAACATAACCATAACATCAAAAATATCAAATCAACTTTTTTTATTTGTTTTGGTTGATTTTTTTGTAATTACTCTTTTTGCTTATTGACGAATGCAGTCTGATCAACAACATGGAGCTGTAATGTTAATGTTCTTTGATTGCTGAAAGCTGAAAGGATTGCTCCGACAAATTTTGTCCAGTATGATGTTGATAGAAAAAAAGCCAAGAAAGAAACAAGACGTTAATCTGTTAGGATTCCTGACTACGACGTTGACGGCACGGACCTGAAAGGGAAGGGACATTCGATTCAGTTTTTTTTTTTAATTCGCTTCGACTTTTATCTCAAAGTAGTTCGACTTTATTCTCGAAGTACTTCGACTTAATTCTCGAAGTAGTTCGATATTTCTAGTCTTACTTCAACACACGCAACTTTTCCTCTGTTTCTGTCATTGTCATAGTATCCGCTCACTTATGCAAATGTCATGCTTCAATAAAAGAATTGCAAGTATTTCAGGCTGCTGTTGAAGGCATAAACTAAAAATATTGTTCAATCAATTCATTATTAATGTCATTTCATGATGTGTGTTAAAAACTCTTTCTTCCTGCCAATTCTGATCAAAAATATGTCTACAGAAACACCCCTACATCAACAGTTAATAGTTGTGGTTGCAGTTGCCACAAAATTATAACAAACTATAATAAGCACTGCAAGTATAAAGTCGATGTAATTTGAGAAAAATGCCAAGGTACCTTGATTATTAAGAACTTTGAGAATAAAGTCAAATAACTTCGAAAATAAAAGTCGAAGTAAACTGGAAAACGATGAACATTGAGAATAAATTCGAATTACTTCAAGATAAAAAAAAGTCAAAGTGATTGAAAAACAGAAAGAAACAGAAAGAAAAAAAAACAGAAAGATTGGACGGATCGGCCAATTATGGTCGTCTCCGTACTTTAGTGAGTCGCAGTGAATGGCGTACTTTAGTGAATGGCAGACAGGTGACATCAGCTCATTTATTCGCACTTTATTGATTTAAATTTAAATTTATGGACATCAATTTATTAAAATATTGAAAATAAAACAATGATAAAACATACAGAATTGAAAACCGAGACAATATGAATTAAAAACCTATATCCCTACATTTTTAAAGGGAGTCAATATTGTCAAAGTCCAGTAACCAATCTTTCGTAAATACACAAATACCATTTTAGCTGCTTCCAAACAAAACAGCTGTTACAACACCACTTGCAACGTTGCCAGTTCAGAGGCCGCGGCCTGGAGTTAAAGGCGGCCGTGCTTCAGGGCCGTTGTATCTTACAGCATTTCTGAGGCAAACTCAACACTATAGTCTCGAGGAGTTTGGAAAACACTTTAATTGTTTAAAAACTAAATAAAGCCATTAATATATTATTAAACTTAAATTTGTTTACAGAGAGGTTAGCATTTGTGTGGCTTGCCGTCAAGCTGCCAACATGACAACCCGGTTCTGTGTTTCGGTTAGAGTGGTCAACCCGCAACCACAAAAATTACGTGGTCTTGGTGGTGGGTTGACGTGTACGCACCCGTCTAGGTACTGCCCCAAAACTGCGTGCCACCACAAAAATCCGTCAAAGCAATATTCATCCGAGGTGGTGGGTTGTCGTGAAGCTCCTTGTACACAGCCTTGTCTGGCATCTACCCGCCACGGCCGCCACCAGGCACGTCAGCGACAAAGGTGCTTCAGATTTTTTACGACTTAAAGAATGGATTAACGTGTAGCTCTATGAGTATGAAAGTATGACTTATTCATGGCTTCATGTACGCTACTGTCCACCTGCCACCACGAAAGCAGGTGACAATGTGACACCCTGACAACTCGCCACCATAAATACTGGCCATACTGGTTCATGGGGTAAGAACAGGTTTTCCAATTTTTGACCCTAAAAACACAAAATTTTACAATTTCTTTCCTAATGATTTTGTAGAGCTTAAACAATAAATAATTTTGTATATTGACGCATTTTTACATGCCTAACGGATACGGAGATAATTTAAACAATTTAAATTCCCATGTTACATGTTATTCTTATAAAGAACTAGCTGTAACCCGCGGGCTTTGCCCCGTTTAACTTCTTAATTTTCAAGATTATCTCGTTCGCATGGCTCAATCACGTCCTGGTTGAAGTTTGTTCGCTACACTCACTCACCTTTAGGTTGGAGCTCGTTCGCTACGCTCACTCACCTTTAGGTTGGAGCTCGTTCGCTACGCTCACTCACCTTTAGGTTGGAGCTCGTTCGCTGCGCTCACTTGCCTTCAGGTTAGCTCGTTCGCTACGCTAACTCGCCTCCAGGTTGAAGTTCGTTCGCTACGCTCACTCACCTTTTGGTTGCAAATTAGCTGTTGTCATAAATGTAAAAGAAATAATAGTGCTGCACCCTGTTGGTAATCCTTGTAACTTTAATGCTATTGAACATCATAGAACAGAACCAACTTGTTTAATTGAAACAGCTGTTAAGATTCAATAATTCCATTTCTCATTAAGGTTAACATGGGAAACTCCAGAGTCACTGGGGCGGAGCCCGAAAGGATTTTTGAAATAAGAATATGCCTATATGTTAATCGGGAATGTGAGCTATCATCATGCCAAATTTCAGCCCAATCCGACCAGTAGTTTTCGAGTTTACTTTTCCCATACACACATACACACATACAGCAACCACCTCTTTTTTATAATAGTATAGATAAAATAAACTGTTGTAGTTTGCTTGTTATGTATATATTTTAATCGAATTCGGCAATTTTGTTTATTTTATTCTATACTGCTATCAACGTTTAAACAAAAAACACATCTCAATATCTTCCCTATTCTTCTTCTTCTTCTTCGTGATGTTCCAATCCAGTGAGCTGAGCGTGAGCGTGATGTTCGCTCTGGCAGCAAAAACCTAGGTGCTCATTAAAATTGATGTAAATAGTTAAATAGGAAATAAATAAAACAATTTTAAGGCGATATTTCAGTAGAAATCCATCCCGGTTAGTGGAAATTTGCTTAGTCTGCAGGTTTGCTGCGGCGGGGGTATTTGTATGTTAATTTTCAACATAAAACCTAGATAAAACATTTAAAATGTTATAGGACCAGTAATTGTTGTATTCAAGCAAAATACATCCTACAGATCATAGTCCATACTTTAAGAAACACTTGAAACGGAAAGTTATAATAATGATCTTTTATGGGTTTCTTGTAAAACGTGAAAAATATTTTACAGTTTTTTTCAAAACTATAAACACTTACTGCCACAGAGGTTCTTTTGTATGACCGTGTTTATGCGGTAACCAGTTGGCGGGTGGGACCCTCTTAATTGGCACTCAATTAGCATTTTCGTCTTGTAGTATTATGTTTTATATGAATTGCTTTAGGTTTATTGTTTTCTGTAGAGTTGAATTTATTTGGAAAGATCTTATAGATATTTAAGGGGGTTTTAAAAATAAAATTCAAGGATTAGGGAAGTAGTTATTTATAAATACTTTGTTAACTATGTTTAAAATTTTTGTAAATTTTTTTTTTATAATAATATTTTTTTATTTTTTTAGAATTATTTTAGTTACATGTATATACCAGCTGTTACCTGCAGGCTTCACTCCATTTGACTTAATAAAGTATTCTATATACAGGGTGTTTTTTTAAAAACTTGCATCTTTATTTATGTAAAAACCGCAATAGATAGAAAGATGCAGTTTGCAGGAATCATCTATTGACGTAGGGGGACCAATTGTTTTGAATTCAACGTTACATTCACATTCCCCCCCTTTCCCCCCCTGCCACCAACTTATTTTTTTTTAAATAGCAAGGTACCCCTTGTGACATATCAAATAAAAGAGCATAAAAAAAGAAAATGTTTGATGAATAAAATTGAAAATCGGTTCATAAATTTGTGAGATATTCCCCCCCTCACCCCCCCGGAACTTAATTTTTTTAAATAGCAAAGTACCCCTTGTGACATATCAAATGAAAGAGCATGAAAAAAGAAAATTTTTGGTGAAAACAAATTTAAAATCGGCTCATGAATTTGTGAGATAATCACCCCCCTTTTCCCCTACCCATAACTTGTTTTTTAATAGCAAGGTACCCGCCCTTGTGACATATCAAATGAAAAATAAATTTCGCCAAAATTTTTCTTTTTTCATGCTCTTTCATTTGATATGTCACAAGGGGTACTTTGCTATTAAAAAAAAATTAAGTTCCGGGGGGGTGAGGGGGGAAATATCTCACAAATTTATGAACCGATTTTCAATTTTTTTCATCAAAAATTTTCTTTTTTCATGCTCTTTTATTTGATATGTCACAAGGGGTACCTTGCTATTTAAAAAAATTAAGTTGGGGGCAGGGGGGGATAGGGGGGGAATGTGAATGTAACGTTGAATTCAAAACAACTGGTCCCCCTACGTCAATAGATGATTCCCGCAAACTGCATATTTCTATCTATTGCGGTTTTTACATAAATAAAGATGCAAGTTTTTAAAAAAAACACCCTGTACACATATAAAATCCAATGTATGTTTGTATATTTGTATGTTTGTCCTTTATGGACTCCAAAACCGCTCGACAGATTGTAATGAAACTTTCAGGCATTATTAAGCATTATTCAAGGATGGTTTGTGTGAAGTTTGGTGCAGATCCGTCAATAGGGCTCCGCCCCAGTGGCTCTGGAGTTTCCCATGTTAAGCTTATGAGTACTCATATTTAAATGGAATTAAAGAATCTTAACAGCTGGTGCAACTAAACAATTTGATTCTGTGATGTTCAATAGCATTAAAAAGTTAATAGGTTTACCAACAGGGTGCAGCACTATATTTATTTTTAATTTATGAGAACAGCTAATATGCAACCAAAAGGTGAGTGAGCGTAACGAACGAACTTCAACCTGGAGGCGAGTTAGCGTAGCGAACGAGCTAACCTGAAGGCAAGTGAGCGCAGCGAACGAGCTCCAACCTAAAGGTGAGTAAGCGTAGCGAACGAACTTCAACCAGGACGTGATTGAGCCATGGGAACGAGCTCATCTTGAAAATGAACGAGCATGTGACATAAAACCACAATAGGACAGGACGACGTCTGTCGGGCCAGCTAGTTAATAATAAAACTATTGATTGCCATGCCGGTTAGAGTGGCATTTAGAAAGGCTTTTTATGCTAACATTGAAGAAAAACATTGGAAGCTGTCATGGATAAGCCCTAGAAGAGTATTAAAATAAAAGATGGCTATTTGTCCTTTAAGCCTGTAGTTATATTAATTGGCTCTACTAATGGAAAAAATCAGCTCAATTGGTCAAGTAGTTATCACGTATTGACATACTCCAAATATTTATATCTGTAATACCTTCCACCCACTCATTTGACTTGATATCAGTAATTAACTAAAATTATTATCATGGTAATCTGTCTTCCAGATATTTCTTTGGGGGAAAACAAACACAATAGGTACTTTTTTATATAAATTGTGAAAAAAATAAAGGTAAAAGTTTATGAATTATATCTAAAAAAAAAAGAATCGCCCAATTCGCACACAATACCACAAATTATTTATTAAGTTAAAAACATAAACATAACTTTCAACAATCCTAATCTGACAGTTCTCATCGTGTTTCATAGCTTGTTGCTGCTTATAGTTAATTTGAATATTGCAGAAACTTCCTAACCAACGTTTTATCGCAGTGTGATTTCTGCACCAAACGATTTGTACATCATTAATAAACTAAAAAGTCAAAATCACAAAAATGTTCGTTATGGCATTTTTGCAATAAATGATTCAAATTAGCTGTTGCTACATTCAAACAAAAAATTAATATTGCTGCACACTGAAGGTAAACCTTGTAACTTTATAAAACTGTTTTAACTGAATTAGCTGTTAAAATTCATTAATTCCTTTTAAATATGAACGAGAGCTCGCCCCGTGGTCGAAAACTCGACCAAAATTATCTAATGTTCAGACTTCTCTATTTTCACCCCACTCTGTAAATAAAATATGTGATTGGAATTTCTTCCATTTCTTTTGATTTTCCGTTTATATTTCTTTGTTATTTCATCATAAGCATAGCAACCCTTAGAATCAGTGTACCAAACTTCACCCCCCTAGGTAAATGGGAAGTAGTCGAATTAGTGATGAGTGAGTGCATGAGTCAGTCAGTGAGAGCTTTGCATTTTATAGTTACAGAAGATTTAGCAGAACTTTAGCAAAACTAGAATATTAACAAAAATAAAATGTTGTGGCAAATAGAACTAAAATAGAACAATGGCCAAGCACACAACATTGTTTTGAAAACAGGTTAAAAACCTGCTGAAATATGATGAACTATCCCAATCTCGATAAAAAAATCCCACTACAGCAAACCTGCAGACAAAGGGAATTTCCATTTACATGGATAGATTTCCACTAAAATATTCCCTTAAAATTGCCAGATTTATGTCCTATAAATTACATTAATTTAATTGAGTTCCTAGCTTTGCTGCTACAGGTGTTTTTTTATTGAAATGTTGAAAGCTTAGTATGAAATAAACAAAAGTGTCAAATTGCAAATACGTTTTAAATATATCAAGCAAACTACACAAGTTTGTTTATTATCCATTAGAATTACCGTATATAAGAATTTTTAATTAACACTTTTTAACATTTTCTCCATGACCGTTAGGCATACAATAACGCTTCAATATACTAAATTATTTCTTTATTTTAAGCTCTACAAAATGGTTCAAAAAGAAATTTTGAAATTTTATGTTTTTAGGGTCAAAAATTGGTTTCTGAATTCATTTGATTAAGCCAAATGGATAATTTTTTATCGAGTTATCGCACTATCGGTCATACACATATGCAATTTAACGGGGTGTTTTTGGCCTTTGGGGACTTCAGATCTAAAAAATAAATCGGTTCCTGGTCTGGATCTTACCAAATATTTCAAAAACCACATCTTACCTAAACAAAAACCAACATTTCAAAACAGAAATAAAAATTTGCAAGTAGATATGATAAACAAACATTGGAACTTAATGGGCTTCTAGGTAACAACCCTTAGGTAAAATAATAATGAAAACTACTTAACTTTCCTAGCTTTAATCTGAATAGTAAGTACTGTCATAGACTAACCAACACGTATGTTTTATCTCTGTTTACTTTATAACAAATTTAAGCCTTCTAGCTAGTCCAATTATTTTTATTTGAGAAAGTGTGTGTCAGAATACAGGCTTTAATTATTTATAACTGAACATGGATAAACATTTAAACATTAGAGTGTAAACAAAGTTTCACAAGGATAAACATTTAAACATTAGAGTGTAAACAAAGTTTCACAATTATTCAATGAAACCTGGAGTTCTATTATAAATTAACTAACCGATGGTTTTTCATAACAAGAGGATAAAGTGAGTCATTATTGAGACCATATGTTCACAATGTGAGATTTATCAAAAACTTTAAGTATTGTCCAGAATATGACTGTAATGACCAACTGTCACTCGTACTTTTACTTTTCACTACACTACACTTCATTTTTTACTAAAAACACTAGACATTAGAATATGTTATTATTAGAAACATTTCAAAGCTAATAGAATTTTTTTGTATCATATCTTCTATTTAAAGTTCAAATTTACATTGAGTGTACAGTTTTGGTTGTTGCAAATTAAAACAGTTGACGAAACGATAAAATTTTTTTGTTTTTGCTAGTAAATTCAAAAATTATAGTAAATATTACTATTGCATAGTAAACATCCTTTTTGTGTAGTAAAATGATTTTTCGCAGGTGATAAACGTAGCATTTATAAGGAAAAACAGGTTATTTCACAGTGGTTTAGCAAAATAGTGGTTTGTTCACCACAGTGTGCTAGTACTGGAAACTGATTTGTTTTCTATCATACAAGGGGAAGGAGACAGGTAATTAGTATGAGCATGATTATGGGTCTGAGTGTAGGTGGGGAAAACAACCAGAGCATAACATATCGCCACTTACACCCAGGTGAAACATTCATATTCGAGATGAGATTCAGCTATGACCATTTCATTTCTGTGAGTTTTAAAGTATAATTTCGGCACATTTTATGTTACCATATTGATTTCATTCTAGAGCCAATTTTATTTTTTTGCACTTAATGACGAGGTGTTAGCCCGTCCTATGTACGGGAATCGAGTAGTCAGTTAAAACCGTCTTTTCTAATATTCGTGGTTAAAACTGTCTATAAGTCAGAACAGCTAGATCACACGTATAAAGAAAAATTGTCTTGCAGTTATAATGTGAAATATCATCTTGTAAACAAATGTCACGTGACCAAACATGTTTTCATCCCAATATAGGCCTATACAATATGCATTTTAAATCCGATAATTTTACAATAAAACAGTGATTGTGTCGATGTCAATGATAACGATGTGTTCAATATATTTAATCTCTGGATAAAACCCATCTAAGGTTGTTGTGATGATTCAAAATCGTGATTCATGATGATTCTTGATCTCCTTTTTTGATAATATCAAAGACCTAATCCAAACAAACTTTAAGCAGTCACTTTATTGTAAACAAAAAGCTACCAAAGATGAATTAAAACATGTAAACATTGTTATTTTCCTACTCTTTCTCTCAAAAAGTCGAGCAGCAAAATAATACGCATATCCTTTTCTTTTAACACGTTCGCTGCGGGTTACCGCCCGGGCGGTAATGTGCACCCGCCAAACTTATTCCGTTTGAGTGCAGCCGCACTCCGGTGTAGGTCGGAGTATTTTTGTCCGTGCTTCGTGTATGACAGTGGCAGTTTTGTGGTGCAATCCATTTCTAATTATCATTACTCGTTCCGAAACTATACCTGGTGGATTTTGACTCACTCATTACGTTTGTTAACTGTAATTTTGTGCTATATTAATTTTGTTTTATTTTTTTAATAATGGCATCTACTGTGGGTGTTTAGCAAACTACGTCAACTCTTGTCATGAAACAGGACATCACCACACGTTATTTGATATTCGTCATAACGAAATATGAAAGCCAATAGCCCGGCAATGGGGTTTGTTCGACGCTGCGGGCTGCGCCGCACTGGAGCTACGCCTGCCATTTGATGGGCAGCAGCGAACGTGTTAAGACTTCGTGGGCAGAGCCTAGATTTGTATACAGCAATGGTTTTACTTATCTCTGTGGTCTAATGATCACTACTAATCTTACTTGTTTCCTATAATCAATGACAAAATCATTGAGTAAAAAAATAACTTCACAGTTCTAAAGAATATTTCTATATTCAGCCAGCTGTTAGTTAAAACATTATATATTGCACTAAAACAAACAGAAGAGTTTAAAGATTGCTTTAAAAAATAATTTGAACATCTAGTATTTGACTATGTATATTTTATTATGTAAATTACCTGACAATTGCTCTTATGCTATTATGCTCTTACCAAAGAATTGAACAAATAAATGATTATTATTATTATATACATTACACATAATATAAATAAGTCAACCATACGTGTCTTCTCATCTTCATCCAAATGCTGAATTTGTGTCACAAACGCTGAATGTTTACAGCTGTTATGTTTAAGCAAATTATATTAAACCGAAAGCTAGCTTAGAATGTTGGCGTCAGCTGCTAGACTTTTTAAAATTTTAAACTTAATTTCTAAAGAACTGGAACCCTAAACTAAAATTATGGCTTCGACATTCCCTAGTTCTCAAAATTATCTTTCTTTCAACACAAAAATCATGAAAATCCGTCAAGTGGTTGATTCAGAATAGTGAAATAAAAAAAACCCTGTCTTGTTTTAATATTATAGATTTCAAATGAATATTTACTACATACTGAGTAACTTTACCAAACTATAGGTATGCACATTTTTAGCCCATATAATTTTTTTGTAGAACATGATGCTCAATCCTCTAAATATTTTGAATTTTACTTTTTCTTTCTTCCCCTATCATAGTATATATGGAGAAAGTATTGTTTTCGTCAACATTTTTGAATTTGAACTTTGGGTGGACATATCCATTTTGGGCCCCCCTGGAACCCAAGAAAGTGGTTTTCGAAGTGTTGTCTCTGTGTGTCAGTGTGTGTGTGTGTGTGTGGGGGGGGGGGTTGGGCTAAAGACCAATAATTTCAATGGTGTCTCCAAGTGTTTTTTTTTTAATTTCTATTTTTAAAAGCAATTTTTCCATAAACCCATAAAAAACAAATAAAAGGCAAAGCCCTCACTGACTCACTCATCACTAATTCTCCCACTTCCCATTTACCTAGGAGGCTGAAATTCGGTACACCGATTCTTTGGGCATTAAATAGGAAAACTAAGTAGTTTTTATTCTGATCGGGCTTTTCGGGCTCCGCCCCAGTGGCTTTGGACTTTCGCATGTTAACCTTATAAGTACTCATATTTAAATGGAATCAAAGAATCTCAACAGCTGGTTCAACTAAACAGGTTGATTCTGTGATGTTCAATAGCATTAAAGAGTTAATAGGTTTACCAACAGGGTGCAGCACTATTTTTTTACATTTAAAACTTCAACCTTTTCTTTATTGGAGGCGAGTTAGCGTAGCGAACGAGCTGACCTGAAGGCAAGTGAGCGCAGCGAACGAGCTCCAACCTAAAGGTGAGTAAGCGTAGCAAACGAACTTTAATCAGGACGTGATTGAGCCATGCGAACGAGCTCATCTTGAAAATTAATGAGCATTGACATAAAACCACATTAGGACACGACGACTTGACCAATTGAGCAGATTTTTTTCATGAATAGAGCCAATATAACCACAGGCTTAGTGGAGATAGTCATTTTTAATTTATTATTAATACTTATGAAGTTAAACGGGGCAAAGCCCGCGGGTACAGCTAGTAATTTATAAATAAAAAAACTTTTTAAAATACCACGGTTTTAAACACCCTAAAAAGTAGAAAATTATTTATAAATACGTGGAGAGAATATACTTGTAATATTTAAAACAAAAATCGTGGGGTGCATGTAATAGCTAATTTACGATTTTCTTCACCTATTGAATTATTAGCTATTTTAAACCTCAATTAGAAAATATAGATTTAAATACTTTTTTAATATTTTTTCTTTGAAATGGCAACCATACAAAGTAGGTATTTTAAGACAAGTATAAATGGAGATGAGTGTAGGATGAGTGGCGCGATCTTAGTCTTGTTAGTGACTAAGACCGACTTATTCCTTAGACCCAGCTGTTAATTAATAGTTATTTAACTCATACAAACAGGATGTACTGTGTGAATTTGTTTGTTTCCTATCGACAGCTACCACCTCTTTATTATTATCTTTATTGGATGTTCCTCACGTTTTCGTTTTAAATCTTAAAAAAGTATTTATTCTATCCACATAGTTATAAATTATTTTCTACTTTTTAGTGGGTTTAAAAACGTGTATTTTTTAAAAGTTTTTTTATTTATAAAATGTTTTATACTTTTTAGTCTTTAATGTGTATATGTTTAGTGAGTCGGTGACTCAGTCAGTAGCGTCGCGGACTTCGGGCCCAAGGCAGCGATGTCGTGGGTTCGGATCCTGGTCACTGCCGATAACATTTTATCAGTACAGTTCACCTTTGTACTGTACCGGCTCACTCCTTGCTTTGCTGTAAACGATCCAGGCACGGGCGCTTAGTCTATGTGGACGGGCAAATGCAAGGTTAAAAGAGGCCGCCAACCTCTTAAAAAAAAAAATGTTAAATCTATTTTATGGCCTGTTAATACATCACCAAAACCTTTTTTAACTGCAATCAGATGATGTTGCTACTATTCTCATACCTAATCATACTTTAGAATCTTTCAAGAGCAAAACCTGTACCTCTTAACCTCTGCTCTTTGAAAAACCTGTCAGATTAAAATATTTACAGCTGACTTCAATTGATGTACAGTATTTGAATATTTACATTCTTCGAAATTAGTACAGGTAAAATAATACAAAAACACTCAATATAAACAACAAAATTTGTACATTCATGAAATTTCACCTGTGTGTTACTAATAATATGAGAAGTGAAGATCCGATGAGTCCCCAAAATTTTGGGCGTCCTAAGGCCCTTTTTGGGGCCCTTTTTGTTCCGAAGGGCCCTTGTTCCTGAATAATTTTGTTTTTACGTTTAAGGTCGAGTGAGGTGTGGTTTTCGATGGTTTTAGTTATTTTAAATCAATTGGGGCTAGTTTTTAAGTGTATTAAACCACTCCATACAGGGTGTTTCGAAATATTATTACTTTTTACGATATTTAAACTTATTCATAAAGTGATAAAATTAGTTACCTCCATGCTCTATATAAAAGGGGATTATTGAAAATAACTGTAATTCTTTACTATATAAGAGGGAAGGATCACAAGGAGTAAGAGAAAATATTAAATACCCCCATCACAGCAAACCTGCAGACTAAGCGAATTTTCATTTGCCCGATTTTCAATTAAATCTAAAATAGCATTGAGTTTAATGAATACTTAGGTTTGCTGCTACAAGGAGGCTAATAAAGTGTGTTTATAGTAAAATATTAATAGCCTAGTATAAAACACATAAATTTGACAAGTTGTATTAAGATATATCAATAAACAAACAAACAAAATCATTTTACACTATTCTCCTTAAGAATAACATGGAATTTTAAATTTACAATTTTTGAATTTTATTCGTAACTAATACACTTAAAAACCCGTTAATATACTAAATTATTTGTATTCTTTAAGCTCTTTAAAATGCTCTAGAGAAAAATTGGGAAACTTTGTCTTTTGAGGGTCAAAGATTACAAATTTTTACCACCTAAAACTTGTTCCATGGACCGATTATGCCGGTTTCGTTAAAACTGAACCAAAATTACTCGAGTTATCATGTTTACGGACACGTATAGCCTATAACATGGATATATTATATTATATATATGTATATAAACACATATATAATATTTTGAGTGGATGGTGCTTTAGGCTTCTGGGGGCATCGAAATGAAAACGTAAATCGGTTTCGGGTCTATGTTTTACCATAAGACCTTCGGTAATAGCTTATCTCCTATATGGGATGTTCGCTAAAAGGGGATGCATTAAGTTTTACACTATAACATAATTACATAGGTTACTAAGCAAAAATTTCAACTTTTAAGGTGGTGTGAATAATCTTTCAACGTGTTTTTTATGCAAATCTATTATTAAGACCAATTTCAAATTGATATGTATTTTTCTTAGGTAGTTATTTAAGTTATTTTTTTTACATTTATTAAAAATTAAAACAATTGTATTTGTATAAAACCTTACATTACATAGCCTATTAAAATGAAGTACTTAAACTAAAGCTATTTTTCTACAATTTCCGTAGTATCTCTCTTTACAATTTCATCATCACAACACAATAATTATTCTCAGACGATTCATTAACAATTTTATTATTCTTAGCAACTTGTCCATCTTTACTGATTTTGTCCAAGTTGGTGTTCAAGCAGGATTCCCCTTTACAAACCTAAAACCTTGCATATTGCAGAACAGGCAACACCAATCTTAAAGCACGAACAATGTGGTGCAAAAACACCTTTCATACATACTGACGTTTTCAACTTGTATCTTAAGTTCCTCAAACTTATTTTCAATCAATACAAGTACGGTTATATTTCGTGGTTATGACGACCAGGACAGCACTAAGACATCAGAGCAGCATTGTCGGTACAAGCATTTTTGTCCTGAACAGTGGGAACGAGGTTTATGGGGTAAAAATTGGGTTTTCTTATTTACTTTACCCTCAAAACACAAAGTTTCCCAATTTTTCTCTAGAACATTTTAAATAGCTTAAAAACAAATAATTTAGTATATTAACGTGTTTTTGTATGGTTATTAGTTACAAATATAAATACTAAAATTGTAAATTTAAAATTCCCATGTTATTCTTATGTAGAATAGTGTAAAATGATTTTGTTTGTTTGTTAATAGATATATTTTGTTCAAACTTGTCAAATTTATTTGTTTTATACTAGGCTATTAATATTTTACTATAAACACACTTTATTAGCCTCCTTGTAGCAGCAAACCTAGGTAATCGTTAAATGCAATGCTATTTTAGATTTAATTGAAAATCAAGTAAGTAAAACGGAAATTCGCTAGGTCTGCAGGTTTGCTATGACGGGGGTATTGAATATTTTCTCTTACTCCTTGTGATCCTTTCCCCTTACGTAGTAAAGAATTAGAATTATTTTCAATAATCCCCTTTTATATAGAGAATGGAGGTAAATAATTTTATCACTTTATGAATAAATGTTTAAATATCGTAAAAAGTAATAATATTTCGAAACACCCTGTATGATGTGGTTTAATACACTTAAAACTACTCCCAATCGATTTAAAATAACTAAAACAATCGAAAACCACACCTCACTCGACCTTAAACGTAAAAACAAAATTATTCAGGAACAAGGGCCCTTCGGAACAAAAAGGGCCCCAAAAAGGGCCTTAGGACGCCCAAAATTTTGGGGACTCATCGGACCTTCATTTCTAATATTATTAGTAACTCACAGGTGAAATTTGATGAATGTACAAATTTTGTTGTTTATAAAACCCTATTTTACCTGTACTAAATGTAAATATTGAAACTTTTGAAGCCCATACTGCCCATGGGGCGTAGTCCAAGGGAAATGTGAAAATAAAGTGGTTTAATATTGCATTGTCATCCATTTGTGAGATATAATTCAATTTCCAAGTATCTAGCTCATCAGTAAGTTACTTTAAAATCGATTGTAAAATTTATACCAAACAGACAAGAAAGCGAGCTAATAAAACGTGTTAAAAAATCAAAGTTTCTCAAAATTGGATTGAACAATTATGATTAAATTTTAGTGCGTTACTAGCAGCCTGCATCACCTCTTGACTTCAAAATCCGTGATATAGCCTATTTGACATATAGTTGATACGGGTGAAAAGGATTATTTCTCATCATAACTCTATTATTTGCGTTGCGTGCCCTATTATTTTCATTGCGTGCGGGATCTCTTCGAGGCATCTAAGTAAAACTATAAATGCTAATGAAACATGCTATGAAAACACAAAAACTCTTCTTTACATTTAATACAAATATTACAATATTTTACTTAAATTCCCTAAAACATCATAAAAAACATTCTATTAAAACACAAAATCCTATCACGACACAAAATCCAACGTAAGTCATTTTCTTCTTTACATTTTTAGCATTAAAGTACTTTACTTGAATTCACTGAAACATCTCCAAATACAGATAACCCCATTTTCGTATGGATGTAAACAAAATGGTATTATGGTAATCTGTTTTGATGTAAACAAATGTAAACTTGAAAAAGTTTAGATGATTGACAACAAAATTCTGCACATAGACTCTGAAACTTTAAAAGCCTGTAGGAGGAAAAGGCTTTCATGAGATATCATCTAAACCCGCAAAAGGCACATCTAGCGGATAAGAGCTTTAAATTGATACACAATATGCCTATAAAATAAATATTTAGGGGTTGATTTGCTGCACACAAAAATCCAACAAATTCTTTTAATAATTTAAGTACTCATATTTGACTCTGATCAAGATAGTAAAACTCAAGGTGTAAAATTACGGTTCAAAAGTTATTGCCACTTTTGTGATGTTTTTTTCATAAAAATCCAATAAAATAACAGAATATCGGATTTCTGAAAAACAACCACTAGCCTAGACCCTTTTATTATTAAAATTTATAATGCTTTGGTTCTTGTAGCTCTAAACAAAATTGTAAAATTTTGTGTATGCTGTAAAAAAAAACGGTTCAAAAGTAATTTCAACTTTTGTAGTTATTTCTTCATAAAATATATCATAGTAGTTACTCCCACCCCACATAAGTGCCATCAAACTTAGTTTTCAGCATTGGAACCACATTGGAAACCATATAGGTTAAGGTTAGGCCTACTTTTACTTTCTCCCCCTATACCATAGTATATGGAGAAAGTATTGTTTTTGTCAAAATTTTCGAGTTTGAGTTTTGAGTGGATATATTCGTTTTGGGTCCCCCTGGACACAAAAGAGTGGTTTTCGAAGTGATGTCTGTGTGTGTGTGTGTGTGTGTGAGTGTGTGTCTGTGTGTGTGTCTGTGTGTGTGTGTCTGTGTGTGTGTCTATGTGTCTGGATGTGTACAGAGCTAGGGACTACACCTGTGGTCTGATTTCAATGAAATTTGGTATGTAGGTTCTAATCCGTGGTATCTCCAGGGTTTTTTTCATTTTTTTGAAATTTTGATTTTTTATGGGGATTTTCCCATAAAAACCCATAAAAAACTGGAAAAATCGGATTTTCTCAAAAATGGCCCGAACGATTTTGATAAAAATTTAGTATGTTGTAGCCCTTTAAAGTCTGAACAAAATGGTACAAATCCCATTTCTGTAAAAATTATGGTTCAAAAGTTATGGTAAATTATGTTATTTTCCCATAAAAACCCCATAAAATAACAAAAAATAGGATTTTAGACAAAAATCCGGTTTTGATTTAACAGAGTATGTTATGATCCTTTCAATTTTGATAGTTTTCGTCATTTTTTAGAAAATGTTATTTTTAATGTGGATTTTCCCATAAAACCCCATAAAAAACTGGAAAAATAGGATTTTCTCAAAAATGGCCCGAACGATTTTGATAAAAATTTAGTATGTTATAGTCCTTTATATTCTTAACAAAATGGTACAAATCCCATTTCTGTAAAAATTACGGTTCAAAAGTTATGGTGGATTATGTTATTTTCCCATAAAAATCCCCATAAAATAACGGAAAATCGGATTTTCCCAAAATTGGCTAGAACAATTTTGATAAAAATTTAGTATGTTATAGTCCTTTAAATTCTGAAGAAAATTTTACAAATCCCATTTCCGTATATTTACACTTACCGCTTACACATGAGAAAGGTTGTTGACAATCTTATGGGAGAAAGTATGTGTCAGAATGCTGATACCGTTTATTAATTTCTACTATTCTAACATATTAAAGGCTACTGTTTTTTTTTTCATGAAATCTAGATTGAACACATTATCTAAATAGAGTTTATGGTATTGTAACCTGTTTAAAAGTTTTACATTCATTGTCAGAAGCCTTTCCTCTTATAACAACATATTAAACATTAAATAGGACCATGAACACAATTAGAGAATTAGAGTTAGAGTTGAATTAGAGTTTGATTCAAGTTACTTTTTAGCATCTTTCTTTTTTGACTTTTAAGTATATCATTAAAAATATTAATATTAATTATTAAATTATTTTGACTATTACATGTTATAATAGTCTAGATAAAAATTTGGTTTCTATTCATTTTTAACCATTAAAGACTACCTATTTGTTTTTCCTACTGTTCACGATTTCATAAACTCCAAACAAAATGGTATGAACCCAACTACTGTATAAATTACGGTTCAAAAGTTATTGACCATTATCTGATTTCCCCCATAAAATATCATGATAAGGGTTCTTGACAAGCTAATAGGAGAAAGTAAATTGCCAGCTTTCTATTGCCATTTATTTATTCATTTCAGGGTGATTATTCTTTTCTTTTGGAATACTATTGAAAAAGTGAGACTGGATGAACTTGAAGAAGTTTTGAATAATGTAAATGTATCTGAAATGTCTTTAAGTAAGTAGAAGAAGAATTTATATAAAGCTACAGACTTATTTTTAGCAATAAAAAATAATATACTGTATAATTAAACAGTGTATAGTTAAAAAAATTTTCATAGTTTATAAACAGTTTAATTAAACGCCATGTATTTCAAATTGTACCGTTGAAAGCAAAACTGTTTTTGGTATATTTAATCCATAGGCGTAACTAGGATGACCCTAAGAGGGTGGGGATTGCACCAGGGGTATCTGGTGGGGGGGGGGGGTATTCCAGACTATTTGTAATTGTAAAAAAGTCACGTTTTAAGGCCAATGGAGGGGGGCCTTAATGAACCCCTGATCCCTCCCCACTGATTGATGTATTATTAACTTTGACTGGAAGCAAATTATAAATACCGTACTAATAATAAAAAAAAACCAGATGACATACAAAAGACCCATATTTTTTATATTATATTTATTTATTGCTTTATGAAAGTATTGACACTTCAGTAGTGGTACAAAGATGCAAAAGGCAATGAAGTTATTCCAATACCACAAATTGATTTCAAAATTCAGCTTCAAGTATTATGATCTAGGCGTCTACTTTCTTCTTGGTGTCTGCAGTAATGCAAGACTCCAGTGTTGTACAATAATTTAATATTGGCTAATGGTCATTGCAAAAAAAGGTATAGCCAGCAAAAAAACATACAAATTTGTAATGGAAAGGACAAGTTTCAAGTTGAATTGGATATGTTATCATGGAATATATTAAACCACGCTGGAATTTATTTAAGGGATTTAAGGTGATATCTTTTGGTTCTCTATTATGTACCGGTACATATATAATAAATATCAATCAGTATAGTGGGGGCCATTGGTAATAAATCAAAATAAAATTTGCAGAGGGTGATCACATATCAGATGGAGCTTCAAGAATGAAGGATCTGATACCATGGTGCATGGAGGGAAGTGCAGAAGGGACTTGTATGGATGCAGAACAGTGTTTCTTGTTGTCAGGCCAGGTGGGACAACCGTGTGATGCCCACAGAGTTTGCTGTACTTGTAAGTATACGATACCATGGTGCATGGAGGGAAGTGTAGAAGATACTTGTATGGATGCAGAACAGTGTTTCTTGTTGTCAGGCCAGGTGGGCCAACCGTGTGATGCCCACAGTGTTTGCTGTACTTGTAAGTATACGATACCATGGTGCATGGAGGGAAGTGCAGAAGGGACTTGTATGGATGCAGAACAGTGTTTCTTGTTGTCAGGCCAGGTGGGCCAACCGTGTGATGCCCACAGTGTTTGCTGTACTTGTAAGTATACGATACCATGGTGCATGGAGGGAAGTGCAGAAGGGACTTGTATGGATGCAGAACAGTGTTTCTTGTTGTCAGGCCAGGTGGGCCAACCGTGTGATGCCCACAGTGTTTGCTGTACTTGTAAGTATATGATATCATATGGTGCATGGAGGGAAGTGCAGAAGGGACTTGTAGGGATGTAGAACAGTGTTTCTTGTTGTCAGGCCAGGTGGGCCAACCGTGTGATGCCCACAGTGTTTGCTGTACTTTTAAGTATACGATACCATATGGTGCATGGAGGGAAGTGTAGAAGATACTTGTATGGATGCAGAACAGTGTTTCTTGTTGTCAGGCCAGGTGGGCCAACCGTGTGATGCCCACAGTGTTTGCTGTACTTGTAAGTATACGATACCATATGGTGCATGGAGGGAAGTGTAGAAGATACTTGTATGGATGCAGAACAGTGTTTCTTGTTGTCAGGCCAGGTGGGCCAACCGTGTGATGCCCACAGTGTTTGCTGTACTTGTAAGTATACGATATCATATGGCGATATAGGTGGGGAAGTGGGGAGAGACGTTGTTGCAATCGCGGCAGGCAACGACTTGAACATGCAGCCCGGCTTCGCACACTATAAAAAATATAGCGTGCCGCTATGCGTCACAACGGAGGGGGGAGAAAATTGTGCATTTTGCATTTTTAACACCTACTTACCATCCTAGACAACATATAAAAAATTTAGAACTACCGGACCGTTTGTAAGTTAACCCCCCTATTTTTGTCTCTATTTACTGTACTATAGGCCGCAAATGACTCACTTTCTACTCTTGTTATGAAATATATTACTATTTAATTTCTTTTTACATATGTTTTATCATACATTTCAGCCATCCTTTCTTGTGGAGAAGGATCATCCCTAAGTTTCTCCTACTTCAAGTCTCCAACTTATCCACAAGAGTCATCTGGTTCCTTAGCATGTGATTATGATGTGTTTGTTCATCCACATACTTGTGCCATTAGGTAGGTACCGTATTTAAATAGTTTTCAATGTCAATGACATCATACAAGTTTGTTACCGTACTTAATATTCCTCAATATAAGGGAAGAGGATTAAATAATAAAGCATCCCATATTTATCTCAAAAATATATTTCTGATGGCATCATTCAAATTAGAAGAGTTTCTATTGATTAGAGCCTAATGTTCCGTAAAAAAGGGTTTTCAACGATAATTTTTTTTAAATAAATTAGTTTTTTTGTTTTTCGATGCCATATAATATAGGTATATATTTTATATTTATGCAGTATGAACTAAGGTAGAATTTTATTCCTTTACACTGTACTGCCTGTTTCATTGCTGTGCTAAAGTTAAACTTTTTTTTTACAACAATTAATTAATTTAATTTCGCTTTCGTGGCTTTAGAATCAGAAGTAGATTTATTAGTCTTCTATCTTTTTCCTAGGCTAGAGAATCAAATTATTCTGACTGCGACAGCTCATTTTATACAGTCGTCAATGATTCTGAAATTAGTTAAATGCCAGCTTAACATTTCAATATCTGATTATCCTTTTTCTACACTGGACATCTACACATAAAAAATACAAACATGATTTGTACTTGCTTAAACCCCAAAAAAGTACTTCATATAGGCTATTGATGTTACAAAGGACCATTACCATTATTGAAGATTTATCTATCCATAAAACAAGTATCTATCTATATATTGATAGGCAAGCATGTTTCTTTAATACCCCCGCCGCAGCAAACCTGCAGACTTAGCGAATTTCCATTTGCCTGATTGGATTTAAACTAAAATGTCTCCTTAAAAATATCACATTTATTCCCTATTTAAACAGAATTAGTTTATTGAGTACTTAGGTTTGCTGCAACAGGGAGGGTAAATTTTTTTTAAATGTAGAATATTAAAAGGTACTGTGGTTTAGTAAGAAATTAATGTATTTTCCAACTTTTATCAAAATATGTTCATAAACAAGCAAACTACAACAGTTGACTTATTCTCCATAAGAATAACATGGAAATTTTAAAATTACAATTTTTTTGAATTTTCTCCGTAACAATTAGGCGCATAATAATGCTTCAAACAACTAAATTATTTGTTTTTTTAAGCTCTACAAAATGGTTTAAAAAGAAATTTGTGAAATTTTGTGTTTTTAGGGTCAAAAATGGGTAAAACCTATTTTTACCCCATAAAACCCTCCATAAACCCCCGTTCCCATAGTCCGATCATGCTGGTTCGCGAACTCATTCATTTTTATCCCGCCTTACACCTTTAAACCAAATTTTATCAAAATCGGACAAAAATTACTCAAGTTATCGTGCGGATGGACACATATTTAAATATCTCTATATATAGATATATAAAAATTTGAAAGAATGGTGTTTTTGGCCTCTGGGGACATCAAAATGTAAAATTAAATCGGTTCTGGGCTTAGGTCTTACCATGAGACCTACGGTAATAGCTACAGTAGAACCTCGATAACAAGACTCTCGTGGGGATTATTAAATAAGACTTGTTATCAAGGTTGACTTCTTATTGAGGTTGGCAATAACATGTGATAAAGGGTCAAATACATTCAAGGGGATTTGAAAATTACACTTGTTATCAAGGGTGACTTGTTATCGAGGGTCTTCTTATCGAGGTTCCACTGTACTTCCCTATAGGAAAAATCGCTAAAACCTTTTTTCTCAGCTCGTATGCATCGCAGGGAAAATCTACGCATACTGTTAGAAAGATATTTTCCTGTAGATGTGCAGAATCCATTTTAAAATTAAAATAGGCTAAAAAATAAGCACAAAAAATGAATTTGAAATTAAAAAAAAAATAACATGGGCTTTACGGGTTGCCATGCTGGTGACGAAATACAAACAGAAAATCAAAACAAATGGAACAAATTACAATCACATGTTTTATTTACAGCGTGGGTTGAAAATAGAGAAGTCTACCTTTGACTTACATCCCCATGTTGTCACCGTAGTTTATGTGAGCCACCAACAGATTGCGCTGATCTAAATGACTAATTTCGGTTGAATACACTATGTTTTTTTACTAAATCAAACTTATGGAATGACTTATTATGAGCTATAGCAACTGTTTATGACCCATAAACTTTGTCAGCAACAAAAAATCAGGTAGAAAACATGATTTTAGACACACATTCTGTGACTGGCTCACACAACTACATGAGTTTTTTTTAATGGCGACAGCTGGTCCATATAGATGGAATGTCTACTTCAGTATCCAATAGTCAATGGGTGTACGTACTTTACATATTTTTGGTCGAATTTTCGACCACTGGATGACCACTAGTTTTCATTTATTAGCCACTAAACTAAACTGCGTTATTGCAGGATTGACTTTGAGTCCGCCAGTTTGGCAGGCAAGCTAGGAGGAACCTGTGACATTGACCAGTTGTTCATCCTCAACTCTATTGATGGACCGACAAGTGGACTTTGTGGACAACTCTCAGGCTACTCCAGTAAATTGTCTTTAACTAATAATGTTGTGTCATTATGGCAGAGATGCATCTCAGTCCTTTATGAATAATATTGACTAAGCAAAGTTTGAGTGAACTCTCAAAAATGATTTAATGGTTATTCACGAATATAAGATAATAATCATTGACATAGTGCCATAACTATTATGTTCATTTTTGAGTTGTTTAATTGCTTGTATACTAATAAAATCAAAAAGTTATTTTATAACTAGCAGAGTACCCGTCCTTCGTACAGGGTTGGCATATAAGTATAAATGCTTATTGTAGTTATGGGAGAGGACACGGTTTAAGAAAATTTTGTCTTTTAATTTATACGGTATCCTATAGTGTCCTACAGTATCTACCATAGCCCTAATTTTCTACCACTGCACCTAAACCATGAAAAAAAGTTAAGTTCTCATTGTGTACCACAACTTTTTGTTGCTAGTTGGTTAAAATTAGCGTTAGTATTTTTCGTGTTTACTTGTCACAAACATCCATCCATCCATCCATACATCCAAACTTTCTTACTTATAATATTAGTAGGATAAGTAAACTGTTGTAATATTGCTTGTTTATGGATCAATTTTCATCAAACTTGGCAAATGTATTTATTTCATAGTAAGCTAATGATATGTTCCTTAAAATCACACTTCGTTGCCCTCCCTGTATGCAGCAAAAACCTAGGTACTCGTTAAACCTAATGTTATCGTTGGTGCAATTAGTAGCGCCATTTGAACAGCTACTGCAAATCAGCGCTACTATTCTATTTGCTAGCAGCTATACCCGGGCCTTGCATCGGGGTCAGTATGCAAAAGAGACAATGTTGGTTCTTAGAAACATGCCAAATGGTTTTCCAAATGCCAAATTTAGAAACAAAATTTAACTGTACTACTTAACTTGATAATAGTACGTTTTTGTTAAATCTTACTGTGATTACTTATTTATGCTACCTACCATACAAAACCAAAGATAGATTTTAAGGTATAATAAAAGAATGTATTTCATGGTTTGCACTGTAAACAAAATACCCCCGCCGCAGCAAACCTGCAGACTAAGCGAATTTCCATATGTCTGATTGGATTTACACTAAAATGTCTACCGGTACTTAAAAATTTAACATTTATTTCCTATTTAAATAGAATTAGTTTAACAGGTACTTAGGTTTGCTGCATCAGGGAGGGTAAAACTGCTTTTTTTGTAAAATGTTAATAGTTAGTAAGAAATAAAAACATTTTCCAAATTTGATCAAAATATGTTTATAAACAAGCAAACTACAACAGTTTACTTATTCTCCATAAGAATAACATGGGAATTTAAAATTTACATTTTTTTGGAATTTTCTCCGTAACCATTAGGCGCATAGTAACGCTTCAATATACTAAATTATTTGTTTTTTTAAGATCTACAAAATAGTTTGAAAAGATTTTGCAAATTTTTTTGTTTTTTGGGTCAAAAATGGGAAAAACCTATTTCTACCCCATAAAACCCCCCATAAACCCCCGTTCCCATAGTCCGATCATGCTGGTTCGCGAACTCGTTCAAGTTTATCCCGCCTTACACCTTCAAACCAAATTTTATCAAAATCGGACAAAAATTACTCAAGTTATCGTGCGGATGGACACATATATATATATATATATATATATATATATATATATATATATATATCTATATATAGATATATAAAAATTTGAACGAATGGTGTTTTTGGCCTCTGGGGACATCAAAATGAAAAAGTAAATCGGTCCCGGGCCTAGGTCTTACCATGAGACCTACGGTAATAGCTACTTCCCTATAGGGAAATTCGCTAAAACTATCACAATAAACCTCATAAAACTCAGAATAAGAGCCTAGATTGATAGGGCAATGATTATAGAATCTTAATTATTTCCTATATCCATGAACAATTTTTTTACAACGAATTATTCCCTCTAAAATATTATTACAGCATTTCACAAATATTAGAACAGACTCAGTATAATAGATCATAAACATAAACAAATGAAGTAACTGAAAGATTCATATACTAATGAAATTCAAATTATATTAACATATGGTTTGACAGCTCCATTTAAGTAATGTCAAATAATGTTTACATTCGGGCTAGTGACATCATTATTTTAAATTTATAATCCTTACCCTCTCTGTTCTAATATTCGTGCAGTATTTAATATGTTTGAACCAGCTGTGTAAAAATATGAAATCAACATTCATTTGACAGTTAGTTCTGCTTGTTTACATTTTTAAACTTTGTAGGTTTGTTCTTTGTTACCATGGATACCATCAATCAATATTTACTTTTAAATCTCTCACCTCAAATTTTTGAAAGCCCACGGGGCAGAGCCCTAGGACAATATCGAAGTGGGAATAGTTCTATATGTATCCTCGGAGCTGTAGCTTCATTTGTGTGCAATTTGAGCCCAGTCGGTTCAGTAGTTTTTGAGATTACCTCATACAAACACACACACACACACCACCTCTTCTTTATAAGGCTAGGGCCACACTTGGCGACTTTGTCGCGGCGACTTTTTTCCCGCGACTTTGTCGCGACGACAAAGTCGCTGGGGGTGGCCACAGTAGGCGACAATTTCAACCTTTCAGTTTACTTTTTTCCATACCAGTAAAAATAGAGTTTCGAGATGTTATATTGTATTTTCAAAATCGTGTCATTGATTATGGAAATAAATTAGGATCTATGACCATTTTTGTACGTTTTTTACCATCTTAGAATAAATCGATGTTTTTACTATTAATTGCAGTACCATAAGATTTAAGTGAATCTTCTACAAATTAAATCATATCGTTATAGTATTTTCATACGTGCACCGGCGCCTCTTTATATTTCGTACTAGGTCACGTAATAGTTTTTAACCATTTGCCTGCAACAAAGGAAATACAATTTTACTAAATTAATGTGTTAAACTATGTTTTAAAAACCAATGTGGACGTCTACGTCGTCAAATCCTCTGTTTAATATCTCTATCGCTATTTATTTTATATCTAAATACCCCCGCCGCAACAAACCTGCAGACTAAGCGAATTTACATTTGTTTGGCTAGATTTCCACTAAAATATTCACTTTAAACTTGTTGGATTTATTTCCTATTTAAATAAGATGAATTTAAATTAATGCTAAGGTTTACTGTGACAAATAAGGTAACCTAATGAGGTGTGCTTGTTAATTTAAATTTTGATGGCTTAGTATGAAATTAAAAATATTTATTAAAATACTGTTATAATTTATGAAAATATATCCATAAACAAGCGAACTAAAACAGTGTATTCTTCATCAAAATGGACATTTTAAATTTATAATTGTTTAAATTACCTCCGTAACCGTTAGGTTTACAACAACGCTTCAATTAACAAAATCATTTTTTTAGCTCAACAAAACAGTTTGGAAGGAAATTGTGAAATTTATGTTTAAGGGTCAAAACTAAGAAAAAATAATTTTATACCCCATTAAACTTAAAGCCCCTTAAACCTCCCATTCCCATGGTCCGATCATTTTGATTTGCGAGCACGTTTGAATTAACGTTGGTTTTAACATTTGTACCAAATTCCACTAAAATTTCATCATTTTTGCTCAAGTTATCGCGCTAATTGGCACATAGACCTAAATGTATACACTGTATATGTAAATACATATTACGTATATATGAATTTGAACGGTGGGTGTTTTTGCCTCTGAGGACCTCAAAACGAAAAATCAAATCGGTCGCGGGCTTAGGTCTACCATGCAACCTAAGGTAATAGCTTATTCCCTATAGCGGATAAGAGAAACATAGGTATGGAGTGAATTCCCTAAAACTATCGTTTATGGATAGCGTATTTTAATTTTGTAAATTTTTAGTTATATTTTGGATGAACATAGCTTTGGCGAGCTACTGACATTGAAGACGACGCACAACATTTGAAAAATACACGAGGTTTTGGATTCCTATTATACCAGAAGAGTTAAATCTCCTACAGCACACATGTTAACATGTCAACACTTATTTTGTCGATGACAATATTAGTATTTTAAAAGCATATTTACCATTTAACAAATCCAGTCCATAACTGTACAATATAGCTATGCAAATAGAGCAGCAAGGGTGTGTGAGCGAGCGACTTGTTGCCTAGTATGGCCGGTGCCATAAGATAACATGGGGAGCGTATTTGTCGCCGAGACCGAAAAACGCTCCCGGTCGCGTTTGTTTTTCTGTCGCCGGTGGTCGCAGGTCGCGAGTCGCTTAGTGTGGCCGCCTCCATTTAATTTAAAGCTACGCACTTTCATTCATTGACGCCGCGACAAAGTCGCCAAGTGTGGCCCTAGCCTAATAGTACTAGCAGAGTACCCGTCCTTCGTACGGGGTTGGCATATCAGTATCAAATGCTTATAGCAGTTATGAGTGAGGACATGGTTTAAGAAATTTCGGTTCTTTTTGAAGTTCGTTCGCTACGCTCACTCACCTTTAGGTTGGAGCTCGTTCGCTGCGCTCACTTTCCTTCAGGTTAGCTCGTTCGCTACGCTCACTTGCCTTCAGGTTAGCTCGTTCGCTACGCTCACTCGCCTCCAGGTTGAAGTTCGTTCGCTACGCTCACTCACCTTTTGCTGTTGTCATAAATGTAAAAGAAATAATAGTGCTAGTGCTGCACCCTGTTGGTAATCCTTGTAACTTTTAATGCTATTGAACATCATAGAACAGAACCAACTTGTTTAATTGAAACAGCTGTTAAGATTCATTAATTCCATTTCTCATAAGGTTAACATGGGAAACTCCAGAGCCACTGGGGCGGAGCCCCGAAGGATTTTTGGGATAAAAATATGCCTATATGTTAATCGGGAATAAGAGCTATCATCATGCCAAATTTCAGCCCGATCCGACCAGTAGTTTTTGAGATTAGCTCATACAAACACACACACAGACACCACCTCTTCTTTATAATAGTATAGAAGATAGATAGATAGATATGGCCCTACTGTATAGCTGGCTTAATGTGGGATTTATATGTCAAAAATACATTAAGAGTTTGTTTTATACTATTATTTTTATGTTTCACTAACTTTGAATTGTATATTAAGAGTATATTAAACATGCCTCTTACAGTACAAGCTCTCAAAACTTTAAAACTAATTTCTTTCCAATGATTGTGGGCTTTTTGTGCTCTTAACATATCAGAGCATGCAATGGATGGGGATAAATTAATGTTTAACTATTATTTAGAAGCTAAATAACATGTGAAAAAGCCTAATTTACGGATAATACTTAAAATACGGATAAACACTTAAAAAAAGAATTACAGAGTTTTAATTCATCTGGGACATAGTTTGGATCTTTGTGAATAATTTACAGTTTATTTTAACTCAATAAACATTTTAATAATGCCACAAGTTTCTTTTTTGTAGGACAATGTTTACATGGTAACAAGCCGGCGTGTGAAACCCTCTTAAACCTGTAAAAATTTAGAACGCATTTTACTTTCTCCCCTTATATAGAGAAAGAATTGTTTTCCTACATATTTTTTTTCATATTATTAGCTACAGAGCTACAGACTATGGTACTAAAACTGTGGTCCGATTAGGGTTTGGATGTTTTTTATCACAATTTTATTTACAATCTGTTCAGCTTTTTGAATATTCAGCAAATATGAGAACAATATATGTTAACAGCAAATATAAGATCAGACCTAACTTAAAAATATTTGAATGAAAAAATAACAATTATGAAACTATTCAAACAAAGTTTGAGCTGAGGTCTAAAACATGAGTTCTTCTCAGTCTAGTGTAAAACATGAAAATCATCCTAATCACCTGGCTTTAAGACAATGGATGAATTTAGTACATTTATGTGCTTTGTGCCTATTAATTAATCCATAATGGTATCAGTTTTTTTTTAATTACCTTAATTGATGATATTTTAAAATGTCATAAGCCGTTTGTGCAGTTTTTTATGCAAGCAACGCAGTTTAGGAAAATGCATAATTTTATAAGGCAATTTACATTTTGAAGTGTTAATCTATTTTCAGCAACAGTTGCAGTCAGCCCAAGCCAACTAAAACCTTTGAAGTTGGCATTTTTAATCCAAAATGAGATACAATATCACTGGTACATAAAAATAACACAAATACCGTGTGAGCTAGTCACACCTTATGAAGGTGAGTTACAGCATGCTTCCAATAAAACACAATTTTAACAAGCGGATAACGTTACCTTTTCTCTTGGCATACAAAAAGATGAAAAAATATTTATTGATCAGTTACTAATAAGTGCTATTTATTGCTTTTCATCACAAACGTAAACTTGATTTTTTATGAGACATTGAAACTCATAGTTCAGTTCTTAATACTAGGTGTATAGAATGTAAAAAAGTATACATTTAAAATATTATCTCTAATCCTATATATTAATAGGCAAGCATGTTTCTTGAAAACCTTTTTTCTCAACTTGTGTGCATCGCAGAGTAAATCTACGCATACTTTTAGAAAGATATTTTCCTGTAGATGTGCAGAATCCCTTTATAAACTAAAATAAGCTTAAAAAACAAGCACGAAAAATGAATTTAAAATTTAAAAAATTAACATGGGCCTTATGGGTTGCCATACTGATGTCAAATTAACAACAAAATATAAACAGAAAATAAAAATAAATGTAAGAAATTCTAAACGTATTTTTTATTTACAGCCTGGGTGGAAATAAAGAAGTCTAAACATTACATAATTTTGGTTGAGTTTTCATCCACTGGACCATCTCTAGTTTTTTTAGATTTTTTTATGGGAGAATATTATGAATATAAAATCATGTTTGATGGATTATAAGACATTAACAGTCCATTTTCATGAATAATTAATGGTGCACATCAGTTTTATGTTTTTAAAGAGTGAACCTTTAAGGCACCAAATCACTCAAAATAATAGCAACAGTGTAGAATTCAGTATTGGTTTTGTGTATAGTATAGAGTATAATAGATAGCTGGGTAGCCGATTGGGAATAGTGCTTGTATAGTAATCAAATGATCGCAGGCTCGGTCCTGAGAAAAGTTTGTAGCGTTTAATGGTTTGAAACCGGGCCCAAATGTCCTTGATCATTAGGGTTTTCAAAAATGGCTAATGGAAAATATTATGGTCTTATAGTCATAGTAAGAAAGCTACACAAGATGTCTCACATTATTCTACACTCATATTATCATATCCATCCACCTAACCCACCTCAATCGTATATATTATACTGTATAATATAATAACATGACATAATATGAGCGAAACACTCTAGATAACTTTAGTCAACTGACCCAACATTGAGTGTTTCCAAATAGCTCATCATATCAATGATGTGGTCTTTCATATTGAAATCAATGTTAATGATCACAATACTTGGATGGATATGATGTGATGTATGTTTGATTGCAGGTCCAGAGTTTTGTGGTCGAGTGTTCAGTGACCCGTCTCGTAGTAACCTGTACAACACAAACCCAACTAGTTCTCAAACTCAGTCAGTCTGGTGGATGACACCTGAACCTGCAATAAACACTTATTACTATGGTAAACATATTTCTCATGATCGTTTAGAAATTTTTTATGACATAAGTTATTATGATAGTATGACATCCATAATTTGTCTTAAAACGGTTTATTTTGTGTTCTTTTTTCCTTTAGTTTTTTACTATATATTTCATGTAAAGTTACAGGGAGGAAACAATATGAACAGGGTAAGTTTTTATAATTTTGTTAAACATGTTTTATACACAAGTCAACATTTAGGCAGATGGGGAATCACCCTTCCATTTGAAGGCACGTACCAAACGTTCCAAATATAGTAGGTACCGGTATAGGCATTGACTATGTATATATAGGGTGGACATAGTTAATAAGTTAATATATAGGGTAGACATAATTAATAAGAACATGTTTGTTATGGCTATTTTGGAACAATCTATGACGAAATTTGGTATTTACATTTTGATTAATGATGTATTCGCAACAAACCAATTTCGTTCACAAGTAAACTTTAAAATAGTTAGTTTATCTTATTAAAAACATTATGGTTTGGTTTTGATGTTAAACTGTTATCATGGGAGGGCTATTCCGAAAGTAAAGAACGTTTCAACCTGATGTTGATATGCACATGCTGATTACACACTTTAAAGTACAGGTGTCTTTGTATACTCAGTGACTGTTCAACGGTCACGACGTCTAGTTCTGCTGTACAATGGAATATTCAAGTTGAAAAAATGCTGCAATTGAAAAGCCTGCTAGGTGCTAGGTGCGGTCTGTAATAATATTTTTATTAAAACTCAAAAAGCTATAAAAATGTATTGTCAAGTGTGTGAAGTGTACACATAAACTAAGTTATTCAAAAGAATAACTCTGTTAATTAAATATTCTGTTTTTATTTAAATATTCTGTAATATCGGAAACAACATAATAAACTAATGTTCCTGCCCGGTAATGGTGCATCCAGATTAAAAAAGGCCAAACCAAATTTGACTTCCAAAATATTATTTTTGAATGACAATGCCCGACCTCACACAGCATTTATTATTTACTAGCAGTTACCCGGCGCGCGTTGCTGCGCTTAACAACTATTATTGTCAGGGTTTGCCCTAGTGCCTTATAATGGTGATTGGGAAAGAAAGACAAAAAAAGGAAATTGTAGTTGCTTCAATTCAGAGGGTAATTTGGATGAAGTCATCAGTATTCTTGGGATTAAGACTATTTCTCCTTTTAAGTGCATTTAAGTTTCGCATTAGTATTAATGGAGTTCCTTCTTTTAATGCCAGTAATGGCATTTGAATACCTGAGATAGCACGCACGATTATTATTCACTTAATAATTTATGTTAGATTGTGTGGGTATAGAACAAAAGATAAAAATATTAAGGCATTACCATCCCTTTTATTGTTTATAATACTTTAATCAAGGTTTTTATGTTTACATATTCAACATTGGAGAATTTAAACGTTGTTGAGTGCACATGTGTGCTGCGATTGGGGTTTAATATATTTGGACTTATTAAAAGTAAAATAGTTTTCTGTGCTGCACTCTGTAGAAACATTGTGGCACTATTTCAAATCATGACTAATACAGAACGTTGTGATTATTCAAACCTACAAAACAGTTGGTGAAAGAAAACATCTGCTTTTAAATTATATTTATTTGTAAACATTGTAGTTCAAAAAGTCTGACATTGTCCCAAACCCTCTGGGGCGGAGCCCTTTTGACGGATCTGCACCAAACTTCACAAAAACCATCCTTGAAAGATGCTTAATAATTCCCGAAAGTTTCATTACAATCTGTCGAGCGGTTTCGGAGTCCATAACGTTCAAACATATATATATATATACATACAAACTTCCTCTTTTATAGATATAGATAACATTTATCACCTTCACCTTCATTCATTCAAATCGGGAGATTTTCTCTCAACCATCCAATAGTTCAGATTTTACCCTGAGTGACTTTTGGTGCCCAAGATGAATTCTTTAGCAGTACAGCACATTGAACGAACTCAAATTGCTTGTAATCTAGTGTCTGAGATCGTTGGCGGCAAAATCATAGGAAAAAGCAATTTCAAAGATTATGCAGAAGTCCGCCGGTTTAAATGTATGATAAATGCCTCGCTTTTTTTATGAGTTTGTAGAAAATCAATATTTTAATTGCCATTTCAAATGTATATAATAACTATTTTCCTGTAGGTACAGACTTTTTATGGTATTTAAAAACGTTCCTTACTTTCTAGTTTCTGCATAGCCCTTGTACGATTCCTTTATTCATGACAAAAAATAAATATTATTTTCCAATATTATTAGCCATGGGCTCATCTCATAGCTGTTTTCTTTAGAGGCACATTCCTGACCAAAGTACAAAATGTACTTCAAAATGTACCAAAGTACAAAAACTCAGGGCACATGTCCCCGAGCGAGGTTATATTCAATGAAAACGGTCCTAAGTTGGGCAGTTATCTGGCTTTGCAGATGAGCTTTCAAAAAAAGTACTGTGGATTTCAGCTGCTACAAAGAAGCAAATTATGCAAAAGAAACCCATCAATAGAAATAGTTCATACAATGTGAGAAGAATCATCAATGGGTTTGACACAAGAGCTGGCGAGTTCCCTTGGGTCGCTGCCATAGGACTGGATGGATTATTCTTCTGTGGCGGAGCACTCATCAACAATCTATTTGTACTGACGGCAGCTCACTGTCTGCTCATGTGAGTGTAAACTGTCGACACGAATGAAATAATGTTTAATTTATGCCTCACAAACAATCAAATACAACTAAGGTTTATATCCCAAAAAGATTACTGGTTAGAAGCATGGTGGAAGGAAAATACATAGGTGTGCTATTCCCGTTATTTGCTGACGTCACCCACACTGCAAAAAAAAAAAAAATCAGCTGATGTATTGCCATATATAACGGGTGTCCACAAATTCTTGGTCTGATTTAATAGCTTTGCTGTACGAAAACCATTAGAGCCACACTTAACTTGTATGCCTTGTTTTGAAGGGAATTTAATCAAGTTTTATTTAATAAAATTGGTAATACCGTAACACAGCTGATTGACAACAATACAATCATGATTCAATATAATAACAAATCAGAAATGGTGAGTTTACAAAAATGGTGAGAAATCACAGTTTGTGTTGTTGTTTCACAAAACCCAATCCCCTATAGCGGTTCAACGACTATCCATTTAAGTGGGAAGGTTAACAGACACAATAATTGTAGAATTTGGGGGAGCTAAAATCCCAGGACCGTGATTGAAAATGAAAGGGCCAGTCCAAAACTAATCTTTGGTGTGGGGTAATGCATGATGAAATCATCGGATAATTTTTCTTTACCAAAGAAAATGTAAATGGGATTGTTTACTTGGTTATGTTGGAGTTTTACGTAGTCCCCCAATTATAAGAACTGCAACTTATGATAATTTTCCAGCAAGAAGGCGCTCCACCTCATTGAGCTAAATCCGTGAGGGATTTTTAAAATCTTCATTTCCCCGCTCACTGGATCGGGCATGATGGCCTGACCAAAAGGCCACCTCGTTCCCACCATGTAAACCCCAATGGGTTTCTTTTTGTGGGTATTTGTCAACAACATTTTCTATTCTTCCCTGGTTCATAATTTACACACACTTGCGGGATAGATTCAGGAATTCTGTGGCGTCTGTAACTCAGGATATGCTGACTAAAACCTGGGATGAAAAGACGTCTAGAAGATCTGCAGTCCACTGGAGGCACACAAGTAGAGTTGTGATTCGTTTGTACATAGTTATAAAATCTTAAGAAGTTACCTGTTATATCCGTAAATAAATCTTTATCCTACTATTACTCGTTTTCATACTATGCGTTTTCTTAATCAGGCCAAGACTTTGTGGACACCCGGTATTTGTTTTGATTTGATTGTTATTGTTTTCATAATTTTTTTAAATGGTAAAATGGTGTTTGCAATTCTGAGTGACATCAGCATATGACGGGAATAGCACACTATGTATTTTCCTTCCACCATGGGTTTAGAAGTGGGTCAAGACTGAAATTTTCCTGGTTTTGTGTATGCAAATTTATTATGACTAATGCTCATCAAATGACATTTATTAAGTTTGAAGCATTATTTTCTGGTACAAATCAAAGTTATATCTTGTGGATAATGTGAATGACACAGACCCAAACCAATCAGTCACTTTGTTTTATACCAAACAGTGTGGTATAAAGTTGAACAGGAGTAAAGAAAATCAGACTTTTGTTAATTCAGTTCAATTTAGCATCACATACCAATGCAGACTCTTGACTTTAAGCACCTTTAAGCCATGTGTTAGTTTAGATAATACGAGTTGTAAGTTATAACCATTAACGATGCCTAGTCATTAGTCTTTATACTCAAAAAGTATTAATAGACTAGCCGACACAAGAAGACTTCTTATCCACAAGCTTCAAATTTTACATTGGAATAAGAAGTTTACTTGTGTCGGCTAGTCTATTGTGTTTTTAATACTTTTTGAGTATAGACTAATGACCAGACATCGTTGATTATACAACTAAACAATGACTAAGTTATTATCTAAACTAACACATTTGTGAAAAATTGTGTTTGATTGTGTTTTATATGATTTTTATTTATTTTCCAGGCGAGACACACCAACAGAATCATTAACAGTTCACATTGGCGACTATGATTTGACTTTGGAAAATGAGACTCAACATGTTGTGCGAAAAGTTGAACAAGTAATATTTCACTCACACTTTCATCCATTTCTTCTAGCTAACGATATCGCATTGCTACGATTGAATAGTCCTGTACCTTATAGTATATTTGTGCAACCTGTTTGTCTACCATCTGAAGGTATAGTACATAATGAAATTGCACATTCATATAATGTTAGGAGTATATGTTAGAGAATTTACTTTCTTATTGAATGAGTGTTATCTTTTTGGTAAGTGCATAATATGAAATCTATTCTATACTTATTTACTAATTTATTAACTACTGAACCGATTGACACGTTTTTGGTGTCATTGAAAAGAGCGTAACGTGAAGTTGTGCAGGAAACTTTCTTTTTAGATAAATAATTAGAGAGTGAGGCCCTGGGGCCCTTTAAAGTTTCGTATTTCTCCATAAGATTAACATGGGAAACAAACTTTGTTTTGAAACTCCAGCTGTTGTCAGAAATTAAATATTAATTGGTCTCCATGGAAGCATGAGAAAATTCACAATATTTACATTTGCTTTGACATTTAAAAGTAAACAACCAGAACTGTCAAATGCCTATTTCGCAATTTCAGACAGCTGATCAAAAAAAAAAAAAAAACAACTATGTGGTAGGTTTATTTAATCTTAAACTTGAGGATAGATTATTTATTATGAATCTATTTCGATTATTATGAAACCGATTTTTCCCGTTGCGAAGCAAAAATTAAAAGTGAGAAGAAGAACATGTTAATTGTAAACAGTAATGTGTAAATAATTATCAATGTTGTATTAAAAATGTGTATAGTTTTGGATGATGGTTTGTGTTTAATGATATAAGTTATTAATTATTGAATTTTTATTTTAAGAATTTAGCATATGAGTATGCCTATGATAAATAACACAATTTTAGAGCTCTGCCAGTTTTTGCCTAACTCTGTTCTGTAGAGTTTAAAGTAGCCTACACCTTATTGTCTACAAATTGGCTAAATAACTTAGGTACGGTACATTATAAAAGCTGACAGCTTTTTTATGTTGACTTAAAATGTAAGCTTACCTTTTTCCGTCCATGAGCAGTTTGATAGTTAAAAAATAACCCTTTAAACTGGAATAGGACTGGTATGTAAATTGTGAGTATTTCCATCAGTTAATAATCTTTTAGTCGACTCTTTTAAAATCATTGGAAATTAAGGCTGTTATTATTAGTTTTTAAACAAGTCATTTGTTTATAAATAACTCCTGTACTTCTTTGCAATTGCTCGATTTCGAGCAACATGTACACTAGTTAACATTAAATACCCGAAATAGGATATAACTTCAGCTGGCCCACAGATAATCAGTGTCACTTATAGTGCGGGTCAGGGTATCAAACCTGGCCCAGACCTCTGGAATGTCGCCCACGGCAGCTGACCCCTGCCCTGCAGGTATTATGAGATGCTTGGGGAAACCATTTTAGTTGGGTTTGCTGTGGCAACGCTGCTTTGAAAGCTGTACGTAGCATTGAGCTGGCCCAGCTAAAACCGAACCAAGTCATGTGTACTCTCACCAAATGGATGGCAGACCACTGTCTCTTGCTCGCTCTGTTCAAAACCAATATTGTGATTATGTCCCAAGACATGGATTGACACCATCTTGCCATTGTGGATGAAAGATGTAAAAATCCAAAGCGTTTGAGCAGTTATGACGGCTGTTGATGTCTGCGGTTCAGTCTGGTACTCCTGTATATTGCAGAAGTGTAAGCAGATGTGACAATAAATCAGCTGCCCATATGTTGAGAAAGGCCCCACATGGAGGTGCAAAACCGTGTAAAATGAAATGAAATGAAATGAAATGAAATGAAATGAAATGAAATGTGTTTATTGTCTTGTGAATTCATACAAATTATTGACAATGTCCGAAAAACTGCTAAAACTAGCATAGTCAGTTAATGAATACAATATACAATATTTACAAGAATACTACACACAAGGAGACATGTTACAATACATACTTTAATATTACAACCAAATAATCTTATTGTTCAGAAAAATTCAAGGCATTTAGAATAATGAAAGTTATTAAACCCCATAACCAACTAAATCCAACAGTAATTTGAATAAATTTGCTAGCTCTACTTAAAAATTAATAAAAGGCATTTCAAAAAAATCTTTTAGAGAATAAAAAGGGTTGTTCAAAAGCCATTTGTAGAATTTAGATTTAAAAGTTTTATTAGGATATTTTGTGATTAAATGTATTAGCTTGTTGTATATTTTTAGTGAGATTACAATATGACTTTTAAGAGTTTTAGACAGTCTAAAAAAATCTATGGTAGCAACGTTTTTATTCCTTGTATTATGAACATGAGAATTTTGTTTGATAAGGTTGGGATTTTGTAGAATATAAGATACAGAGTCAAATATATAAATGTTAATTACTGTTGGAATTTGTAGCTGAATGAACAGGGGTTTACAGTGTTCCTGTTGGGGTTCACAAGATATGATTCTAACTAACTTCTTTTGTAAGACTAAAATTTCCTCTATCCTACTGCAATTTCCGTAAAAGATAATATTGTATCTGAAAATGGATTGGAAATAAGCAAAGTAGGCTGTTTTAATATAATTTTGATCTATACAATGTATTAGTTTAGTTATAAGACAAATTACCCTTGAAAGCTTAGAACTTATGTAATCTATATGATCTCCCCAAGAAAGGGTCTTATCCAGATAAATACCAAGAAATTTAACATTGTCTACATAACCATCCAACATATTTGATTCACAGGGTCTAAGGCTAAAAACAATTTTTTGAGTTTTATCTTTGTTTAAGAGGAAGCCATTTGATTCAAACCAAATAGAAGCTTCATTGATTGAGTTATGAGCTAACTCTTGAAGTTGTTTAAGATCGGGATTAATATTTAAAAATGTTGTATCATCTGCATACAAATAAGTTTTACTGGTTATACATTCTGGGAGGTCGTTAATACAAATTAAAAATAATAGAGGACCTAGAACAGATCCCTGAGGCACGCCATATTTCATTTTTAATTCTTGGGACCATTCTCCATCAACATTGACTTTTTGTACTCTATTGTTTAAGTATGATTTGAAAAAAGAAAGTGGAGATCCGTTGATACCATAAAAACTTAATTTCATTATTAGGTCATCATGGTCGACACAATCGAAAGCCCTACTCAGGTCGCAAAAAGTGGCCTGAGCAAGTGACTTCCTCTCAAAGACCATTAGTACCTCATTAATCAATTTATCTATTGCGTCTGATGTACACTTGCCCTTTCTAAATTTCAATTTCAATTTCAATTTTATTTCCAAAAAATACAAATTTACAACACATACAATTCCAAGCCACAAAAGCCAATATGGCTTGTCTGCAGCAATTATTCTAATTTTGTTATTTCACAGTGCTTTTTTTATTCAATCAGTCTTTGTTATTCAATCAGTCTTTTGTTTCCCTTGTTTTTCTTTAAGAATTCAATAATATACCAAACCAATCATAGAATTTAAAGTAGTCAGATTTTAACAATTATTAATAAACAATGAAAAAAGTAACAGTAGTAAACAGATTTAAAACTATTAAAAAAGTAACAATAATAAACATTTGGAACAGTGAACAGTGAATAATCTATTAAAAAAGTAACAATAATAAACATTTGGAACAGTGAACAACAATGATAAAAATATGAAACACAGTTATCTTTCACTCAGATCTAGATATAAATTCTTTAACTTCTTCTTTAAAGGCGGTGACACACTATCGATCTTTTCCCCGATCAAGACCCCGAACCGAGCAGGGAGAAGGGAGAAGGGAGATAAATATCAGCAAAATTTTACCCCGAACATTTCCCCGAACATGACCAAGACCAGACGAATTCTACCGAGCGCGGCAAAAGGAAGTTTGGAGAGAGATAGAGAGTGTGTGCGAGTGAGAGCGCGGAACTATCAATGCTAGCGCAGGCGGCCGCTCGGTGCGGCGCTCGCGACGATGTACGGGGCAAAAATGTACCGTGACACACTATCGTACATCGGACCGTACATCGGACCGATCTTTTCTTTGATCTTTCGCCAAAAAACCGCCTCCAGAGCGCTCGTCTCCCTGCTCGGCCTGATGTCTTGTTCGGCGTCTTGATCGGTGTACGGACCCGTGACACACTATCGAACATCCTCCCTTCGACCTCCCTTCTCCCTTCTCCCTGCTCGGTTCGGGGTCTTGTTCGGGGAAAAGATCGATAGTGTGTCACCGTCTTAAAACTCTACAGTAACATATATTCCTCAGCTGTACTGGTAAACTGTTTAACAAGAATGGAACTAAATATTCCCTTGTTCTTTTAGAATATTTATTTGTTGTTCTAGGCACAATAAAGAACATTTGCCTTGAGTTGTAACTATGAACATTAAGGTTTTTGAACTCATCTGAAAAATAATAATCTGTTGTAATTAAAAACTTAAACAGCCCATCAATTGGCAAAACGTTGACCAATTGATAACCTAGCATGGGATTATCAACCAGATCAGCAGAATCAAGCTTAGTCATTGTTTTGATTATCCTGCTTTGCACGGTTTTTAGTTGCATTATGGCTGTGTTTGATGCTGCTCCCCATGACCTTACACCATATCTAAGCAATGATTCACACAGACTTGAGTAAATCAATTTCATTGTTTTTAGTGGCAGGTATTGTCTTATATGGTAAAACTTAAATAAGCATAATCTTAATTTATCAGTTAGTTGTTTCAAGTGCAAGTCCCATTTCATGTTATGGTCAATTATGATTCCCAGATATTTATAACTTAAAACATACTCCAAATTCATACACTGACACATATTTTCATAGCTTTTCCGATGCAGACAATCGTGTGAATGAAATTTTACTGCTAGCTCTGTGCATTGGTACAAAGGTGAATGAATATGCATAATCTTTGATTTACTGCCATTTATAATCAATCCATTGTCATGGCACCACATTGTCAGCTTCAAAAAATCTGCTTCAATCTTAGTTTTTGCCACGTTTATATTTTTATCGGATATGGCTAGGGCTGTATCATCTGCGTACATAAAGGTTCTACAGAATTGTATAGCATCTGGCATCTCATTTACATAAATTAGGTACATCAAAGGCCCTAATATACTTCCTTGTGGTACACCGTATTCTAATTCTTTTTCTTCAC